CGTACAGGTATCGACGAGGAAGTGGCTACGAGCTCATGGACCAGGGAGGAGTACAAGCAGCAGTGCGTGCACAGATAGCTATATCGCATGGGAGCCACATTATCTCTCGTTCGTCGCTTCTCTCTGTAGCCCATGATGGTGAGGCCAACTTCTCAATCTGCCCGCGGCGCCTGTTCCTGAGAAAATCTGTCGAAAGGTTACAACCAAGTCCATATGAAACTTTGCTCCCCCCCGATCAATATTTGGTCCCCAAACTGCTCCTCCATCGGGAAAGTAAACTGACCAAGCAGCCATTTTAAATATAGAATCCGGGGATAGATGGGCTTACCGGATGAAGCATTCGACGAGGAGCTAAGTTCCGGCATCTAGTATGAGGACCGCGAAGGAAAAAATCGCGAATAGCAAAACCCGTCAACATATTTATATCGCTGCGGGAGTCCCAAGAGCTCCCGAACTGCTGATTCGCCAGCGCCCCTCCTAGCCGTTCTCATCGATATCTTGTGAACGAATATACGCCATCTTCGCTCTGGCCAGATATTTCGACTGCCTGCTCCAGAACCAGAGGCGCCATCGGAAAGACTGCAATACTCGTGATCACGTTCTTCCCACAGAAAATAGCACGCAAGAACTGCAAATAAACCAGCGACCAGGACTATCGAAGAGATACGCTACGAATGCCAATGCCACTAAAACAGCTTCAGAAGACGGAAACCAGAACCCGAGAAATGGTACTATCCGCCGGTCGCAGCGAGTTTGTTCGCCTCTGGACAGCGACTTCGACAGCGACTTCTCGACCTCCAAGCGCTCTAAGAAGAGCAAACGCTAAGAGCACGAGACAGTCGAGTCTCGGCCGAAACATCATCTACCACATGGGGCCCGCCCCTCAGAACAGACTAGACTTCCTTTGCGTGGGGGGCTCATCTGCTAATTTGAGGACCTTCTGCACCATGGCTTCGCTATATCCCAGATAGCTTCCCGGGTCGCACAGCTTGGCCAACTCCTGCCTCGTCATCTTCTTGCTGATCTCCTCGTGCTCGCACAGGAGGTCCAGCAACTGGCGGTCCTCGAGCTGAGACCTGCGGCACAGGTCGTACACGACGTCGTGTGCGTACTGGCGACCAAGCGTCTTGCCCAGTCCCATCATCACGGCTTCGCTGACGATCGCGCCCTTGGACATGTCGAGGTTCTTCCTCATTGCGCCCTCGTGCACCTCCAACCCGGCCACAAGCTCCGCGGTGTGTTTCAAGGTGGCGTGCGTCAAGGTCGAGAGCTGCGGCAGCACGATCCACTCGATCTCCCATGGGCCGGTACTGCGCTCGTGATCCTCCACCATCGCCTCGAAAAGACTCGCGCTGAGTTGCCTGACCGTGGCCGACATGGCGGTGATGTACGCACAGGAGATGGGGTTCCTCTTTTGCGGCATCGTGCTGCTTGACCCACGGTGGGGAACGTATGGCTCCGAAGCTTCGCCCACTTCCGTCTGCATCATGAGTTTGACGTCCAGGGCGAATTTGGCGCACGTGCTGGTGAGCATTGCGCAAAGAGAGCCGAAGTCGGCGATGCGATCGCGCTCCGTGTGCCATGCTATTTCGGGGACTTTGAGGTTCAAGTCTTTCGCAAGTTCCCGCTGGCATTCGAGGCCGAGCAGAGGAAGATCCTGTGAAGGAGGCAATGTCGCCAACGTTCCCGCCGCCCCAGAAAATTCCAGCACTGTCAGCCTCGCTTCAACATCCTTTAGCCGCTCACGATGCCGAAGGAACGTGGCGAGTAATCTAGCAAGCTTAAAGCCAAATGACATAGGCACCGCCTGCTGCAAATTCGATCTGGCCGCCATTGGAGTGGATTTGTGCTTGTCCGCCAGCTGCCGAAGTGAGGTAATAATCTCCTCGAGGGTCTTCTCGAAGAGACTCATTGTGTCCCACAGCTGAATCACCGTCGCCGTATCCGTCACGTCCTGCGTGGTCGCTCCCCAATGCGCCCACTCGCCCAGTCCCGGCTCGATGGCATTGATATGCTTGACCAGCTGCTTGACCACGCCCAGCACCGGGTACCCGATCAGCTCGGTCTGTTGGCGGAGATCCTCAAAGTCCACATTCCGGACGTCCAAGCAGAACTTGATGATCTCCTCGGCCGCCCTTTGCGGGATGATTCCCAGCCGAGCCTGTGCCTTGGCCAAGGCGCCTTCGAATGCGAGATAGCACTGGGTGCGTGTCTTGTCGGACCAGATTGCGGCCGATTCCCGAGTGGAAAGGATGTTGCCGAAGATGAGGGAGTCTTGGACAGAGGTCATTTTGAGTGTCGTATTGCTAATGACCTTCTCCTGTGTAGACGATATGATCGCTCGTGGAATTCTGTTGAAGATGGGTTTATACGACAGATCTGATGGCCCTTGATGCTGGAGTACAGTAACGTTCTTGCAGAATGAGGTCGGTTGAACAGAGACATAGCCAATGATCGTCCAGCAAAAAACGGGCGCAAGGCCCCCAAACAGAGATGGTGATGTCTTGCACCGGGGAAAGGCGAAGCTGTGGAGGTGGAGAAGGAAGTGTGAGGGGGATGCCAAGGATCCGGAACCGGATAAATGATAGTCCGTTGACGCGGTTCGGCACCGGAGACATATCATTCCACTATATAAGCCCCATCGTATGACGTGCCGAGGGTACGCCTTGGGGATTTCCACCTCGACCTCTTCCCGCCTCGCCCTTGTGGAAGCCTTAGATGAGACAATTTACTCTAGTTGTCTCCAAGCTCACACAAGGCTCCAGAGTCCTAGTCACCACCTCCTCACCAGCAGCAAACTTCAACCTCACAGGGAAGTCCAGGGCCATCTCACTCTTTCACCAGCCCCTCATCCACTGGCGCTACATTAACATGGCCACCTCAACCCGCTCTTCCAAGCGCCAGAAAACCGGCGCTGACACAGCAGCTGAGGCCGACGACTCGATGGCCTACAAATTGATCTACTGGCCCGGCATTCCAGGCAGAGGCGAACACATTCGCCTCGCTTTTGAAGCTACAGGTACCCCCTACGTCGACGTATCCAATAAGACCGACGCCGGCGTCAATGCAGTTATGGCTCAGATCAGCGAGAAGAATATCGGGGATGACAACAACCCGCCACCACTCGCTCCGCCGATTCTTCAACATGGAGATACCCTCCTGTCCCAGACACCCAATATTCTCGCCTACTTGGGCCCGAAGCTCGGTCTGGTTCCCGACGTCGCCGAGGATAGCGCCGGAATGTACCACGTCAATGCACTTGCGTTGACGGCACTTGATGGACTCTCCAATGAACCCCATGATGTTCATCATCCCATTGCCAGCGGAGCTTACTATGAAGAACAAAAAGAAGAGGCCCTCAAGAAAGCCGCTGACTACCGCGCCGTTCGCCTGCCCAAGTTTCTGAGCTACTTTGAACGGGTCCTCTCGGGGCCTGCCTCGGGTGGAGGTGAATGGCTGTACGGCGGGAAGATGACTTATGCGGACTTGGTGCTCTTTCAGACGCTGGATGGAGTGACTTATGCGTTCCCTAAGTGTGTAGGCAAGCTGAGGAGCAGTGGTAAGTATGAGAAGGTGTTTGCACACTATGAGAGGGTCAAAGCATTGGACAAGATTAAGAGTTATTTGGCCAGTAACAGGAGGCTGAAGTATAGTATGGGGATTTACAGGCATTATCCAGAATTGGATGACGAGTAACAGGGAAGTCCGGTCTTGGATAGCGCTGCTTTCTCGGAGCGACATTGGATCAGGGCTTGACGATGCCGGGGATGAGTTCCTGGGTCTGGTCGCCGAAGATGGAGAGATGGATGGATAAAACGTCCTGGAGCGGACGCAGAAACCTAAAGAAACCTGGATTTACCAAAGAGAAATAAAAAGAAGAAAAAAAAAAGGAAAAGAACAGATGCCGCCCAGCGTTCGCTTGGAATTGGGGCGTGTCTCAGAATGCCAGAAACAGTAGAAGTGATCTCTGAAAAAACTACCTGTTATTACATCGAACCCGGTGTGCTTGTGGTGGGTTGTCTTTCCGAAAGGAACGTACAGACGTTCTATAGACCCCGTAAGGAGGTTCACGGCCTCCTCGTATGCTCACCTGCTTTAAGGCAAGATCCCAACCCTGGGGGGACCAGGAACTGAGCTCATGACTACTCTACATTAGCTCAAGAGCAGCCATTGGGCGAAGGGCGAAGGAAACGGTACGCGGCTTAGTCATGAGAGAACGTACGCCACGGTCACCATCAACACAGGCCTTTCTGTAAGCAAGTACCAATGTGGTCGTATCGGTGGGCTTGTGGGCTTACATGCCTAGGTACCTAAGTACCCCAATCAGGGTGAAGGTACTGAGATAGGTCATCATACATACCTAGGAACACACCTTGCACATGAACCCAATAATAATAGCCTTCGATTCGTAATCATATAACAAAGCCTGGAGTTTATTCATACGGGCTCCAGGGGAAGGGGGACGCGGTCTGATTACGAAGAGCCTACATAACCCCACTTAATAGTGAATAGTGATCTGTCTATTAATCTGATCCGCTATGACGAGGGCATTGCCTTCGGAAACAGATGTTTAGAGTGGTGGCTTATGTCCGCTGCTTTAAGCCTAAATAACCAAAGCATGCGTCCCGAACTTCTCATAAGGGTGTATTATAACATCGAGCGAGCGATTAGAGGAGGATGCTGCAACGCGCTGTGGCCGGCAATTCGCCGTTGCGTCAGGCCACATGGCCATGGCAGACAGCACGTCGCAGATGGGCAGGGTGTGTCAAGCACTCTTGACCATGTGCAGCACCTGACTTTTAGGCCGCTATACCATTCAGACGCGAAGCACGACATATGATTCCAAATCCGCTGCAATATGCATAAGCCACAAGCTGGAACTGTCTGCGTTGCGGTCGATATAAACGGCTCTCTGTGATCAGGGAACTGTCGGTCTCTCAAAAGCCTTGGGAAGTGGCATATCAAAAAGGGAAAAACGAAACAAGATCGAAAAGTCGAAAATGTCTGTTCAGAAAGCTATTGCAGTGGTCGCAATGGCGCAGCCTGTCGAGTTGATTGAGCGGCCCATCCCAAAGCCAGGCCCGGGCCAAGTTCTTGTCAAAGTCTCCATCGCAGGACGTGAGTATCTCTGCCAAAAGCCTCTTGTGGGCAGAGAGAAAAAGAATGCCAGCTAACTCGCTACCTGCCCAGTTAATCCACATGATACGCTAGTCCGAGAGATTGCGTACTTTGTCGGAAAGGACAATCTGCCGGGGGTTCTTGCAATCGACATAGTCGGGGAGATAGTCAAACTCGGCGAAAACGTCAACGCCTTCAGGGTAGGCAACAAGGTCATGGGCCAGGGAGATCCTGTTGTGTCAGACACAAAAGGATCACAGGAATTTGCTCTTCTCGACGCCGACTTCATCGCACCTCTACCCAGCTCGGTCAGCCCTGACCAAGCCGACACCATCATCCTGAACCCGTTGACGGCGTATGTGGCAGTTTTGACGCCCCTGGGTCTCGATATTCCATCCCCACTGGCTGCATCGGCGCGGGAGTTCGACTACAAGAACACCGGCATCGTCATCATTGGAGGAAGCTCCTCGTGCGGGAGGGCCGCAATTCAGCTTGCCAAATGGGTCGGAATCGGCACCATCGTCACTGTCGCAGGAAAGTACGGGGAAGCTGACCTCAAATCCATTGGCGCCACGCATGTGATTGATCGAAGTTTGTCGGATGAAGACATCCAGCGCGAAGTCCGAAACATCGTCGGCGACGACCTGTTGTACGTGCTCGACTGCAACAACAGAGCCGACCACACACCGGGCATCCGCATGTTGTCCAACTCGAAGAAAGGCACCATGGTACCTCTAGCAGTCTCGCGGCCAAATACTGTCGACGAGACCAAAGTCGGACCCAAGCAGCAAGGTTACAACTTCAGGAAATTCGTTTGTCGACCGGTCTTGTTTCGGGAGATAGCTGCCCAGTTCTACAAGGCGTTGCCCAGCTTGATTGATGATGGGGTGCTGAAACCCACTTCCTTTGAGGTCATTAAAGGATTGGATGCGGACAAAATAAATGCGCAACTCGATAAGTGGAGGGACGGACAGTGGCCTTCCAGAGTCAACATTCACGTTTCATAGACATAAATAGGAGCAAAGCAAGGAACTCCGGAGAGTAAGGCACTGAAGTGCCCTCCAATGCCCTTCAATGACAACGGAACGAGATGTTACTTCCTACCTGGCCTCATTAGCTTCGTCTTGGGACAGTCATGTCCGTGTGCGAGGAGATGTTAGTAGGAGCAATTTACAGCCTTGCGTAGATTTTCTGTCGATACTCGCCAATATTACTCACGCTCTCGCCCGTCCAATGTCTTTCATTTCCTGGCCAAGCGATATAGGAGATATCTGGAATGCTGAGAATATCCCCTTGGATTATCAGCAAAAGAGTAGTCGACGAATAAATGATATCTTGCCTTTCCTCACTTCTCTGACGCAGCAGGTATCGAGAAGTTTGCATACTCCAAACCTCACATGAGGAGCTAGCGCTAGAGTAAACATTTACATTGGTTTGCGCCAAACATGCTGTCATGTTCTAAGAGAGGGAGGCAAACTGGGATTTGAAATATCATTGAGAAGCCAGAGGTTTGCGGCAACGCTCATTTGGCCCACCGTATCAATTTCCCGTGGACGAATAACTCAGTGAAGTCAATGCACTGGTGACGCTGCTTTGAGCCGTTTGCGCAGCGGCAGAATGAACCGAGGAAGGTTCCCAGTAGTGCATTTAACTAAGGAGGTTTCCCGAGCACGACTTCTGTTCTGCCCCAGGCATCGAGCCATCCCCGTCTTCCTTCTAGATAGGACTTCCTGCAGTATATGACCAATCTCTGCCCGTCGCCACCATGACATTCGTTTAGCAAGCCAAGTTGCTGAAGGGGCCTTCCAAGAAGGCAGAGATTTCGACTCTCTAAGATGGAAAAACACCACAACCCGTTTTCACCTTCATTAAATCAATCCATGATCGGAGAGCTCTGTCTCAAGGACGGAATTGCCGAGATTGTATAGAAGCATAAGATTCCATCCATGGCCGGCCAACACCGCCTCTTGGTGAGACACATATAATGAGCCTGGCTGGACTTGGACCGATCTTTCTACGAAAACTTGCTCCCGTTTCACCATGCAGGAATACATTCCCGATGGCTCGCCCCGGTTCCAGCGTCTGAACGCACTACTGACCTATATGCCCGACTATGGACTTGTGATTTGCAAGCGCTGCGAATTTGCCATACAGCCCCAAGCAATTTCGAGCCACCTTCTGCGTCACCGAATATATAGAGGAGAGCGACAAGAGTTATTGGAGAGAATAGGTAGATTAAAACTGCTGGACCCAGCTGAAGTACCCAAGCCACCACCAGATATCTCGCCTCTGCCCTATCTTCAAGTCTCGGACGGCTATCGATGCAAATTCCCAGCTTGTGACCATTTGTACATTTCGGAAAAGCGCATGAGTCAACACCTCCACGGAAGTCACAAAGAGCTATCTGCCATCAACATCGAGATTCAAGCTCGGCGGGTCCGCCTCCAGACATTCTTCAAGGGCAATAAGATCCGCTACTTCGAGGTCAACGCTGCCCACGGAGCATCGAACCACAAAGGACCAACAGACTCCACCACACATCCACTTCCACGCCTCTCTCGCCTGAGCCATGCACAAGTTGCCCCGACATCACCGGCTGATGACGACTCCCGCAATTCTGGAAAGTCCTCGGCCGCAGAACTCCCGATGAGCGATCTCATGTACCTTCATCACTACATCACTCGTACTAGTCTGTCGCTTACAAGGGGAGACGATTCCCTTACGTTTTGGGCTGATACTCTGCCATTGCATGCCTCGACTCAACCTTTCCTCATGCACGGCATACTTGGTGTTGCTGCATTTCATCAAGCGGCTATAACCTCGGACGCCCAGCAACGGAAGATGCACCAATCCAACGGCCTTCTCCATCAATCCGCCGGATTGTTTACTTTCAGGGAGCTTGTCAAGCAACCAACAGCAGAGACAAGCACATCATTGGCGGCATTTGCGCGCTTACTGGGCGTTCAATTCTGTGCCCAAGCCCTGCTGGATGCAGAAGATCAACCAGCGGCCGACGAGAAACCACATAAACCAAAATTGTCTCAAATTTTGGACTTTATGCTTCTGCTGCGAGGTGGATGCGATCTATTGGTCAATATGAAGGGAAGTTTCTCTGAAGCCTCTGGTTTTGCCATCCCCTCCGAAGTTCTTCAGGGATTGGGGCCATTGGAGATAGTATCTGATGCAGATGGTTCATTTCTACCCTACGCCATCAACCAGCTGAATGCTCTGCTCCGAATAAAAGGCTCAGCGCTCAAGACGACATCAATCAACATTACCAGCATAGATGACATCCGACACCTGGCAGAGCTCTGCAGAGAGGCGTCAGTGCTCGCTCCGGCGCAGCCCATCACCGAAGCCTGGGTACGCAGTAACTTACCCTCAGATACCCGATTGAGCTCCCACATTGAGGACATCGCTAAAACACTCCCAATCGCACTTGCCGATGCCAGACTCTCATCCAGACGAGATCGTATGCTGCTTACACCTCGGCCAGTCATCAAATGTTATCCTTATATACCTCCTGCAATATACTCCCATCTCGCCTCTCTGCCGGGTCGAATTATCTCCGCGGGTCCAACACCAGATTCTGCGGAGCTTGAAATGTTCGACCAAGGCATGGCAGCGCTAGTGTCCAGCTACTCCCGCAGCTACGCAGCCAATACCACTTGGGCTCAATGGAATGGCATTGAGAGCTGGCCACGTTTGCTCCCAGATGAGTTCTTGCGTCTCATAGAAGCAGGCAACTCCATAGCACTGGTCTTGGTTGCGTACTGGTGCGTGCTCGTCTCAAAGCAGGAGCAATTCTACTGGTTTTTGAACGGCCAGTCACAGAGAATGCTGAATGTTATCCTGGCGAATCTGGACCCTGACATGCAGAGTTTTGTGCAAGAGAACCTGTCCCACCTGTCACAAGCATGATGCGGGACGATTTGTCCTCCAAAGGAGAACTTAACCAGAGATTGTTATCGCTTGGTAATGTCCGTGAAAAGAGAAGAAGCCTTCGCAATCGAGGTGGCAAACCGTACGCGTCCATTCTTTTGGATGTTCCTTACATCCGGTACAGGAATCTCTACAGTCGATCTTGAACCATTATGATTATTCAAGCCATCATAAACCACAGGGAGAACTAAGAAGGGTTTTGCTCCCTTCCCGCCGCAGATGCGAAATTCCGAAGGTCAGGCGCCGACCTTGTCACTATCATGCTTCTTGACCGTCAGCACCTCGACTGGTGCATCGACTCGATAATTCATCGTCGCGCTCAAGTCTCCCAAAAACCAGCAACCAATAATAGCCAACATTCCGAACGGTGCTGCAATGATGTAGACCACCCTTATTGAATCAGCATATGCCTGCTTCAGTGCTGCCAGGCCGGCAGCAACGACCACAGGGCTCACACCAGTTATTTTCGGGAGAAATGAAACATTTCCTGCGGCCAAAGCTTTTACAAATGCTTCGATCGAGGTCTGCGGAAGTCCCGCTTCGAAGGCTGCCTTGGCCACATATGCAGGAAGCTTCTCTTTCAGGCGGTCGGAGAATGCCGCAGCATATATCGCTGTGAAAACACTCGCGGCTACAGCGCGAGAGGAAACTGTCACAGCGGTGGCGGTGGCGATAAGATAGTGAGGGCTGGAGAGCTGGACGCCAGCAACGATGAGAATGATCAAGGACCCAAAACCGACGCCGGCAAGACCGGCGAATATCAGCGAGTTTGTCGACTCGGAGGGTTGAACTGTGGCGAGTCCCACGATGCCGCCGGTGAATATAATAAATCCTGCTGCAAGGGGTGCCTTGACTGTCTTGAATTTTGTGCTGATAATGCCCCATATTCCAGTCGAAAGAAGGCAAGCAATCCAGTATGGCTGTTCGCGAATGACGACCATGAACGGGTCTCGGTCAAACAAGGATTGAACCCTGGACGCAGTCAGCATGATGCAGTCAAAGCGAGAATGATATCAAACATATCCAAAACTTACAAAATGGGATAAAAAATGACATATGAGAACAACAGAATCCCTTCAGCGAAAATGAGGCCAACACAGACCGCGAAAGTGCGTCCAGCCCCTGCTCTGCCGCGGAAGAGGTCGTGGTGCAGAATTCCTGTCTTTGTCCCTTTCCATTCGTATATCCCAAAACACAACAACACAACAATTCCCACAGTCAATGTGGCAAGGACTCGAGCATCAGACCACGCATACATGCCGCCGCCCAAGTTTAAACCTACAAGAAAGAGGGTGAGACCTCCCCCGAGGAGTCCAAATCCAGGAAGATCAAGGTATGTCAGTTTCTGTGCAAATGAGAGATGATCCAAGCGCGTGTGCCTTTTGGGCGGGCGATATCCAGCCAAAATTCCGAGGCCGGCGGCACCCCAAAGAGCCATTTGAATCCACTACGGGATAAGAGTGTCAGCACCTTCATCCAACCGCATAGCAAAGGGAATGCGCCGCTCACGTAGAATCTCCGCCAGCCCTTTTCGGGATTGGCTTTGGTCAGAGCGCCAATGATCAGAGGTCCTGTGCAAGTCGCCAGTGCCGCAGCAATATTGACCCAGACTTGTCCGATTGGCCTCCATCTCCGAGGCAGGATTTCGCTGGGAATGGCATATGCCAGTGGAGTGCACGAAAACCCAATCGCAATCATGATGTGGCCACCAATAAGCCTGTACATGGTTTGCGACCCGGGACAGACGCCGGCGCCGATGAAGGAGATGGTGAGTGTGCTGACTAGGAGCGATTTGCGAACTTGAAAAACGTCGGAAACTGAGGAAAGTAAAGGGGACAACACGGCCTGTGGCAGCGACAACGAATTCACTACCCATGTCTCGGATCGTGTGTTGTGCAGACTGGTGCCGATATATGAGAGCTGGAAAAGATCAGACTCGCGCGCAGAGACACTAATATCCTTATAGCTTACAACTGCTGGTGGCGACAAGAGGGCGAATACGATCACATAGTTCAGCAGGAACATTGCCACGAGAGCTATCCAGGTCCTGAGATGCAGCTCTGGCTCGTGCTCAACATCGTCATAAACCAGATTAGCTTCAGCAATATCGATCCGCTCGAGATGTGTTGGCGCAGTTGGAAGTTCATCGATTTTGAGAGCACTTGATCGTGTCATGGCATCATCTTCTCTGCCATGCTTGTGCTCGAATTCAGCCGCCATGTTTGATTCACGTTATTGGTAATTGAGAATGTCGTGGCCTCTCTTAAAGAGCAAAGAAAGAAGGGAAGGAAGGCTGAAGCTGGAATTTTTGACAGCCAGCCGCCCCTGCTAAGTATATCTGGTCTATTGTCACAGTCCTGCTGGGAGACTGCACAAAAATACGGATGAAGAAGCGAATGTGGGACAATGCGATCCGGGAAGACATTGTCTATTGAAGCCGCTCTCTTCCACGCTAGGAGAAGCAACCTGGTGGGACGTACCCGAAAAGTTCTGGACTATTGCTCCCTTTCTTCACCATCGATGGGAAAGGTATTGCAGAGAAGCAGGACCAGTGCCTTGCACTTTCCTACATGGTAGAGAACTTGCAGGGATTCTCAAGGTACGATTCGTTCTCTTGCCAGGATCTTCAGCGACCCTTTCTTGTCTGAGAGGCAACATTGACCAAGAAACAGCTCGGCGCCACCCCAGACTTTCAGAACATCATATGCCGTTCTTTGGTGGAGCTCTCCTAGCTTCGATTTCTCGCGCCAAAGCTTCGCTAGCCTCAACTTTATTTTTCAAATGTCTTTGAGGGGCAGAGCACTGTCTGTATAGTGCGACGCAGGGCCAGTTCCAGCCTCAAAATGTCCCACATCATCTTCTTCCTCTCCAGAGCCACAAGCCCTGTCAGCTGTTGTCCATCTTGGATCGCTGCCCCGGCGGGAATAAAGGGTTCACCCCAGAGGAGGTCGTATATCACATTAACTCGTATAAATTTCCATCCTCTAGTGATAAATCTCGACATTCAGCGACCGAGACAAGCAACTTCTGAACAACAGCCATTTTGCAGAACCACGAGCAAAGATGATATCCGGGGAGACGACTACCGGGACTGTTGTGGACGGCGTCCACAGACTTCCTAGCAATGGGATCAAGATCATTGTAATCGGAGCAGGTGTTGGAGGATTAGGCGCCGCATTGGAGTGTTGGCGGAAAGGCTGCGAGGTCGTGGTCCTCGAACGAGCAGAAAAGCTCTCTCCATTAGGTATGCTTGACTTACTCCTTTGTATACCCAGTACCACTTCAGTGTTTGACAGCATACCACGCTAGGCGACTATTTCACCATTACCCCGTCAGCATTGACCACGCTGAAGGACTACCCTAGCATGCATGTGGACTACCACAAGTGTATTTATGATTGCTCTGTCCACGTTTACACTCCTTCCGGTGTGCCCATATACTCGACATATCCGGAATGGCGCCGAGCAGGGGCTCACGCTGCATCTGACGTGACGGTATCGTTCCTCAAGCGGCGGCCGGTCTACGCTCAGATGCAACTGGACCAGCTTGAGAGGTTGGGTGTTTCGGTTCAGTTTGGACGAAAGGTTGTCAGCGTCAACGAAAGAGGCGACCAAGTCATCGTAACCACTGCTTCGGGAGAGACATTCACCGGCGATCTCTGCATTGGCGCGTATGGAATTGGATCCTCTATCGAAGGGTTCAACACCGGTCCGGATGTCGCCGTGCAAGACAGTGGTTATGCGGTTGCGCGAGTGGCTTTCCCTGCCAGTACGCTCAAGCCAAACTCGCCAGCAGCGACGCTGATGAAGAACATTGACCTTCAGCCCGAATTCCGCACCTACGTGGCAGATGATGTGCACTTGATCCTGTTTTTGACGCGAGACTGGGTGGCGTGGTGTTTCACTCATGCAGTGCGTGTCTTGCCGCAAGCACTGGCTTGAGTGATCTTGATGGCTGACTTCTGGCCATTTCCAGGACGACGGAGAGACGGCCGAGTCCTGGGGAAACCTTAAGGATTCGGACGCTATCATCCCCCTGATCGAAAGGTCAAGTGATAATTGGGATCCAGCCGTTCTCGATTTCGTTCGGCAAACACCAAACCAGGTCGTCGATTGGAAGTTGAGGTGGCGTGATGGCACTGAGCAGTGGACTTCGGAAAGTGGACGTCTTCTGCGCCTCGGCGATGCGGCACACGCCTTCTTCCCCACTGCCGGTAACGGTGCAGTCCAGGCTCTCGAAGACGGCGTGTCTCTGGCCGAATGTTTGCGCATCGGCGGCAAGCAGAACGCTGGTTGGGCGACCAAAGTGCACAACAAGCTAAGGTATGCTTCAAGATGATTTGTTACTGTTCCTCCGATGACATTGCTGAGTGGAAACATTTTTGCCATAGGTTTCAGAGAGTAAGCGTTCTGCAGCAGACAGGCTTTCTGAACAGGGAGGAACTCCACCACGTCGACGTCGCGGCTATCGGGGAGAATGCCAAGGAAGTCACCGTTGGCTTCTTCAAGATTGGGCGATGGGTATGGAACCACGATCCCGAAGCGTACGCCCGCGATAATTACGCAGCCTGTTTGGCGCACCTGCAAGAGGGAAAGCCTTTCGGCAACACGAACCTGCCTCCCGGGCACGTCTACGTGCCGTGGTCGCTGGCATCGGAGACCGCGCGCATGAAAGCTGGCGTCAAGTCGAGCCTGAAGCAGAATGGGGATTGGAGTGCCTGAGCTGAGCTCAGTGAGCAGGAGGCCTGAGCCCCTTGTCATCCATCTTTGTATGTACTTGGCATTGAGCTTCAGCGAGTCTTCCTATCTAGATGAGCTATATGCATCATGCATCACCATCAAGTCTTGATTTGGTGGAGCATCACCGCCTCCCAAAGATGCATATGCCCCGTATACATACACATAGTTCATCTTCCTATCTCGTGAAGATTTTCTACCGTTGATATCTGTTAACTCACCCCCTAAGAAACCAAAGCGAAAAGCGCCTAGCAAAAATTGCTGGAGGGAAACGGAAAAAAAAAGGTGGTGGGGGAAATCAAAACAAAAGGTTGGTCCCTACGAGGATCGAACTCGCGACCTTCGCGTTATTAGCACGACGATCTAACCAACTGATCTAAGGGACCAAGTTCCGAGTAGTTGTACAGCCAGAACCGAAGCATGAGGAATCGGTTCTGATTGGTCGAATTATTTGAGGAAATTTTTATATAGATCAAAAATGCTGTGCGGTGGGGGGAAAGGTAGCGTCACTGTGCACCTTCGGTTGGCTGCATAGATTTTGACGGCAGTGGGTCCGATTAAACATAAACATACGGCAGTAACGAGGGTCGCATCATGACTTGTCATATTTCTCGCATGACGACATAATACGGCAGGGAAGTCAACTATATTGCGGGATCCAGTCAAAATTTCTACACACCTCCAACTGACCATCACTTTCGGTCGACATTCTCCTGTAACACTGTGGCCCCCTTCTCCTCATCGCCGTGAAGCACATCTTCCACCATCGACAGCCCTCGGGCGCGGATCTGTGCCTCGACCTTGTCAACTTCCCCAAACAGACGATCCATGTGCTCAAGGCTGATTCCCTTTGTCTCTGGCCAGAAGAAGAAGACCACGATGAAGCCAAGGAGATTAATACCAACAAGGATCCAGTACGCGTTGTGACCAACATTGCCAAACATGACTGGCCAAGCCTGATTAATCCAAAGAGTCGTGATCTGCTGTCCTGCCTGACTGACATTCACACCTTTGTCTCGGAGGTGAGTTGGGAAGATCTCGCTGGCGTAGATCCAGGCGACTGGCCCCATTGCACCACTGTACGCCATCATAATAACATAGATGAAGACGACACAAGCAATCGCGGCACCACGGTTGAAGTTGGTTGCCGTAGGGTATGCATCTGACAGTGCGCCAATGATGATATAGCTGAGAATCATGGTGGCAGAACCAGCGAGCAGAGTGATCCTACGACCCCATTTGTCAACCCCTCCGGTTGTGATTCCGGTGGCTGCGAGACACAAGACACCAGAGACGACGTTGAGGAGCAACGACATGGTCCCAGAGGAGAAACCAAGACCTTCAAAGATGAGGATACCGTAGATCATCAATGCGCCGACCCCGGAGAGTTGACCGAGAGCCATGGTGGTCATCCCATATGCAATTCGTTTCCAGACTGGGAAGGAGCGAAGGAAGGATGACCAGGTTTGGCTGTTTTCGTTCTCTAGGCGATAGTCGCGAGCGGCGACCAACTCGGCGTATTCGTGCTTGACGCGGTCATTGTCGACGGGCAGTCTGCGGATTCTGGCGAGTTCCCGTAAAGCTGCTTCCGGCTTCTCGGGGTGGCGCTCAATCAACCATCGAGGAGATTCTGGGATGGTGAAGGAGGCTGCTACCAAGACAACCCCAGGAACAACTTGGAGAGCAGTCGCAACTCTCCACGAGTTGTTGCCGGATATCTTGACGGTCCCGAGGCCAACGCAGTACGCAACGAGGACACCAACTTGGTATGAAAGTTGAACGAAGGAGACGACTCGACCTCGAATTTGTGGCGAGGAAACTTCGGCCTGGTATGCAGCAAGGTTGGTCCCGATGATGGCAGTGCCAATTCCAGCCACAATTCTGCCAACAACGACCATGGCGAAGTCTCGGGCGCCGGCTTGGAGGCCAACCCCGACCAGAAGGATGATGGTACCGAGAACAAAGGCAAATCGACGTCCAACATACCAGATGAACCACCAAGAGACGAAGAGGTTGCCGATGACATTGCCCAAGCTGATCATACTAGCCACGACTCCTTCTCGTGCACTAGAGAGATGGAAGTAACCACCAAACTTTTTGTCCGATATGATGATGGAGTAAATGCCTGAGTCAAACCCTTGGAAAATGTTCGCGAGCGATGCTACCGCGCATATCCAGTAAATGTACCAGTCGCTTTTTGCCATCTTGTCGTGCTTTCAGGCTTTTGCTGTTGGATAAGGAGGTGCTGGTTTCTCGAAAACCTTTCTTGCACAGGCACAAATACATTGCTTTATACAGCTGGCTCCTGGGGGTGAATAGAACCTGCTTCATGGGGTCAAAAGGCGGATGTCGATCTGGGTTCTGGGAATGTGCTCCAGAGGGACGGGGGTCTGGGCTCTGGACCAAGCAAACCAAGCTAGACTCCGGTGTTCCTCCTTCCTGTTCGAGGGTCTCCTGTGGACGGATCTCCACATACTTGGAGTAAAACACCGGTGGATGCAGATCGGGCAAACGAACCTGGCACTTGGTGGGTGGCAGAAGAAGGCCAGAAGCAAAGCCACCAATAAGGCGCTGCGAGAAGGTGGCGTTAAAGTTGGAGATGGATACAAGCCATGTGAATGCCAAGATGTGCTAAGCTAATATAGGCTAAGCCTGTTCAATAGCAGTTGTGTTTGTTTTGCAAGGGTTCCCTCCGTCGGAATTTTCTATGCGAGGAAGGCTGTCCAGGTTTTAGGGAAGAAAATGAATAAATGACCACGGAACAGGGTAAGGGGATAAAATCTTGTAGTGGCGGGTAAGCACAGTCGCATATCCTCGTTCTTTGGCCTATGCCTGCACGCATCTCGACAGCGTCCAGCTCCAAACTACCAACAACCTTTGCTCAATAGTCTTCGACAATCATGGCCTATCCTCAAGAGACGTTTCTCACGACCCGTCTGGTGCAAGAGTCTCTGATATCTCGACGGCGTGGCGTGGCTGGCTCCAAGACTCTCTCTTACCAACTCGAAATGTTGAAAAAGACAGGCAGATACGATGCGTTCGACCTGCATTGGCATTCTTCCTACGAAGATCCTCCTGATGTATGGCCGATACCAAATCACCTCTTCTGGTAATTCCGGCTCATCCAAATTTCACTGAGAATAAAGGAAATAATAACCTCGGGTGTGTGTGCAGGGACTCTGATATTGCCAAATGGATCGAAGGAGCGTGTTATTTTCTTCATGAACATGAAGACCCAAAAATCGACGCGGCTGTTAAGGAGCTAGTCAACATGATTCGCGGTGCTCAGCTTAAGGATGGTTATATCAACATCCATTATACAGTCGTCAAGCCTGGAGAGCGGTTCACCAATCTACGGGATTTTCACGAACTCTACAACGCCGGCCATCTCATCGAGGCAGCCCTCGCTCACCATCAACTCTACCGAAATGATGATCTTCTTGGTCCGATACTAAAGTACGTCCAATTTTTGTGCGGGAAGTTTGGACCCAAAACGAATCAAACCCCTGGCTATCCAGGCCACTCTGAGGTCGAGCTCGCTCTTCTTCGACTATACCATCGTACACAGAATCCTGCGCACCTTGAGCTGGCAAAGTTTTTCATCACTGAGAGAGGGAACCCGAACGGCGTCGATGGCTGTCACTATTATCATTTCGAAGCAAGGCAAAGAGGCGAGGAACCGGGCGTGAGAATGCCGTACTGGGGCGAGGCGGATGCTCTATGGTACTATCAAGCCCACAAGCCCCTTGTGGAACAACAGACTATCAAAGGGCATTCTGTGCGCGCCATGTACCTCCTCTCGGCAGCCGCAGACTTGGTACGCTTGGACCAAACCTCCGACGGTCGCCTAAAAGATGCCATATACAGACTATGGGACAACATGGTAACATGTAAGATGTACGTGACCGGAGGAATCGGCGCGATAAAGCAATGGGAGGGCTTTGGTCCGAACTACTTCCTTCCGCAGGGCACTGACGAGGGAGGCTGCTACGCTGAGACCTGCGCGGCCATCGGCGTCATGATGCTCGCCGAACGAATTCTACAATACGATCTCGACCGTCGATTCAGCGACATTATGGAATTGTCGCTCTACAACGCCGTGCTGACAGCCATGTCCTATGACGGCACCAAGTTCACGTACGTCAATCAGCTAGCTTCCAGCGACGAGGACCTCTCAAAACGAGAGGAATGGTTTAAATGTGCTTGCTGCCCGCCGAACATTCTTCGACTACTTGGTCAAATTGGGGGCTACATCTACACACGAACAACAGGAGAACAGGAACGACTCAGTGTCCACTTGTACATCTCAAGTTCCACTGAGTTCAAGTGCGACGATCAGCGTGCAACGTTGATTCAAAAGACCGATTGGCCGTGGAGCGGGAGGGTCGATTTCAATCTTGAAACGCAGGCGTTGCGGATCACCGTCAGTCTGGCTCTTAGGATACCAGGATGGGCCAAAGAGTGGACGGTAAGCCACCACCAGATCACTATCTCTAACATGAACCAAAAGTCAAATGCCTAACAAGCTGTAATCAGATGATTCCAAGGCCGCCGCCCAATAGCGAAGAGAAAGGATACCTAATTTTGCCCGCCACGTGGTTGTCTGTTAACCGGTCCTTTACTTTGGACATCGACATCTCGCCTCGCCTCGTCGCCCCGCATCCTTTTACCAACCAAGATACTCTAGCAGTGGTTCGCGGCCCAATTGTGTATTGCGTTGAGGATGTTGACAACCCTTGGGTGCTGGACCACTTCAAAAGCATTTTGCTCGACGCTGCATGCTCATTCGACGAGAAGACTGTGACCGACGACACCACAGGAGATACATACGTGGCACTCACAGCCACCAAGGGCGTTAGCATGCTCACGAAGAACAGCATTCATGCCTACCCTGGCGTTGAATGTAACGGAGCGGCAAAGTTCAGCCAGACAATCATTCCCAGGTTGAATTTTGTCCCGTACTACTTCAAAGCCAACCGCGGCGGTTTCGGCCACGCGAGGGTTGGGCTGAGAAGATGGCATCATGATATTTGAGATCCCGCACGGACTACAGACTCGACAATGACTTATCCCTCTGGTGGTAGGGGAAAGTCCGTGACAGGATGAGCAAAGAGACACGGGCACTGTGGAGGCCAGCTCCTTGTCAGGGGTGCAGCTGGACCGTGTGAAATATCATACCGAGCGAATGGGCCGGGAGGGAGAAGACTGCATCACTTGTTGGAGTTGGTGGTAAAGACAAAAGCGGAAGTGGTCCTGGTTGGCAAGATCTAGCTTTTGTTCGATTATCTCGAGACTGATCGACGGCATGAAAGACAACGGCCAGCCTTTGGCGCCGGCTGGCATTGCTGCCCACACGCCAGACAGTGCCCATGAGCGTGCACTTTTTCAAACCTTTTTCTCCACAGGCCCCTCGACATCCTTGTCGGCCGACGCGCTTTCGGAATTCGACGATCCTTCATCTACTTCAGCTGCGGAAGCAATGGCATCGTTGCCAAAGTGCCTCACCACCAGCCACGTTGGAAACAAAGCCGCCGCCCATAACCCAAAGTTGATATACACACCTCCCACTTCAGCAAAGATCTTGATTGAATTCAGCCCGTAACTGACAGCTTGCCACGCGGACTCGGTGCTGCATTCGTCAGCTTTTGTCGGCCCGAAATAGAAACAAAACGAAACGAAACAAGGGCGCTAAGCTGCTCTTACCCACGAAGCAACGCCGCGTAGCGAATGATATCGACTGGCGTTGTGGCCAATTGCGCCATCATGAAATAGCAGAACAAGTAGTTCAGCTGGAAGCCTGTGGTCAGGAACAAGTACGGAACGAAGGCGTGACCGAAGCCGCTGCTCGTCCAGTCGTACGACGGCCTGGTGTGGCGGAATTTCGTTACGAGAATTGTTGCCCAAATCCACCATCCCCCTTGCAGAGCAACGATCGTGAGGAATGCAGATCTCGACCTGAACTTCACTGACACCTTGGTACGATCAAGGTAATGACCGAGAACATTACCGCATGTCACAGCAATGATGCCAGACAAAAACGAGCCGAGTGCACGGGCCCTGACACTGAACCACAACGAGAGGTACGTGAAGAAAACAGCCTCTGCGTACACGGCTTGGCCGATGAACAGAAGAAGCAGTAGGTATTTTTTGGTGAAGAACGTTCTTGTTGTGGCCTTGAGCTCGCGCCAGGGATGTTCAAGAATCTCCAATTCGACCTTGAGACCGTCGGTCCGCTCGACTTTGTCGGGTCGATTCAGCAACGCTGCCACAAACGGGCCCGTCGCCTGCAGCGCGATGAAGACCAGATAAACCGTGTAACTGACTTTGCCCGCCTCGTTGCGATGCGCATTGATGCCCAGGTTGATGGCGCCGCCCAGAATCTGTCCACCGAGCCGGTATGTGAGCCAGTATCCTAGAACCTTGCCGCGGTTATATGGCTCAGGGTACGCCAAAGCAATAGCGGCCTCCGCTGCCCAAAACACGCCGGCCGAGATGCCACAAAGCGCCGCTCCAAAGAGCACCAACCATTCCGTGCCGAAACGGTTGTTGGTGTAGAGGCCTGCCGCATAGGGGGCGTAACCCAGAGTGCCGAAGATGAGAGCGCCCTTGATGCCAATGTACTTTGTGAGGACGGGGGAGAAGAAACAGGATACCACCATGAGGCAAAAGGTCAGCGCATTGGCGGCGTTGACAAGATAGGGTTTCTCCTCTCCGCCGGCTCCGAGAGAGTTCATCGCTCCCCAGATACCCGGTGCTGCAAAATTGCAGAGACCAAGGACTGTGGCATTGTAGAAGGTCGAGCGGTGCCAGCGGACTATGAGTTGTTTAGACATGCCTCCTTTGCCTGCGCGTGGACAGACTGACCTGGATGCTTCTGCACAGATGATTCCCGGACATCTTGGAGCTCTGGATGCTTTGTCGTGACTGACGCTGAGCGAGACATTGGTTACTAATTGATCCGAAGAGAGAGCCAGGCTCCGGGTTTGCTTGTTTGGCTGGAAGTCTGACAACCAAGTTGGCTGGAAGGAAACAGATCATTCGAATCCGCCAGAGCAGGTGTGTTGCGACAGCCTTGTTGTAGAAGCTTGAGATTTCAACCCTTTCTCGCACGATTTCCGGCCACACTCTGACCTTTTTTATTTTTTTTTTTCCCCTTATCCAACAAAATCATACTGGGACGAGTCGTCAAACTTTGTGAACGGAATGGAGTCCTGAAAGACGTCAGACGCGCGAAGAGCACGCCATGGACCAGAAGCGAGTGAGAAAGACACATCCTCGCAATCACGATAATGCGAATCCTGGCTGCAGGTCCCAAAGCGTAAGACGGAAGATCCAGGTACCAACACCAGCAGTATCCACCTGGTGGAAGTGGTAGACGGACACGAATGGTCGATAACGTCCCGAAGGGAGCATTTTCTTCCTCGTCGGAGCAGCGTCTACTATCTTTGTGCGAGAGGGAGTTGCAGTGAGTGCTCTGGTCAAATGTGGAGCCACAAGCGCGACGAGGAAGCAACTTCGTGATATATGGAGCAGATTGCACCATTCGCTAACCTCTTCTAGATACTCTTTAGCATTGTATCCTTTTCCCGCCAAAGGTCAAGCCCTGATGGTAAGACGGACATCAGCGTGAGTGTTCTTGGACATCAGCATCGAAAAGAGAGAGAAAAACTAATTGTCGGTGGCTGTACAAAACAAACATACATTGCCATGCCCACTAAGTGCAGAGAGCAGCAAGGCTAGGACATTGCGCACGTCTTTTAACGTCCTGTGAGATCACGCTGTGAGATCTCGCCAAAGCCCAACACCATGTCATCAACGAACGGCACGCCAGAAGTGAACATTGGGCCACGCCCTGTCAAGAAGAAGCAATTGATCCTGAACGCCTTTGTCGAAACATGCTCGGGACATCAGTCTCCTGGGTTGTGGAAGCACCCCACGGACAAGTCACACGAATTCAATACACTGTCACATTGGACAAGCCTCGCTCAGCTTCTCGAGCGCGGCAAGATCCACGGCATCTTCATCGCCGACGTACTCGGCGGCTACGACGTGTATTCGCAGTCCCTCGACCCAGCCATCCGTTCGGGCGCACAGTGGCCAGTCCATGAGCCTCTGGCCTCGATCCCCGCCATGGCCGCGGTGACGAAATCCATCGGCTTTGGCGTGACGGTCTCGACAACGTATGAGCAGCCGTACCACCTCGCCCGCCGTCTGTCGACGCTGGACCACCTGACCAACGGCCGCCTGGGCTGGAACATCGTGACGTCGTACCTCGACTCCGCGGCTCGAAACATGGGCCTGGTCGCACAGCCACAGCACGACGACCGCTACGCCATGGCCGAAGAGTACATCAAAGTCATGTACAAGCTGTTCGAGTCGTCGTGGCGCGACGACGCCGTGAAACTGGACCGCAAGGCCGGCGTGTACACGGACCCTGCGCTTGTGCGGCAGATCGACCACGCGGGGAAGTTCTTCACCGTGCCGGGACCGCATATCTGCGCGCCGTCGCCGCAGCGCACGCCGCTCCTGCTGCAAGCCGGCACCAGCGCCAAGGGCAAGGAGTTCGCCGCGCAGCACGCCGAGGCTATTTTTGTGTCTGCGCACGCGCCCGAGGCGTGCAAAGCGAGCATCGCGGACGTGCGGAGGCTGGCCGGGGAGAAATTCAGGCGTGATCCAAAGAGCATCAAGGTTCTCGCGCTCGTGACGCCCATCCTGGGCAAGACCGAGGACGAGGCCCGCGCCAAGTACGCCGACTACAAGCGGTACGCCGACCTAGAGGGCGCGCTGGCCCTGTTCGGCGGCTGGACGGGCATCGACCTGTCGCAGTACGACGACGACCAGGAGCTGCGCTACGTCGAGAGCAACGCCGTCCGCGCGACCGTGGAGAGCTACGCGCGCTTCAGCCCTGGCGCTGGCAAGTGGACACGGCAGACCATCGCCGAGCACGTCAGCATCGGCGGCAACGGGCCCGTGCTGGTCGGCACGCCCGCCCAGGTTGCCGACAGCTTGCAGGCGTGGGTCGACGTCGCCGACGTCGACGGCTTCAACATCGCCTACTCCGTGTTTCCCGCCAGCTTCGAAGATGTCGTTGAGCTCCTTGTCCCAGAGCTGCAGGCCAGGGGCCTCTTCTGGGACGACTACGCTGTGCCGGGTGGCACGTATCGCGAGAACTTCTACGGACTCGAAGGCCAAAAGGGTCTGCCGGATGAGCATGTTGGTAGCCGATATAGATGGAGGGACGGGTTGGAAGCTGCAGAGCACAAGATACCAGATTAAGGGGGATCGACCTCGTGCGTGGAGGGATCAGATTCTTCGCTCGAGGCTGTTGCAGTCTGGAGCGTTCGTAGCTTTCAAGCTGAAGACTCGGGACGATTTCATATCTCTCAAAAGGAAATTTGGTCAGCAAACACCGAGTCCATTGAATCCAATACAAAAACCCAGTTCTAGAAATCAATATGACCAGGAAAAGGCTCCGCAACTACCCACCTCCCATGAAGTCCCTAGGCCCTGTAAACCTCAATAAACCAAGACACCGTTCAACTGACAAATCAGCTTGCCCCAAGGATCCTCCATCGGCAAACGCAAGACGGCGATTCATGACGGATTTGATTGCAGTTCAATGGCCAATGTTGTCGGCTTATACTTTTTTTCTTGCTCTGTAGACGTGAAAGTAAAGAAAGAACGGCACCAGGGTGAAAGCACAGGAGACGGCAGCAAAAATGGTCAAGACACGTTGCACGCCGAAATTTCCAAACAAGGGAATCGATAGAGCGACCCAAACCCCAACGACGACATATCAGACGAATGTGTTTGAAACCAGGGCCCATGCTGCGACCTTCGTGAACCTCTGCATTATGTACGCATAGGTTGAGATGAACAAGCAGAGCATGCTGAACCCAAAGAAAGCAGCACTACGAAGGTTAGCAAGAAATGCTTCACGGGTAAGGGGGACACAAGGGAGACGCACGTCGAACCTTATCACTGGAGACCAGTACGAGACTGAGCAGCAGGATGACCAAGCCATCCAAAAGACTGACGTGGGCAAAAGCGGCCCTCCGATCACCGCCCACCAAAGCATGACTTCTGGACCGCATGGCCATTTCATCGTGCCACAGCATGCTCGTTCTCTTTGATGATCAGCATACCAGAGGAGCGAAAAGCGTACAGGTAGTCAGCCCGACCGGGATGCTTAGAAACATGAGGCGCGTGTTGCCGTGAGCAGATCCGCATGTCTGTCCAAAGATGTCCTGGACGTTGGAAAAGACGCAAAACGAAATGCTGTAAACCAGCGACAGGTAAGCCGTGAAGACGGCGATGACGGGCTCTGTGAAAAGGATGATGCACGGTCGTGATAAAGCCAAGGCGAGCCTACGTCGCAAGGGAGTTTTGGGGGAACCGGAATGTCGCTGTCGTTGCGTGCTCGTAAGGCTTGCACCTTCCAGCGAAGAATCTCCTCGCGTGGGTCTCAGGGAGGAAGAGCACCATGAGGGGCAGAACTCCCCAAGATATGAAAAAGGTGAACCACTCTATACATCTCCAATTCATGTCTGCTGGTCCAACATATCCTCCAACAACAGGGCCAAACATTGGACCCAGAAAACCAATGCATGCAAAAAGCGGAAAGATCTTGCCCCGAATATCATGATCAAAGACATCAGTCAGGGGTTCCACCTGCAGCTGTGAATGGAGTCGAACCACTGGTACCTGCAAGGAATCGAAAGGTTAGCTCTGTTCCGATTTTTGAAGCGAGTGCCGCACCCAGAATCAAGCAGCAGTATAACGCAAAGGTCAGCAGATAGACAGGATTGCGCCCACGTTTCCTTGGGCAAGGGACCAGGGAAAGGTGCTTCACATCCGAGACTGACTAGATAGAGTGTCGTTGCCAAATATTCGATCATCTGGCTGATAGCAAAATGACTCGAAGCTTGCGGGAGGACTGCTCGGTCGATGGACGATCCAAAGCCCACATTGAATGCGATGAGTGATATTATAATCATAATGCCGGCCTTCTTCGAGGTAGGCCAATTTTGCGGATTCGCAAAGCCATTCTCGCCTTCGAATGTCGCCGCTGTCCATTTCTACGGCGTGTTTGTCCCGGTTGGAGCGGTCTGGGAGTCTCTTGTTACCACATGGAAGAAGCAAACAGATCACGATCTTACCTCTTCTGAGCTCTTTTCAGCATCGCTGCCCACGCCATGGGACCGAGTCATGCGCTGGAAGTGCAGCATTTGCAGATACGATTGCATGCTGTTAGTGGCTCGTCTTCAATGAAGTCGACTGCGATATGGTGAGGAGGCACCGTTCCACGAGTCCGGAAACCAACGTTAGTAGGGCTCCTGGTGGCAAGGCTCAGACCTATTTGGCCTGTCTCAATATCACATCTTTCGTGATGAATTTGAATCAATGACAAGAAGACCACTTTGTGCAAGTGATTGTTCTTGTATAATTCTAGCCTTGGGCAGGTTAATGGTCACAGGTATTCTTCAATGGTTCAAGACATGCAATCGTAAAAAGGAAGGTAGGAACAACAAATTACCTGGTTAGAAAAATTGTTCAATTGAAGAAAGAACAGAACGGTCACATCGATGATAGAGCCGATCATCGACTTCTCTAATCTCCTTTGTGCACTGTCAGCGTGTCAGCATTCCGTTTCGATAACGGCCCGCTGGCAGACGGAATGTGCCTATACAAGGACACGGTAAGCTCGAAATACTGATTTACGGGGCCGTGCTATTTGCCGCAGTTAACGATTGCAGCGCCAACCCTCACCGGTCGTGAGCGAATGATGAATAGAGTGCAATGAAAGTTTAAATCTCCTGGATCGTATTGGAGGTCTGCCGAGACACCGTCAACATTCCCTGATCGCTATCCACCAGACGTGAAGGATCTGATAATCGCCCATGAGCATGAGCAGAGGACTAGGCTGGCAGACTGCATCAAAGTCGGCATGTTGCGGCCAGGTCAAACTTCTGTCCAACGATATCTTCGCTGAGTTTCCAAAGTCGCTCAGCTGCTCTACCATCCCTTGCCCAACCTGCGGGTTTTGCTACCTGGCAGTCACTCAGGTAGATGACCTTGGGGTCTGCCAGATTTGGGTCAAGCGCGGCGACCAGGGTCGTTGCACTGCCCTGATCAAGGTCTTTCCAGAATCCCCCTGTCTTCTCGATTATGGATAAATGCTTCTCATCCAGGTTACGGGAAAGATCCGTCCAAATGGAACCTGGGTGAGTGGCAATCGATTGTATGCCCGCACCTGACAAATGCTGGTTGAGATAGAGTGACATGAGGATATTTGCAGTCTTTGATTGCGCGTACGCCACGAAAGGAGCATAAGTTTCCCCAGGTGGCGGATCAAACGACACACCAGGTCTTGACATTGGTCGCTCCTCGGCAGGAAGTTCCTCAGGCAGTTTACGGAAACTGTGGTCGCTGAAGCGTATAGGAGATATCATATGCCCCTGGCTGGTAACATTGATCACTCTGGTTGATCCCGTGGCCGAAGTTTGCGCAGCTCTGTAAAGTTTGGGCATAAGAAGATTTGTAAGGAGGAATGGGCCAATGTGGTTGGTTCCGAACTGAAGTTCGATTCCTTCACTTGTGAACGCATGAGTTGTCATCACAACAGCTGCGTTGTTGATGAGAATATCGATTCGGTCCACCAAATCATTGATGATCTTGGAGCCCTTGCGAATGGAATCGAAAGATGACAAGTCCACCTCAACAATTTCCAGGCGCATCGTGGGATGATCGGCTATGACTTTGGCAACTACCCGCTCAATTTTTGCCTTGGTTCGAGAAGCCAACAATAAGAGTGAAGGTGAATGAGCGGCAAGGGCTCTAGTCATTGATTCGCCCAGACTTTGAGGCGACACACCCACGATGACCACTACATCGACATCATCAATCGAAGATATTCGGAGACGGAGGAATACAGACGTGCTCACCTGTCTTGCCCCGGATATCGTCACTGAATGCACGAGCTACCTCTGTCGCCGTGGTGTATTGATCAAACTCTGGATGTGACGCCATTTTGAAGCGATGCTGCAACTATCTGTCAGGTACAGAAACCCTGACAAGCTAGTAGGGAATAGGGAGGAATGGACTCTCAGTGCAAGAAAGTCATACGGCTGAGGAGGCTATGACTTCAGGGGGGAACAGGAACTCACGTGCGAGGCGGGATATCGGAGAGTCGTTTAACAATCTGTTTCACAGATCGCACGATTTGACCGAGACGAGTTCGGGACGAGAAGATAAACGTCTGGTGACCTAGCGATGACAGGACACTTCAGACTGTGGTTGTATACTAGACCGCCAAAGTAGTCGATGCAAGGGCGAAATGATCCACCGGTTCGGCGATAAATATTCGACCTTGGCCAGAAGGACTTGCAAGGACTTGCCTGCGCGACTCAACACCAATTCATGGTTTTAGAATGAGGTTGTAAGCCGCCAATCAGAGGTAGCAAATACAAGCAGAGTGGGCTTGTATCTATGCTGGAGCTAGAGGTAGACAGCATGCAATTACCTTCTGTGGCGAAAGTCCATTCTCCAGAGACATTCAATGCTGAGTAGGTAACATAGTCCAGACGTACCATTGTCTTGAATCATGTCGGTTGGGCCGCGGCACGGAAGGGGAAATGATGGGGTGTACATCCTCGGCGTGGAGGGGAATATCCACTGCAAAACTAGGCCCAATCATCTCCCAGGATCTCGTGTTCCATTGTCCGTTTTAGTGCAATGCATGGGGTCGGCAGTTCAGTTGGAGAAAAGGTGCGCTATCTCCGATGTCACTAGGTTACTCTGACCATCCGCTTTGCATTACACGTGAGGAGGGACTGACGAGGTTGTCGTGGGGCTATATCGGCCTGATATGTTGATCAAAAAGGGTTTCGACTTTCTGCCATAAAGATTTTCCAAGAGCTCCTCTTTTTCTTTTCACGGATCCAGCATTGGTGAATATCAGGTCCGGATTTTTGTCTTGCAGCGAAGGTCGAATAGAAGCACTCGACGCAAGGGTTGGCAAAATGATCATGGCAGCGGAGGAACCCTTTGCAAAATCCAAGACTGGCATCAAGGTGATCATCGTCGGGGCAGGTAAACAGATCCAGTAATATTCCAGGGACTGTAACTCTGACAACAGATAGGTTTTGGAGGTCTCACAGCGGCAATAGAATGTCATCGTCAGGGCCACCAGGTTGAAATATACGAGTCCTTCCCGGTTCTCAAGCCTCTAGGGGACATTATATCATTTGGCTCAAATGCTGGTCGGATTTTTCGTCGATGGGGTGTCGACGGCTCGATAGCTAAGAAAATGAGGACGTTAAGCATCGACCTCGTAAAGCATGGATTCAAAATCCACAAGTACACGGGTGAGCACATCATCACTCAACCAACCCCTCCAATGGACCCCGACGCTCCAGTTTTCAACGGCCATCGCGGAGAGTTGCATGAGGTTATCTTCAATTATGCCAGAGACGATCTGAAGATCCCTATCCACCTCGGCCAACGAGTTGAGAAGTACTTCGAAGAAGACGACAAAGCTGGTGTTGAACTTGCGAATGGTGAAAGAGTATGATCAAATTATCCTGCCGAAAGTTGGTTACCGTTGCTGATGGTTGCCAGATATACGGCGACATGGTAGTTGGATCAGATGGTGTGAGGTCGAAAGCACGAGAGCTTGTCCTAGGATATGTCGACAAGCCGAAGAGCAGTGGCTATGCAGTCTTTCGCGCCTGGTGAGTTGTGGAGAGGGCAACAAATGGTTCGAGCAGAAGCTGAGTTCCTCCAGGTTCCCCAATACCGATATGATCGCCGACCCTCGGACGAAGCATTTCTGCGACAATGGCGATACATTTCAAGGCTGGATTGGACAAGATGTTCACTTCCTTTTTTCGACCATCAAGAACGGAAGTGACTGCTGTTGGGTGCTAACGCACAGAGTAGGTGCAAGATCAACGTCAGTTTGACTTCGCTAATCCCCGCACAGGACGAGGCAGATATCGACGAATCCTGGTCATTTCCCGGTAAGCTAGAGGATGTGTACAAGGTATTCGAGGGTTGGGATCCTCTCTGCAAAACCATTGTTTCGAAAACGCCAGAAAGTTATCTTGTCGACTGGAAACTGGTGTACCGAGACCCACTTCCAACATGGGTCAGCAAAGGCGGTCGCATCGCCTTGCTAGGGGATTCGGCACATCCGTTCCTGCCGACTTCCGCTCAGGGTGCCACTCAGTCGATGGAAGATGGCGTGACTCTCGCGATTTGTCTCAGGCGGGCTGGAAAGGGCCAGGTCCCAGACGCTGTCCGGACGTATCAAAGAATCAGGTAGGTGATATTGAGGTATGCTCCAGCCATATACTGAGTTTGTCTGCAGGTACGACCGTGTGAAGGCAGTGCAGAAGACCGGAGAAACAACACGAGACATGTGGCACAAGGCGGATTGGGACAAGGTCAAGGAGAACCCCAAGTCCGTGCAGTTCCCACGTGAGGACTGGATTCACATGCATGACGCCGAGAAACATGCTGAGGAAGTCTTTGATGAGAACTTTGCTGCAATTCAGGCCGCGGAAAAGGGAATGCCCGAAAAACTGGTGAGCGGGGTGGACACAATTAATGGTGTCAATGGAGTGCACGGGGTGACTGCAGTAACTGAAGTGAATGGTACTCACTGAGCGTGCCCATCGTTTCGTATGGTGGCTGAGATCTTAGCAGAATCGATTCGCTTACAAGCGAAGCTGTGACTGTCCAGTCCATGGAGTTTAAGCTGGTGGTGTATAGGCTATAGAGAAAGGGAATGTGCGCTGGATATGACAAAACTTGCGTCTTTCCGTGGAGACAATAAGATGAATGTGTAGCTATTGGCATTCGCGACTTCCCAGTATTTCACTGAATTTCGAGGCAATGATTCTTGGTCAATGTCGACGTCCACTGAATATTGAAAGAAAGATTGCGGGAGGCAAGAATATATTTCACCACGGTGGATCACACCTGTTGTAAGTGCACAATATTCGGCGAACCATTCAAGACCCTAAGTGCAACAAAATTCCCTTCACCATCAAATCATTTTGTCCTTCCAATGTCTGCAACAGCATTGCACATGTGGCTGCCTCATATTGATTAAATCACTTTCTGTGATGAAGCTACATCCCTGGGAGCAATGGGAATCCCGCGACTATCGCAGGATCTCGCTCCTTATGCGGATCACGTTGTCTTGGGCAAGCCACCTCCAGCCTCCCTTCAGGCTGAAGTCACCATTATCAAAGATCTGATCATTGACGGACCCTCACTTGTGTACTGGGTCTATAACAAGCTGCTGGCATATCGGCTGTTGAATAGCCTGGCGGGCGCCACTCTGCCACCAGCTTACTTCCAAATCAACCAAGCCCTGCACCACCTCCTCAATGACCTCCAAGCTCATGGCGTCCACATTCAACATATCTTCTTCGACGGAGGGCTTCCCACGTCCAAGCGAGATGTCCGCCTGGAACGGATGGAGAAGCTGCGGCAGCAACTAGAAACATACCGCAAGCTCTATTCTGAATTTCCAGCTATTGCTACTTCACCTGATCTTGGAGACTTCGACAAGATGCTCTGGCATACTCCCGTCATGTCGACGAGGAAGTCTACCCTCCCAGCTCCGCCGTTCATGGTTGCCAGTGTGATTGAATCTTTACGCAACACTGAATGGGGTGGTTGCGTTCATGTGGTCCCGGGTGAAGCTGACATGTTCTGCGCTCTTGCCGCTCAACAGTCTGCACACATTGTGGCCATCCTTACAAACGATTCCGACCTAGCAGTTCACAACCTCGGATCCAATGGCAGGGTCGCGTTGCTATACAGCATCGAAAATAAGCACAGACCCTCGTACAGGGAGTCTTATATCTCTGCGCTGTCTCTCAACCCGAACCCCATTGCAGCCAGGCTCAAAGTGTCGTCTTTGCTCAGATTCAGTTTTGAGCGCTTCCTTGATTCTTCAGCATCTCTTGCAAACATTCAAGAACGCGCAAGGGACTCTTCGAGGTTGCACAGATTGCAGAACGAATATATGGCATATGCAAAACCATTCGTTCTGAATCGGCCAGAAACGGCACACCCGCAATACTATCTCGAAAATATGGATCCACGAACAGCAGAGATTGTCAGCAACTTCGACGAATCACCACATATTTATTTTACTCCTCTCCTGGAAGATCCTCAACGTGATTCTTCATGGTCATATGGAGGAAATATTCGACTAATCGCATATTCCCTGCTCTTCAAGACCTTACCAGTAAATATCGTGGGGACATCGCCGCACATGGTAGAATGCGCAAGAAAGGGACGAAGAATCACTTCTCTCTCGGTTGCAAGTTTGAAGGTATCCGAGCTCGTTAAGCAAGCAGCAGAACTCCTCCAACTCGTGGACACCTATATCTCATCCTGCAAACAAGGCCCCATACCCCGCAATGGAGCTACTCTTGTGGAATGGTACTCGCTCGCTATCCACCTCCTTCAGCAAGAGAAAATGAGACTTGACAAGGCCACTCCAACCCCAGAGCAGGCTTTACGGCTCTTAGGCTGGCCATCGACGACTCAGTTTTCTCCAATGGCGCCGACGAGAATAAACTGGGACGATATCCACTTCCTCGCGAATATTCATGCAGTGCTGTACTCTCTCCGAATACTTGCGCAAGTGACTGGATATATTTGGAATTACATCAAAGAGACTCCAGGCCAAAAAAACATGACAAATATTCCAAAACCTGCCCATAACGATGATGTTTCAGTACTTATAAGCGATATCCATCCTAAATTATCAACAATGCCTCCGATAGAAGCGCTGTTTCTGGACATCCCACACATTCGCGCTAAATTGAGTGACCTAGATCTTGAAACACGGACTTCGGCAATTGAACTCTTGAAGCACCAGCTTGATCCCGATTACGGCAACACTCAAGGAGAGAAATCGGATGCAAGTGAAGCAGCAAACGTAAAGTGGCCTAGCTCGATAGACGGAGAGTGGATAACCACAAAATGGAAGAAAAGGAAAAAGAAGCAGCAGAGCAATTTTCAAAGAGTTACTACACGAAGCGCAAATGGGTTCGACCTGCTCTCGGAAGATCCTGGGTGAATTCCACATGTTCTCGCCCGCAGTTCGCAAACTCACAAGTCTCCTAATATTCTGTCTAGCCAGGGCTCAAATGCCGACTGTGTCGAAGTGACATTGTCTACTCTAGGACATTTAACTCAGCCAAAACTTCCCCGATAATCACTTCCATCTCCTGCTCTGCGTCCACAGGGAAGACATCCGTCTCATCAACGCCAGGTTCTTCCATCGCTTCCAACTGAGATGCTATCATATCAACTTTCATATAATGTCCCTCTGTCTGGGCCACCCTGCGGAGTGTTTCGTCCTCTGTGGCCTGCAACATGACAAACACAGTTTTGATGCATTCTACTTCTGTCTCACCGTTGGCCGCGGACAAAATGTTTCTCAACGCATCGCGATGGGAACGGGAAAGTGCGGAGCACGTTAAGATGATATCTCTTCTGTTGCTCTCATTGGGTCGCGGCCGACCACCACGAACAAGATGGCTAGCTCGAACGCATTCCAGGATCTCAACTTTGATTCGACCGAGCCAGATTTGCCTGTCTAACGAAGTTAGAGGGATTCCCTGACTCATCTTTGCAGTGGCAATGGCATCATGGACAACGTCACCGTCAATCACCGGGCATGATAAGGATCCCGCAAGCTCGGCGGCAAGCGTACTCTTACCAACGCCATATGGAACTATTGCGACGATGAGCCGGGTCTGCGACTGCGACCGATTGCCAGCCTTTGGCAGTTTAGGCAACCAACTCGTCTTCAGAAAGTGGCTGACGAACTTCTTCACCAGCTCTGGGGATAAAGCAAGCACACTACCCAGTTCAGGCGAGATCTGTTCTGCTGTCGAGGTAACATAGTTGAAGCTTTTCCTTTTGGTAACGTCGTTGTCATACTTATTCGCGAAGAATTCCACAAGCTTGATCGTGGGATTCTGTTCAGGGTCTGGATTTGATGCGCGCAGGCGGCGAACCCATTCGCGCTGACCCACTTGGGTAAATGATAGACCTGCGCTGTGCAGTGCGGGCAGGAGATCTTTCGTCCAATGGAAAGGACGAGGATTGACGATGTTGAAGACTGAATGTGTGGTGCTTGAAAGGGAGATATCCATTATGGTCGTCGCGACTCTATCAACTGGCAACCAACGTGGAGATTCATCGAGGGCTGGGAGGGTACCAATTGTGGTGGCTGCTTGCAGCATCAACGGTATGGCCTCGGTATCATTCCAGATACCATGCGTAGTGTCCGCAATGATCTGTCCGACGCGCAGAACTCGGGCCTGGAGTTCTGTTTGAGAGGCGGCTCGAGTCACCAGATGCTCAGTCACGAGCTTTGATTGCGCATATCCCATGCGTTGAGCACACTTGAAGCTGGGAGGAAGTGCCTCTGCAATGACATCTCCTGGGGTGCTCGCCACGGTTGAGACCGACGAACAGAAATTGAAAGAAGCAGGAGTAGGCTGTCTGGCTGACAGGCAAAGAAGTATCAAATTCCGGGTGCCTGCAATACAGTCTGCCTCGAAGCTGCTGAGGTTTTTGTTGAAGTTGACCGACCAGGCACAATGCACCAAGCTTGTGATCTTTGCTGAAATGCTAGCATAGAGTCTGTCATCGAGGCCCAGGTTCGCCTTTGAAAAGTCAGATGGATAGCAGGAGATCTTGCGACGTAGTTTCAGTGGAAGTGCGTGGTATACGGCCCGCTCCTGCATCGACCTAATGACCCGTTGACGAGCAGAAGTCTCGGAACTAGCTCGTACCAGACAACATACCTCGGAAATATCCTCCCGGCGAACTAGCTGTGCAACCAGGTGTGCTCCAAGCGATCCAGTCGCACCTGTGACAACGATGCAATTCTCCAGAGACTTTAATGGCACAGGAACATGTTTGGGGAAAACGCCGTACTTAGCAACAAGCTGTTCCATCTCCTTGACCACGTCCCGCGTCTCGACAGATTTGCTATCTCGAATGTTGAGAATGGCAGCGGCCAGTTTAGCAATGGTGGGGTATTCGAAGACAATGTTCTGTGGTAACAAGTTGCCGTTGAGTTGAATCTCCTTCGATATCTTGGCACGGAGCCTCGTCGATTGCAAGGAGTCCACACCCAAGGAGAACAAATCGGTATCATCTGCAAGGCTGGTGGGTTCATCTTGAGGACAAAGCTCCAACAGATTTGTTCGGAGGAATTCTCGCAGTTCCGGTTCTGAGAGCACAAGTGTGCCACCCATCCTCGACTCTGCTTGTTGATAAACCTCTTCGATGTCTTTATGGAAGGCTCGGTAGAATGCCTGGCGCATTAGGGAACCTTTGTCGGTGCTAGGATATGCGGTACCGGCGGGCAGAACTCGGACCATGTCTTTAGCCAGTTGGGCATAAGCAGGCAATGACTTGTTCTCTGCCTTGATTGTTGGCCAAAGTGTCTCGATCAAGTCTCGGTCCTCTAAGCCCTGGCCCTGCTGGGAAGCAATGACCATCATACCTAGTTGGCTCTTACCGGCCCCAAACATGACCGCCTCTCGAACCAGTTTGTTCTGCCGCAGCGCCTGCTCCATGGCAATGGGAATGGCTTTCTCGCCATTGACCAAGACAAGAGTATCATCAAGTCGCCCGCAATATTTCCACGCTCCTGGTATCGACGGATGGGGCTCAAAGAGATCTTTCGTCGCGTACGATCCGTCATCACGATTCGTCGCCACCTTTGACGGCCATCCGTCCAAAACACAAAGCTCATAAAGGCTCCCACCTTTGGGGTCCATCTTGAGATAGGGTTTCAACTTTTCATGTTCTCGGACGTAATTCCAGGCCTTGTCGTCAGCAGGTCTGAAAGATGTCATAAGCTGACCCGTCTCAGTGGTCCCATAATGACTGATCAAGTTGACACCACCCTCAGTCAGCAAGTTACCCAGAGCATCTGGACATGCCGAGCCTCCGAACATGACAACTTTCAATGCCGCCAGCGCGTCGACCCCCTCCTGAGTCTCGCTTAAGAGTTTGAGTGCATATGGTACGGCGAGAAAGATCTCAAATTGGTGATCCGTCAGGATTCTGAGCAGGTGCTCACTGGTTAACGGTAGGTTGGCATTGTACATGTATATCTTCTTGACGGCGGTGATGCCACGGAAGACGTTGCTGAGTCCGAAGGCGTGAAAGAGTGGCAGCGTGACAAAGCCACGCATTCTCAAGCTGTTCTCGTAATTCTTCAGTGCGGCTTTGTGGGTTTGGTAGATGGGTTTCGGAAGGCCAGTCGAGCCAGATGAGTGGATGATCCAAGCAACCTTGGAAGACTCCTCGTCCAGATCAAAGTTCTGCTGTGCTCCAGTATCGTCTAGTTGTGCGTCGGCCACGTACTGGTCGCGAGACAGAATATCTATGACCTCCAGTCTGGGTCTAGAAGCCATAAGTGCATTTGCAGTCTTTCGAAATGACGGATCGATCACGATGTGGCGGCATTCCGTGACGTCCAATAACGACAAATAAGCCGCTTCGGATATTCTCGTCGACAGGAAGAGCACCGTGAATCCTAGTCTGGATAGAGCCAACAGGGTGAAGAAGTAATCCAAATTGGAAGGCCCCAGCAAAGCGATGACTCGCGCCTCTTGGTTCGAGTTGGTACGGGCCGGCAAGCATTTCGAGTAACCTCGTGCTGCTTGAAAAGATATTCTCACGAGGTCCGAGTATGTGTATTCGAGATAGTCGAGGTTGTCGGAGGGATACCCAAAAATAGGCTCATCTGGAAACTCTCGCGCTCTCAGTGATAGCAGCTCTGTGATTGTTCGCGGAGTCGGGAGCGGCGGTGATAACGGTGGCGTTGGCGGTTGGACCGTCGTAGATGTGACCGAATTGACTTTCGAGACAGGAACGGGAGACATCATTTCCACCGACGCCATATTGATTCTATGTCTTTGTTGTGGTTTGCGCAGAGGTCATGGAGCTTGCTCAAGGCGAAACATATGGAGAACATGGGCCATTTAAGAATCTCCCCCCGATTTCCCTCCCCCCCAGTGCCTACGAGAACGGAAATGCTTCGTCCAAAGAAGGGAATTGTCTTTTTGAGGTTGGTGCCGGCCGTGCTGGCCCACTCCTCCCATGGAAATATGCGATGAGCGAGCGATATGATAATCAGTTCCCTGGCAAACTCGGTCATCGAATTCCGTCGGCCCAAGTTGCGTGCCATTCAAATAAACGCGGGGGCTTGTCCGGGACCCCATATTAGGTCGGCATGCGCCCGACACTCCGCACCAGCAGGCTAGTTGGCTGAATACGGTCATAGGCGGAGCAATGCCCCTGAACGCTGAAGACCGATACTCACCCTGCCAGAGGACGGGGATTCCGTCGGGCTGCACGACGGAAGAAATCATAAGGCTCACCTTGGCAGAGTCTGGGATGCTGTCTTTGTTCAGGGGGAGCAGCCTCATCGCATTCCACTGGAGATCTTGGCCACGAGTGTCCCATGGAAGGTTTGGACGAGATATCTGGCGAACTGGCTAATCCGTTAGTGACCGGCTCGATCTTTCCATACGAAAAATTCGGAAAGGTAGGTCTTCTCTAGGGCAATACGGAACGTACGCAGACCATCAAAAGCACAAAGAGGGCTGAAGCAGGGAGGCACGACAAACGAGGACAGATTGTGCTCTGAGTATTTCTTCTCGGAATGGTCAAAGTTCTGAAGACTGGCGACCATTTCAGGTCAAACACTCAGAAGTTACCTCAAGGGGTACAGTAATCTCTCCATCACTCATCTGCGGCCCTTTTATCCAGATTAAATGGTTTGTCGATCCGGGACATTTCCCTAACAACTAGACTATCTACGAGGAACCCGAGGTGCTACGGCCTTCTCACACCAAGCCCTAAGGATTCCCGACCTGTCCTTACAACGTTGCAAGGTCTGCCTATCATCAGAAATCATTATAGGATTACATCTTGACCGACAGGCACTCACACACACCACCTATCCCCCGGAAAGGGGACCGGCCAGTCGTCGTCGGTATCGTCGCTCTCCTTCTTCAAGGCCATAGATCTGCTGCTCGCACAGATGTCTTCTTCCTCCTCTGCTGCCCCAACGTCTCCCCGAAAGTGGATAGGCGGGTGACATGTGCACAGGAACCATGTAGGCCTGTGGCTGGACGGGCTGCGCCGGGCCTGGGTGTGGATAAGGGGGCGGAGGAATAGCGTCTCGAGGTCGCTGCTGGTTCTGGCCGACGTCGCAGGCTTGGAGGAGGGCGAGGAGCAGATCCGTTCTGTGCCCAAGGTTGGTCGATCGGTAGATACCCCCTGGGAAGGGTTGTGGAGATGGGAAGTCCAGTGATGGTGCTCGATCGGGGCACTAGATTTTTCGCCCAGTGTGAGAAGGTGGAATTGGACGGATGGGCCGCGAAGGGACAAGAAAGAAAGAGAGAGATACTGGGTATTCTCAACCGTTCAACGAAAGGTCTCTGGAAGAAGTCGTTCGTCTTCCGCCAGGGCACAGTTCCGGACCAGCAAGGATCGGCCTTCGTTCCCCCTTTAAATTCCCCCGGAAAGATTCAACATCCTAGCGAACGGTTGCCGGCCTGAACAACAGCGCAAAACATCCCCATGCATTCAACAGACAAGTCGATCCTTCCACCCAGCTATCCTTGCCAGGTCTGTGCAGTACATGTGTCATGTTAGTTGGAAGGACAGCGTGCTGGTGACAGGGTGATTCCACGTGGTCGCGATTCCAACCCTATGTGTATGTTTATGCTAGGAGCAATCGGGCGGGGTCGACGTATTAGTTACCCGTACGCGTGCTTGTACCTGGGTAGTGTGGCAGGGGGGCTGGCTGGAATGCAAGACCTGGAGTTACTCCCCTCTCACAGTCATCCATGGCAGGCAAGGTTTCCCGAGGAACGCGCTTAAAAGCCAACGGGGACTGGTGAAAAGGAGACTCTGGCCGAAACCATGCAACGGCGCAATGACTGAGGCCCTGGATACGACGGGCACAGAAAGTGGTGCGTGGTTTCCGTTGCCCCAGGCCACGACTCACGACCCACGACTACTCTCGTAGATATGTACATGTGTACATCTGGAACGGGGGGTTGGAATCAAATTCACGCTGCCGCTGCCCGAGGACAACGTCGCCGCCGCTGGTAGAAAGTCTGGTTCCAGAAGTAACTAACATCTTTATCCGCGACGAGCATACATGCCGGATTGAGAAGAATTTCCACCTTTTTGACAAGGATTTTTGGATACTATACTTACTACACCACGTTATGCTATGCTATGCTATGCATGCCGCAGATCTACAATTTAGTACGACCAAAAGAAAGCTAACTCATGGCTGGACGCTGAACAGATCCCCCTCCCCAGGAAACCCAACCGTGTCCAGACTCTCCCAGCCCCAGCCCAGGAGGTTCTGAAACATAAAGTCGTCGTCGGACGGCGTGAACTGGCCCACGAGCGCCGCGTCCACATCCACATCCCCATCCATGCGAGACAGGCCGCTTTCGACCCCGGGTCGGACCGCGTCGTTGGCATATTCAGGTTTCTCAGAAGTCGAGTCAAGGTGGGGTGGCCGAGGCCCTGTGATGCTCTGGGAGTCTGCTGGTTCCGAAGAAGAGGTCAGGTGTGATGTCGTCGATGGAGGCGCGAACTCGTGAGACGCTGCCATCCTCGAGATCGCTGCCTGCTCCAAGCCCGACGTCCTCCTTCCATTGCTTCTTTTCGCTCGCGCCGAATCTTTCTCGGCACGGAGCCGAAGCCGACTCAGCAGCTGACAGTGCCGCCGTGCCTGACTGCCTTCTGGTGCCATCGTGGCCAGTTGGTCCTGGCAAAGCTTAGCCTTATCGAAGAACACGTTCATGTCAGGAAAGACACCTGGTGGAATGTTGGCGCGGCTGCTTTGGATGACGAAGACGTACAAGGTAGATACCGCGACGAGAGCAATATACTGGGTGAACCAGAAGGACTGGTACATGGCAGCCCGTTGAATCAAGTCACACGTGGTATTGAGGATGGTGCTTATGGCACTGGCACATTCCCGAATAGGGTTCAAAGCCCTCTCGTCTAGGACCGACAACGCCCTCCGGCCAAGGCGACTGAAGTCTGCGAGCAGGCACCGCCGAGTGACAAGAATCCGCAGATGTGCATACGCCAGCTTCAAGACGGTGTTCTGGCGCTCGAATGTTCGCTGTCCAGCCAGTGTCTTATCGCGAGGTTTGAGGAAGTCAGGGAGACTGTCTTTCCACTCCAGCGTGGCCTCGAGCATGCTGTTGGTACGGTCAAATAGCTGATCTTCGGACAGTGGTTGGATCGGATAGAGGAGATCGCTGTTGCGTCCCATTAGCTTCGCGAGATCCGCATGAGCGATGAACGCTTCCAGGTTGCCATGCAAGGGCAGGTCCTCGGGCGATTCGGACGACAGCAAGTCTTGATCGTCAATGTTCCGAGGATACGGTTGGTCGATGTCCTCGTCGCGGAGCATGCGCGGCCGCCCAAGCATGACGCTCAGATAATCATCCAAAACATAAGCGCACCAAAATGTGCGTTTGCGCGACTCCAAAGTCACTAGATCTAGCCTGTGGGCGGAAGGAATCTTCCTATGCAGGCCAATGGATGTCAAGAGCGTGCAAGCTAGACTGAAGCAGAATCGGCATTCGTTGATCCGGAAAGTACTCAGAAGGTACAGACACATGGCAAGCCTGGCCTGGACGCTCGTAACGGAGGCTGGTCCAGGCTCTTGATTAAGAAGTGACTTGGCCTTCTCGAAATCTGTGCATCAGGGACGAGTCAGCAATTTCGCCATAGTGACTGGCTGTCAGGGACGAAAAGGCTTCTGGGCTCCATGTCGTGGATTTGATCTAGCATAAAACTCGCTGGGGAAACCGTGGTACCGATGTGTAGACGTCAGATACCAAAGCACGTCCCTCATGACCCGGGATCCTGACCGTGTTTGCATGACAACCTGGAGACAACTTACAGAATTGGCTCCGGTTGAGGTCCTGGTCCTCGCCGTCAATGTATCTATCGCCCTCTCTCGTATACAGAAGCGACTGCGAGAACACCAACAGGGTACAGGCGATTTCCGCGGTCAACATACGAGCCCCTGACAACAGTTGAGATGTCCACTTTTCGAGCGTTGGCCGATGGAGGAAGCGATAGGTTGGCGTTGCAAAACGAAAGTAGCGCTCCAAAAGCGCATCTGCCTCCTCTCGTTTGGGGAACGGCTGGTCTTGTCGAACCTGAACTGGAGGGATGTCTCCATGGCAGGTCAACGGGGCCGATGGTAATACAGCCTCTCCCTCGACTGCATCACCTCGATTCCATGAATGATAAAGGAAGGATACTCCCGCTGTTGCGGCAATATGGTGGCCTTCAGCAAAGGTCGGTTCCAGAGATGGGCCGCGGGACATATGGGGTGTATGCTCGCGGGATATGATGGCTGCCCGGTTCGACGATTGCGGGATTGAGGAAGTGGCGTTTGCACGTTCGCCTGCTGGGCCGCCAGGCGAATGCCAACTTCCTGGAACTGGATGGATGTTTGGGCCAGAGATTGGGGCATGACTGAAAGCCCTAGGTGGTGGCCTCGCGACACCGTCATCATACTCGCAGCGAACTCCTTCACCGCTGCAGTAATCACAGGGTTGAGTGCCTGAGCATCGCACTTTTCGTCTGCATACGTATCATACACCGTCAGTATACAGCCATGGAGGAGGTAAGGGTTCCAATGGAGTCTGCTGGTTTGAGGCTTCGTTTGGAAACAATCCCTGCCGCCGTGGCACCAGTGGGATCACATACCTCCTACAGAACATGCAAGCCCTTGCTGTGCGGGGATGTTTGAGCTTGCGTCTCTTGGGAGGGCTGGATGGGAGAGCATCATTCTCCGTCGGAGACTTGATCTTGGACTCGTCCATGCTTCGTGGGTCGAATAACTTTGGATCAACTGCCTTCCGTAGGGACGGCTGACAGACAAAAGGATCGAAGCTGCTCTGATGAGATGGATCAGGTGGCGGGGAAATCCTGGCACGGCGGAATCCCCTCGGCTCTAGAGAGTGTCTTGGGCGAGGACCAATCTCGAAAGGGCGTAAGCAGGCTAGCCTAGAGCCGGCAAACGGGGGGTTTCCTCCGTCGGCAAGCCGAGGAAAAACAATCCTCCTCAAAGTCCTTGACTTTGGATCCGGTTTGACGCAACGTGGGCGCCCTTGCGTTGTGGCATCGGTTCAATAGCCGACAAAGCCGAGTGTCCGGTGGAAAAGTTTCCTGGGCAGGATACGGAAAAGAAAAGGAAAAGCGAAGGAATGATGCTGAGTTGAGAATGATAAGCGCAGCTCCCTCTGCAGTGGTAGAGTTTCGATCTCTCCCCGAACACAATACGTTTTTCGCATTGATCATTCACAGAAAAACCAAGACCGCAGCTATGGCACTCAATCGAACGTTCACCCTCAACACAGGGGCTAAAATTCCTGCTGTCGGATTCGGCACGTGGCAGGCTGCACCGCATGAAGTCGAGAAGGCGGTAGAGATAGCTCTCAGGGCTGGGTACAGGCATCTGGACTGTGCAGCGATCTATAGAAATGAGACAGAGGTCGGCCTCGGCATTCGGAAAAGTGGCGTCGACCGGAAAGACATCTTCATTACGACCAAGCTCTGGAACAGCAAACACGATCCCAAGGATGTCGAACCGGCACTCGACAAGTCGTTAAAGGATCTCGGTCTCGACTACGTTGACTTGTACCTCATGCACTGGCCCGTGGCTTTCGCATCTGGCGACCGGTGGTTTCCCCTCGACGAGCAGGGCGTGTTCCGGCTGTCAAATGTGCATTTCAACGAGACGTGGAAGGCGATGGAGGCATTGTTGAAGACTGGGAAGACCCGCGCAATTGGTGTCTCAAATTTCAACGTTCGCCGTCTGAAGGAGCTCCTGTCCAGTTGCGAGGTAGTTCCTGCAGTTAACCAGGTTGAGGCACATCCATATCTTCAGCAGCCCGAACTGCTCGCCTTCTGCAATGAGAAGGGAATCCTGGTCCAGGCATATAGTCCTCTAGGCAATAACATGACTGGAGAGCCAAAGACAGTCGATGACCCCGAAGTCCATGCCATTGCAAAGTCCTTAGGGATGGACCCTGGTGCGGTTCTTGTGAGTTGGGCCGTCCAACGCGGCACGGTGGTGCTTCCTAAGAGTGTCACCGAAAAACGCATCCGCGACAATTTTCAAGATGCGATCCTTCCCGACGATGCGATGCAGAGGCTGAACGTGCTCGAGAGACACAAAAGGTTTAACTTCCCTGCCCGATGGGGGTACGACATCTTCGACGAGCTCGGTGAAGAGCAGGTCGCCAAAATCGCAAAGGAATCTGGGACCGAGAATCTGCAAAAATTCACTGTTTGAGCATAGAAATTAGATCTGCAATAGACCGACCACATAGACCAATTGGTCTAGCCACCAAGTTCGTTTCCACGTTTCTTGTTTCTCGGTCGCGTAAATACATAGACGAATCAGCCGCCACTGGTTATAACCCGATCGCAGGGCAGAACCTTTGGTTTTCGTAGTTCCAATCAAAAGCCACCCAAACCCCATATAGGTGGATATGACTTGCGATGACCACCAAGACGTGGAAAAATTGGTGCGATGAAAACCAGATGTCATAGTCGCCTGGCCATATCGACTCGGGTATCCGAGTGAAGAAGAAGAAAGCGCCGATCCCATACACGATGCCCTCCAGAAACCAGTAGGGCATCCCCGAGCGTACCCACATCTCGCTCCAGCCGTAGAGGTAAAGGCCGTGAATGATGGGTGCGAAGCCTGAAAGTCCGGTGGATATAAAAGCCCACGTTCGATGACTCCGATATTTGAGACCCTGTAATTTTGGGTGCAAAACCAGTATGGCCGTAATGAGGCTAAGGGAAATGATCATGCTCCAATAGACCCGACGGAGCAGAGGTTCGCAATAAAATCCAACATAGATTCCAGAAAAGAAGCTTCCCAGGATCAGCGTGAGGATGCCCACGTAATCGACTCTCAGCATTAAGTTCTCGATATCCTCGGAATGGCAGATAAGGGTGTGATAGGCAGAGGAAAGCAGCATTGTGACGATTGCAGCGCCAACCTGGGTGCTGAAGACGGCGTAATCAGCCATTGACGCATCGGGGTAGAAATAGCTGAGACCGCGGTAGACGAGGACTTGTCCGACAGCAAGACAGAAGGCCGGAACGAGATGAGTGTAGATATTGACCGACTCGTTGTGAAGGTGCCCGAGAGAAAGGATACAAGTAGACCATGAGTTGGACACCGGTCGATAGCCCGATCTCGTAAAGTGGTTACCTTGGTACCATTCAGGCAGCTCTTCGAATCTTAGCAGCCTGTAGGGCTTCGATTTGAGCTTCGCAAGATTCTCGTGGAGCTTGGGAAGGCTTGGTGCTCGCGCCCGAGCCCTTGCCAGTTTCTCGTTTGGTTTTCGGTAGGCAAGAATGAACGACATTTTGTTTTCCGCCCGACAAGATTTCTAAAAGACCGATCGAAAGGGAGATTCACAGCACAGATCTATATGGTTGAGTGTAGTAGAGGCAGGAAAAGAGAGGAAGCAGAGGATTTGACTAAATATATATTCCCCAACCGTCGCGATTGCGCCTCCAACACATAAAACTCGCAGACTGGGAAAGGAGGGAAGGCTCTGACTTCACATGCGCGAAAACGTTAAAATTTGACCCAAGGCGCCGACGCGTTGATCTGCAGATCGAGTGGCTTGTGATTCGCCAACCATTCCGAGATTTGATTTCAGGGCTCTGCGCCAGTGAACAGCGAGACAGCTCCTTCGTAAGGCTGGACCCAACTTGCCGACTGATTCCGCGGCTTGGTCGGGAGCCAACGTCGTCATTGTTCGCTTGCCACTCCGTTGTCGATAAGAGGAATTTGGGAGCTTTAGGTGTTGGCCGTGTATTTGAGCTGGCCAATTCTCCCTTCGACGCTGATTTTGTTCTTGCTAATGATTTGGAACAATGTAATAACAAGGCGTGACTGTGATTCTTCTGCCGCCGCTGGGGAAACCTTCAACTCCAAGTGCGCAGGGACAACCACGGGCCGCTTGAACATAATTTCCATAAAAAGCGGCTCGTTCGCGTTGGCAAAAGCAATGTACTTGGCAGCTAATGCACCGATGTGATTGCCATGGGCTAGTTTCCCTGGGAACCCAAAGAGCTTTGCCGCGATCGTTGAGGTGTGAATTAGATTGAAATCTTTGCAGAGCCTTGCCCAGCCGGTGGGATCATTGTACTCGATCGTGAGAGGTATCGAAGCTGACCAGGCTGGGCTTGATATACTAGTACTATCTGGGGCAGCATCCCGTCCCTGAATGATCTCTGCGCGAGCTCTTGCAAACTGCAAAATAGTGAAATTTTGCCGAAAGATTGTGATCGAGTCGATGGAATCCTTGTTCAGAACATTCAAGCTTACCGTGAGGTCAACCTCAAACCCTCGTTTGACCGTGCGGACATGCTTCGAGAGCCTTGCAGTTAAGAAGGCCTCTTTGAAAGACAACAATGTCTACCCTGTGCAGAGGTCGGGCCTCAACAGTTCGAATCGGTTTCTTACGTTGACAGAGCCTAGTGGTCGTATCTTACACGACCGGTGGGCAAGTAACAACAGCATGGCTGGCTCACTCAGAGCAGATAGGAGGAGAAGCAGCTGTGAGCCGACTAACTGAACGTCTCTATCAACCAGTGGATTCTTGACAGCCGCGGAGTAGGCATTGAGGTCTGCTTGTGTTGGTCGAAACGGCATGACCAAGGAGAGTTCGTCTTCATCTGGGGAGGTCGGAACTTCAGAGATATCATTTCTAGCGTTGTATATCCGCTTGTATGTCGAGAGTATTGAGTGTTTGACCGATCTTAACAGAAAGATAACCAGGACAACAACTATGTCGACACCAGAAAGTTCGTTGGGTGAGAAATCGAGCTTGATCTGCCTGTTATATTTCCAGAGAGGCAGTAGGTGTTTATAATTGAAGACTCCAATGGTGTACAATAGCAGAATGGGAAGAGGTGCAGCAATGGCGATGCTAATATTTACTAGCATGGTTGGTTCGGAGGAAGGGTGATTCGAGTATTAGTACTTAGAGAGGATTCACTAACTGCAAGTGCGCTGTTGGTCAGGATGGCGCAGACAAAGATCTTCGTTAAGAAAGACCAGGGCTCTACTAAAGTGGCGGAAGTACTTGTCATGGTTAAAAAGCGATGAAGTAGTAACCCGGCAGGAACGCAGTTAGTAGAACTAGATAGCACTAGTGAGAGCTAGTGTATACTATGCACAATTAGTATGGCGCTAGTGATCAAATATTGCTCTACCATGTACTATTGGTATACCGGTAACATCTCGTAAACACCTCCGTCCTTTACACGTTACTCTCCTCCTTACAATAGCTTCCTCAACTCCATGGCCACTTCCTTAGGCATTTAAGTCAACAGAAAGCAGGTACCCAGCTAGAACTAGTACTTCTATGACTCTCAAATCGACCCAACGTCTCCTTCTGCACCCTCTCGACTATCTCCTACGAGGAGCTTAATTAGAAATTCTTCCCACTTCTCTGTGACTATCTGAGCTACTAGTAGTATTTAGTCGCACCTCATCCTAAGCTTATTCTACTTCATACTCGCACAATCTCTCGTTCTGCTCCCTTCGTCGAGTCATTGGTAAGTGAGGACATTCTCCAAGAAGTGACTTATAAGCAGTTTAGTTGCTGCGATCTCATCTCTGTTGGGAGCTGGATTGGCCCGTGCTCTGCCTGAGCCAGGAGTAATACTGTAACAAGGCGGCGTGGCTGTGCTGGACTGGCAAGGCAGAGGTCTGTTAGGTCACATGTCAAACCTAATTAGATCGCTGGGAGCAGGACAGTTGACAGTGCTGTCAGAGGGCCAATTTTTTTGGACAGTTTAGTAGAGGATCATGAATTCGCTCTTTTAGCACCGTCTACCTAATTCCTGAGTGTTTTATCAGTTCTGTCCTATTCCTCGATGCCTCCGCTGTGCTAGGTGTTCGTAGCCCTAGTCGCTGCCCTTCTGGGTAGTGTTTGTGGTGGTGTTGTCTTGTCAGCATCAACCAGAAAAGCGTTCTCGATTCCCGATCTGCTGGACAGGCCTCTGTGCGTTGTTGCACGTGCACGCCGAACCCTGAAGTGCTCCGTTACACTAGATGGTCTCTATACAGTAGTGAGACTATCTACGCATGGAAGAAAACTCCTTTCGGAGGGCTAGAGATGTATATATATTTTATATTATATATACTATTATAATAATTTCTCTGCTTTGAAAATTAATACGTCACTAAAATATCCCAAAACGGACAATTTTGCTAAAATAAGTCTAGCTGCTTTGTGTGTGTCCTTCCTCCTCTTAGGTTTAGGTACTTTGGTGGTCTATGCTGCCAATTTGGTATTGAAGTACATGGTAGTATTCCAGTCATAAAATGCGCTGAAAGGCCTGGTCAGCTCCCTACACTGCAGCATTACGCACTACCGCGGAGTCTAGCCACGCACCTCCATCCTTGTTGCTACTAGTACTAGTAGCACTAACGTGCCAGGGTGCACCTTTTTCCATCGTTCCCTAGAATTGAGTTCTTGCATCCCCTTCCTGAAACCAACAGCACTTTGGCAATACATAGTCGGTAACGGTACTAAGTACCAGACAACACAATCCCCTGCTTTCCAGCTTGCGTTCCAGAACTCGAAATCGTCGGAAAAGGACTGTCTACCTGGCCCAGGTTCATCCATTTGTGACCAGCCTTGTTCATCCCATTTTTCATTTCCCATTTCGTGCGTCGTAGAAGTCATTAGCTCGTCCCGTATCAAGTGTCAGACGCCCCTTCCTTTTGTTGTAAATGAGCTAGTGGTGTTCAATATTCTTTCTCGTCGCTCTTGCATGCCCGCACATTGACTTTACATGGATCGCTTTTGTTCGGTTTCATCACTTGATTCATTAGGCTCCGGGGTTGGTGTCCCGTTTACCACTATTTCCCCATAGCGATTTTTCATTCCCACTAGTTAACTTAAGACACCAATTGTTCTTCCCGCAGCAAGCATGGGGTCTCGTGTTGATTGTTCAACCTTAAGGCTGTTCAGGTGCAGATGCCGGTGTAGGCACAGGTACCGGTTGCTGCGGAGTACCGGTAGGAACACTCATGGATGCATGAGCCTCAGTCTGGACCACAGCGGGCTGCTGAGGTGTTTGCAATTTCGCTGGCGGGGCGGGTGGTGTTTGTTGTCCTCCTGACGGGTGTTGAAGTTGCTGCTGCTGCTGCTGCTGCTGCTGCTGTTGTTGTTGTTGTTGTTGCTGTTGTGGCGGGTTTGGAACACCTGACGCTGTTCGCGAGTATTCCTCGATACCAGGTAGAATACCATTTGTAGGCGGGGAAGGATCGATAGTCATGTGGCCACACATAACCACATCGGCGTCTCCCATTGGTTGCCATCTGACGTTTCTCAACCTGGTGGCAATTGGGCGTCCCGTAGGGTCGAATGTTGGATCTGGAGACACCATCACTCCTGCTTTACCAAAGAATGTAGGAGCTATTGTGAGAATGATAGAGTCGACCAGATGGGAGCGATGCATTTTCAGAAGCTCTGAAAGTACGATCCCACCTCCTTCAACCATGACGCTCTTTATTCCTTCTCGAAAAAGCACATGGAAAACACCTTCCCAGTTCAGTCCTCCTTGTGCAGGGTGATAGTCATTAATCATCAGATATTCTCCACCGTGAGCTTTTAGCGTGCTTACAGCAACGGGATGTAGCAATGCGCCGGGAGCAACCACGACCCAGGGGGCCTTGCCTCGACCCGCGGCTGCTGTTTTGAGCACTTTCATCTCTGGGTGAATTCGTAGCCGTGCGTGAGGATCAATGATGATGGGCCGTGGTTGAAACTCCCAGGCGAGTCCGCCATACCCGCCGGGATTTGCGAGTCGACAGTTCAAGGCAGGGTCATCGGCTATGGCTGTTGAAACACCAACCAAGATGGCATCATGTCGACTTCGCAAATAGTGAGTCATTGCCTTTGTCTCTGGCCCGGATACAGCCGTAGGAACTCCTGGGACTTGACTGATCCGGCCATCAAGGCTGCTTGCCCAGGTAAGAGTGATATGTGGACGGGTTCGGACGGCGGCAAGTTTGGGATCGGGCACATATGGTTCCAAGAAACCTCTGGCATGATGTGGATACTGTAACGTGTCCCACTGGATTGTCGTAGTCGTTATTGCTGCTGTTGGCTCATTCCGTGCATCGGGTTTGACGGGTTCCAGTCGGCCAAAGACGCCAGGCTGCATGGAAGGTTGGAATTGAGGTTTCGGAAGAGGTGGCGGGGCCGGTGGCTGTCGGAGGGCGCGCTGTTGACTGAAGCCTTTGTGTGCCTTGAGAACAACCTGTTGATGTCCCTGGCGCCAGGCATACTGGACATTTCGGACATCTGACATTTTCATAAACCTCCCCCCAGCGGCCTGCATCTTGTCTGGCTCCTGCCACAATTTCCAATATATCGAAGCGGGCAAATAACCTTTGGTAGCCTCGTGGCGAGCTGTATCCATGATTCCGGTATTTCGCTTTGTGCCATCGATGTAGTCCAGATCATGGGAATGTCTCATTACTCCATCGGTAGCTTTCGAAATGGTGCAGGTCTCTATTGGGCCGTTGTTATAGACTACCTTCATGGTCATGGCACATGTCTTTTCGTCTCGGACCCTTTTCTTCCTCTTCTGTTTACCCTCTGGAGTGGGCCTTGGCGTATGTGGTTTTTGGCTGGCGCCGCGTCGCAGCCTGCAGGCATAATACTCGACATTGGCACCGGCGTCCTCTGGCTGGGATCTCATTTTACGCCAGATATTATCAACAAAAGGGAAATAGTTTCGCCAATCCGCGACCGGCAGCTCAACGGGGTCTTCGAGGGTGAAAAGTCTCTGACGCATGTCGGCGAGATCGCGCGGATTGTTGAAGACGCTGTAGTCTTGCGGTTCATCAGCCACGGTGTAAGGTCTGCCATTTGGCAAGGTTCGTTCAGTCGCAGGATCAGCTTCGCCGTCAGCGGCACCGTCATTTCCCCCTTCATCGTCTTCCGCATCCTGCATGCTGGCGTCGTTGATAGCTTCATCGTCGGCCTCGCTCTCTTCGTCATGGTGGTCGATTCCATCAGCTGCATCGGGAGTCTCAGGGTCGGTACTCATGGTGATCGACGCGCGGGTAATGCACAGTGGGCTGACGATCAACTAATTGAAGGGAGGTGGATGCTCTGACCGGGCAAAGTGACAAAAGAAGACGCGTTGTCATTCGGAGGGCGCGCAGAAGCTTTGGTAGGGACTAGACGCCGGCAAGGATAGTCGCAGACATGGAATGACGATTCACTGATAGGGATCGCTGCGGAAACCGAGGTGGTTGTTGATACGTTCCAACTGCGCTCACTTTTACATTGATCGCGCACCAGAAAGTGAAAGTGAGCGGAAGCTGAAAATTGGCGCAGGCGTTGGAGAGGGTCGAGGATTCGCCAGAGTGCGGCGCCTGTCACTGACTGGCACCACTGGAGCTCCACCCGACCGCCAAGCGGCTCTCATGCAAGGAACCAGCTCAACTAAATGCACCCGTCGCCACCACCGCTAAAATCAGTCGAATAGGTGTCTAGGGGCCTCAACCACACCGAACTGTGGGCAGCCCACTAGGTAAAGATGCCTAGGCTAGGGACCTACCTAGGCACTAGCCAGCTATGTCGGAGGCCATGCTCCTGGGGCTCCTTCTCTGAGCAGTTCTTATCCCATCACTTTTGAAACTTTTTTTTGGTCGTCTGCACAAGTTTGAAGTTTGACAGATGACTGCTATCGGGATTTGAATTAACGCTTTCAATTCGTTCATCTATGAAGCCCTTGCATGCTCGTCCCTTGTTAGAAGCACTTCAATCTGACCGAGACAAGGATACTCCGTGCGCTTTCGCATAATGTTGGGTTGTCAAACACTACATTTTGAGTGTCGCCTCGTATTTTTCTTTTATTCTCCGTTGGGAGAGATAAAACGATAGGCCATCGACTCTCATTCAGCTCATCTTCTTCCCCCATACCTGGGTCTGCTTCTTGACCGACTTCTGCTTCTGCTTCTACTCCGACTGTAACTGCTCCGAGAACTGTAACTTGGACTGCGTCTTCTCCGCCTTGGTGGACTTCGAGCAGGTGGGCCACGTCTTCGAGGCGGTGTCCGAGATGGGGATCTGGAATATGACGGTGACCGCCGACGCCGCCTGGGCGGTGAAGGAGACCTTGAATATGTGTCGCGTGGGACGTACGTGTCGTCTTCTGCTGCTCGCCTCCCTCCACCGTAGCCGCCTCTCCTGGTGGGAGGGCTTCGATATCTCGGTGGAGGAGGTCCCCTTGGAGGTGGTCCGTAACGGGAGGGTAGTGGGCCATATCGGGAGGATCTGGCTGGAGGCGGTGATCTCGAAAAAGCCCGGCGAGGAAGCACAATGCTCACAGAAATGACGACACCATCCAGTTGGGCCTCATGCATGTGAGCAATGGCAGATTCCGAACCGGAAGGATGATCGTAAAGAATGTATGCCGTGCCGCGATTTGTCAGGACTGTTCCACGTTAGACATCTTCCGGGCCAGAGCAAGGTTAGACATACATTGTTTATTCAGTGGGAGGTCAATCGACTCGATGCGACCGTATGAGCCAAAGATCTCGCGCAAATGGGCTTCGGTCACATTTCTGGTGAGCTTTTCCACCACAATCTTGGAGCTCTGCACCCGTCGGTTGTCTCGATTGGGGCTGCGCGTGTAGCTTCTTTCTCTATAAGACCTCCTGTCACCGCGACTTGGACTCCTGCTCCTGCTGCGCGTCGTGCTTCGGCTGGGGCTTCTCCCCCGCCCATGCCCATTGCGCCCATCGCGAGGCGGAGACGACCGAGTGTATGATCTGGATCTGGACCGCGAAGGGGAGCGAGAACGCGATCGTGGTGAGGGCGACCGACGCGGCGAACGTGAACGATTGAAGGGTGGAGAAGGTGCTCGTTGTACGGAAGTTGGCGTATGCGATCGCGTAGGAGACCGCCCTCGTGACGGAGATCGCGAGGGCATCTTGGACAGGATTGGGGGTTTGGTCGAGTCCTATGTGAGGGAAGGCTTTTCAGAACATATTCAGCTATGGGAACGCGAAGGGAAAACCGGGGTATCTGATGTGTGCGTGAAATAATGGTATTTCGATCTTGTCTTTGGTGTGGCTGTTTTGTCCACCATGTCTTGCCTGCAAGTTCGAAAATGATGAAACTGCGCTGGAGCTTGGCTGGAGGCGCCAAAATACTCCGCCGTATAATAATCAGCTTCGCCACGATCACTGTTGACTTTTTCTCCTTCCTCTATCCCCAGTAACTGCGAGAGCTTCATCATCACTCAACATCCCCTCTCCTACCGCCGGATCATTTCCACCTTCCGTCGTGATGCGACTCCAGTTCTGCAGATGACGCTGCGAGCTGCGAGGCCCCCGTCTCCCAAATTGCTTTCCGGGCAAATGAAAGGTATCCTGTCAGCTCTCCGCTCCCAAAACATGCGTTGTACAGTTGCCGATCCGTGAACCTCCCCCCGCAAATGCTCTGTCCCCTTCCTGAAATGCAAAGCTTCCCACCAATCGCGAGACTTGCAAACCTGGGGAATTCCTGGCCTTGGATGTGCCGAAGCATCCCCGCGCGGAATGCTGGAGTGAACAGGGCTTTGCTCGAGAGCGTTCATGTTGGTATGGCCGCCGTATGAAAGGGATAAATAGGTGGGAACAATTTCTTCGTTCTTCAATCACTCTGCCTTTCACAATGTTCATGTCTCGTGTTGTTGCTGGCTTGCTCCTTGTCGAGGTGGCTACATGCGCTATTTCCTTGTCTCTCGCTCCTCCCCAAAATGCCAGCAAGCCACTCCTCGAATCCTTCGTCTCATACTCGATTGAGTTTTCATCCTTTCCGGATTTTGCAGGTAGGTTGCCAGAGAAGAAGCAGGAGTTCGTCACCGACTCTTTCCAGGGAACTCGAGTCAACCGAACAACTTCTCATACAACCTTTTGAACAACCTGCGTAACCTTCAAGGGTCCTATCCCATCATCAGAGTTGGCGGGAATACGGAGTACGTCCCTCCTAGGCTATAACGAGGGACTAATGGCGAATGAAGGGCCAGGGATTACGCAACCTTTAATGCTTCCCAGACAGCCGCCTTGGTGGGTAGCTTTAACTTCTCGAGGTCGAGAGACTACCCAACGACAATATCTATCGGTCCTAGCTACTTTGACTCTTACTCCACTTGGCCAGGTGTCACGTATATCCACGGATTCAACCTGGGCACGAATGGGTCCATTGGTTACGATACCTTGGTGGGAACTGCTCCGCTTGTTTGCAAAGCTCTTGGTACCAGCAAACTCGCCTATTGGGAGCTAGGCAACGAGCCCGATCTTTACAAGACCAGTGCCCAAGGCCCAGTGAGACCGAATTGGTGGAATGAGACTGATTACGTTCAAGAATGGCTCAATAAGACTCGCACCATGCGTCAACTGGTCCAGCAGAGTTGTCCGGATATCATCAAACAGGGGAAGTTCAAGTTCTACGCCCCCAACTTTGCGGGGACTTCAAACAGCTTGAACATGATCACCACGTGGCAAGCTGGATTGAACGCCGACAACGATATTGCATTCATTGACAGTCATAAGTATGTCGTCTAGGAATCAGGATTATAGTGATTAACAGTGTCCAGTTACATTGGAGGTGCAACTCAGCCCGGTGTAACTCTCCAAGGCACCTTAATGAATCACACATCAATCGTCTTGTCAGTCAACAAACACCTCAACGAATCAAGCCTTCTGGCGTACACGGGTCTTCCGTACATCCTTGGCGAGACCAATAGCTTGTACAACGAAGGAGCTCCAGGTCTATCTAATTCATTCGGCGCTGCTCTCTGGGGCGTGGATTTCAACCTCTACTGTGCCGCCACAGGTATTGCTCGAGTACACATGCATCAAGGCACTAACTATAGGTACGCTTCATGGCAACCGATCCAGACTGTCAACGAGACCATGGGCACAAAAGCACCATACTATGGGAACATCATGGTAGCCACTTTTCTCGGAGATTTGACCAAAAACAACGTCTGCATAAGTGATATCGAACTGGGAAGCACACATCAAAACGCCTATGCGGCATATATCGATGGTCGGTTAGAGAGGATCGCCATCATCCAGATGAATGCGTACAATTACACCTCCAACGGCACGGCCGCCTCCAACGGACCTCGACCCAGCGAGACGATCAGCTTCCAACTGCCAACCACGGGACCTAGGTCATCGGCGAAGGGAGTCAGTGTGCAGCGACTGATGGCAAACGGGAGTGATGCCATCACGGGCATTACTTTTGACGGCTGGTCATATAATTACGAGCTTCATCAAGGGAGGCCGGTGAAGCTAAACAACGTCACGTCGGGGGAGGTGTTGCAGATAGCGCAGGAGGGAGTGCTTACCGTTACAGTGCCATGGTCGAGCGCGGCGATATTGAATCTGCAGTGGTGAGTGGACCGGTCTTTCTATATGAATGATATAGGAATTAGGGAGAGGCCTGCGTTGAGAAGATATGGTCATGGGATTGACCATACCGAGGTCCCTTGGTAGTTTCCCAGGATAGTTCGTATACGAATAACCCAGGGTGAAACGTCGCGTTAACTGACACTTTGAGGTATTATTTCCTGATCCTATGCGAAACCTTGGAGCGGACCTGGAAATTGTTATAAAGCAATCTCGGTTTCAGGACCGTCGAGCTTTTTCCTAAGCCTTGCGCTTACGTAGCGAACTGCTTGATGAAAAGGGACGTTCAGCCTTACTGCCTGTATAGCCTTGCGTCGAAGCAATGGCGCCAATGCACTCCGTATATCTTCCCGGTTGTTCATTCAAAAAAAAGGTCTAGCACCATACCTTCGGTTTGTTCGTGCCAAAATATAAGGTCTCACTCAGCATGAGCGTCTGGGCATGGGCCTAATACGGGCGCTGAGTTGTAGCCCTCGAGTCCAATGGGGCTTTCTGCTGTTGCAATGGTGACTGCCAACCCCTGATTGACTGTCGATTCTGAGTGTGCGTCCTTGGTCTCTGGCGAGATGTGAGCTCATCCCCTGGAGAAAGAAGTAGTCCGTCATAGCTTTTCACAGAGCTGGAATGCCTGTGGGGATCCCGTCCCGGTCAAGTGTCAGTATGTTCGGACTCGCCCTTGCTCGCGAGATGAATCCTTTGCGCATCTCTCGGTGCTGTCGCCGCTGTTGGAGACAATGTGCGATGACTGCCTGCTGTTTTCCCAGTTCATTCAGGGTGCTTTACGGGACTTTATTCTTGCGGCGCCCGTCCAGGGGGCGTCAGGCGGCCAGTGGGTCGAATTCATCACACCCTGCGATGCCCTGTCGGCTCGGTGGGCGCCCAGAACTTGCCCTTGAACCTCGACTATTACCATGACAATGTTCTTCCTCTTCGGCCGCGTCCAACTGCACCACATCAGCAGAGGCCTGGGTCTTGTGCGATACCATCGGCCTACTCGCCTTAGAGTACCAGCTGCGGCGACCCTCTATCATCGACGTTCCGCCTTGGTGTTTCCGATACGTTGATGCTCAGCGTTCAAGTGCAGGTCCTGACAATCATTCTCAAAGAACATCCCGGTTTATCTTGGACCATCGCCCGCGGTAAGCAGCGCACGGAAGATGATGGCTTTGAGGAGCAGTTCTGCGGTACCAAGGGGGCCATTTCTTGCGCACGCTATCGCACACTCCTCATTCTAGCCGTCAAAGACCCAACTTGAATCTTTGCGATCTCTACAAAATATTAATATACACTGTACATCCATTACTTTCTAAGGCAAAATGATGAGCCTCAGCGGGCCGCTCTGACACCAATGAACAGGGATCGGCTCCCGCTTCAACATTTCACGAGACTTTGTCATCAGCGCGGATGAATACACCAATTGTACCATCCATGGGCAACCCGATGACAATGGCAGGTCGGATCCGACCCCTGCAGCCGCGGCAAAGGTTAAAGCTTGGACCTTGTGATGGAGAATCTGAACCGTGACCACAATCCAGCCTTTCCGGCTTGTGAGATGGAATAACGCAGAGCCCTGTCAAAGAGTCAGACATCAGCTTAGCTCGAACGAGTCCGTGTTGAAGCGACTACTGTATCTGTGCCATCTCCTGCATCGCCACGCCTCAAACAATTTCCCAGATCCATCGTGGCACAAGTCAATTTACTTTAATATTGTTGATTTTGCTGACCGTCCATGGCTATGGCTCACGGCACCGCTACTCAAGTTCCACAAATCCTCATGGGACCTGCTCCTACAGTTCGGAAGCAGAACTCGTCTTGTGACCCCTGTCGCCGTTCGAAAAGACGATGTGCCTTCCCGGACGGTATCAAACCTGGGTCACCAAATAGCTGCCTGAATTGTCTCCATCTGGGGCACAACTGCACGTTCGATTTTGTCAATTCCCGACTGAATCAGAGGAAGAACAAGGCGAAGCAACCAGTCTCATGTGTACAGGAACAGCCTATCGCCCCAGCTATCCGGAGATCTGAGAAGCAGGTTGTTGTCCCTTTGTGCGCGGACCCGGAGCCCGTGGACTCCACTCAAAGAACCACGCAAAATGCGCTCTGGGGTGGGATTCCCTATACCGGATTCCTTGATGTCGATATGTTCATGGGAAATCTGGTATCGGAATGGACCAACCTGGACCGCCAGGTGTTTACCACCGAGGCTCCAGCCACTGAACACTATCAAAGCAGTAGCACATCTTCCTCAACCACCCACAGCTCGGGCAGCCATTACCAGACACCACCTAGATCGCCCAGTGATTTTTTTACCCGAAGAAATTCGACGCTTGGGCTTTGGAGGGGCAGCCCAATTCATTTGCTCAATTCCAGTGTCGAGACTCGGCGAATAAATCAAAGTCTCGGTGAGGTCTACAATTCCATGATGTCAGGGATCGCCGTCAGATATCTTGATTACAACTGTAATCTATTCGCTGGTTCCTACAAGTATTCGTTTGACCCTGATCAGTCAAACCCGTCAACCTTGGATATTAACAGTGGCCAATCTGTGGGCAACATGTTTACGCCCTCTTGGAAGAACGCCTCGGTAGGCACTAACGGCTCCCAGATTCACGCTAATATGGCACCGGAAAGACTGGCGAGTCAGATTAACAAGGTTACAATGATTGGGGTGGCCCGATTCTTGGACAACTTTGGCCCTCTGTACGGCAATGCCATTGATCAGAAAACACGCAATCAGAATGAGCACACTTTGATCGCTGTGCTGCAGGCGTTCGCTCTCCAGTTTGCACCGTCCAAGCGGGCGGATGGTCCATTGGCCCAGCTTTTCAAAAACCCGCCGGATGTCAGTCAGTGCTCGGGACCAGACCCTGGGCCGGGAGATCGGAGTACCAATAGTACACACGTCTTCACTGCGGCCTGGTTCAATGCACATTCTCATCTGGTTTCCTCGAGAGACAACCGATCTTTTGTCAAGCTTTATTCAGTCTTCCTCTTTCTAATGACCAGTGTTCCTCCAGAAGCGGCGTCCATATCCTGTTACGAAGACACTCCGCTGGGCCTATTGGACGATGCTCTGCGCAAGATGGAAGAGCTACAGGGCCTCGTGGAAGACTACTGTGTGCACTTGGGACGTCGATCAATTTATCGCTTCCTCCTTCAGGCTTCTGTGGGCATTATCCGCTGGTATGGCTATCTGCGCGACACGATTGATTCCGTACTGCATGAGCGACCTTGTATGTTGGAAGACGCACCTCCAAGATCAAACGGTATGCATCACGGCGGACTTGCATTATACAGTAATGACTAACGATTAATCAAGAGACCCTCCTCAGTGGTCACCTAGCCCCAGAATGGCACCAACCAGCTATCTTCGATCAGGAAGTTCCGAAGCATTGCCAAAATGCCGCAGGAGATCTTTTCCGTGTTTTTAGGGGGGCTATCAACCTGAGGCAGATGCTTTTGACCAGCGACGCAGCGTTCAATATAGCCACGCTTAGGAATGCGATCACCATATCGATGGGGATCAACGACGAGTTTGCATTGACATATGGCTCATGGCTCCAGCAATGCACCATCTCTTTTTATCTACTTTCCGAGAAATCAAAACTAGCTTCAGGTGAATCACCTATTACCCGCGCACAAGAATTGATGCTGACGGTCCGGTGATTTAGCATTTATGCTATTGTTTTGGAGCCTAGGCACTCTACTGCTCATAGAACAGCTTCATCGCGCATCCAACCTACTTCCTGTCGCTGAGAGGCAGCCCCTGCTGGACAAGGCGCTGATTTACCAGAGAGAGGCTGTTACGTCTCTTCTCACAATAGCACAACGAATTGTGGACGTATCGGCAATGGGCCAGTTTAGACTCATCAACAGTGTTCAAGCAAAGATGGATTTCATCTCACACCACGCAAATACGGCCCTGGTGGTCCTGGCCCTCTCCAAGGCAATCGAACATACTATTGACCTGCATATATCAGCCGATCAGCATGGCGACTTGACTTCGACACGACTCTCTAACACGGATCCAGACTCGGAGTGGGTTGCCAGTATGAGGCCTTTGCTTACGTGCTTTTTGACGCTCGACTCTACTGTGTCTGGAGCGATTACTGCGAGACCGGCGTTGCAGAGGCTTATGCATCAATATGGTGATATCCTGATGGATTGTTGGTCACACGAAGACGAGGACAATCTATCACAGTGAAACGTTCAGGCCAACCCGAATTTTGCCAATGATTACCTTGGCCTGACAATCGGTAGAATCGATTTCCCCACGGCAGTGGCCATTCAATGCTGAAACATTATGCCCCACAATATGGAGGATATCTGGGGGACAGTGTACGAAGTGCCTGGCAGTATCAAGCTATCGATTTCATGTCGATCGTCTAGGTGCAGACCTGCCATTACTGCGGCTCCGACGTCAGCCGCACCGAGCTTTGTGTTTGTGGATCCCGTACCGCAGGCGGCCTGGACCTAGCTTCACCCACTCGCCACCCATAGCAGTCAGCCACCATTTCGGGGATCACAACTTCAAATGCTGCCAACTATACCGAGTTAAAGGCCGTACGAGTGATCATATATTCAGCTACTTTCATGCAAAGCTCTCTCCCTTGCGTGAACGCTCAGGTACTAAAGATCGGCAACTCTCCTCATTCCCGGATATCCTTGAGCCAAAGCAACTTGATCTAAGAACCTCAACATGCCCTACAAATCGAGATGGCAGTTGACACCACCGACATTGTCAGTTCCGTCATTTATGTTCGAATCGTCGACCTCCAACATCAACTCAACTGACAAAATCCTTGTGGATGCCAAACGCCCCGAGACCCATTTTCTCACCCTTCATACCTATCGCGAATGGTCCAAGAGATTTGCCGCTGGCCTCCAGTTCGCAGGACTTGAAAATGAGGATCGCGTGCTATTGTTCTCCCCTAACAGCATCTTCTATCCGGTTGTTGTCATGGGTGCTTTGATGGCCGGCGCCATCTACAACAGCGCGAATCCTGCCTATACGCCACGGGAACTTGCTCATCAGCTCAAAGATTCCAATCCTCGCATTGTCCTCGCGGCAGAGAGCTGCATAAAGAGAGCACTGGAAGCAGCCGATCTTGTCGGATTCGATAAGAAACGTATCTTTCTCTTCTCAGAGGTGCTTATGGACCACGAGAAAGAAGTACCGTCCACAGCCAATGCCAAAGTGCAGCATTGGAGCGAACTGCTTGCAAAGCCTGAGATTGGTCGAAATTTTGCCTGGGAAGAGCGCAACACCGAGACTTTTTCGGAGCGCACCGCGATTCTGATTTATTCCTCAGGCACTACCGGGCTTCCAAAGGGGGTTGAGTTATCACATCGAAGTCTGGTCGCGAATATGATTCAACTCAAAATGATCTCTATGTCCGATTCAACCGTTGTCGCTCGACGAACTCTTTGCGCGGTCCCCATGTACCATGCATTGGGGCTGTGCTACTACACCTTTACGGCGCCAAAATGGGGTCTCGAGACATACCTGATGGAGCGGTTCAATCTAGCGGATATGCTGAATCACATTCAAAGTTTCAAAGTTACGGAACTTGTGCTTGTCCCGCCAATGCTGGTAGCCATGGCTAAACACCCTTCGGTTCGCGATGGCACTTGCGACGTCAGCAGCATCAGAAAGGTGCTGGCGGGCGCGGCGCCCATTGGCATGGAAGTAACGCAGCAGTTTGAAGAGCTTTGGAATGGTAGGATCAGAGTACGGCAAGCCTGGGGGATGTCGGAGTCAGTGCTGAAACCCGGTTCGGATTTCGAATTTTGCTGATAGATTTACTTTGTAGGACACCTGCAATCACGCTGTGTTGGGACGAAAAGGAGAGTTCGGGTCCGTCGTCGATATCAATCGGCGAGTTAGTTCCTGGGGCAGAAGCAATGCTCGTCAAGGAGAACGGCGAAGAAGAAACCCGGCCAGGCGAGAGGGGAGAATTCTGGATCCGCTCTCCGAACGCAATGAAGGGATACTGGCGCAATCCAAAAGCTACTGCAGAAACTATCAGCAATGGATGGCTGAAAACTGGCGACGTAGCATACCGAGACGAAGCTGGAAAGTGGTACATGGTTGATCGGAAGAAGGTAAGCTGCCAGCACGCGCCAATCCCCAAATAGTTCTTGCGTCGGTCGGCCAATTAACCCGTGCCAGGAATTGATCAAAGTGAAGGGTGTCGCGGTTGCCCCCGCAGAGCTCGAAGCTCTTCTCCTCGAGCATTCCGAAATTGTGGACGCCGCAGTGATCGGCGTAAAGACGTACGTCGACGACTTTGCACGTCATGTCTAATTGTTCTGCTGACGGCAACATCTCTAGGGCGACGGATGACGAACGACCGCGCGCGTACGTTGTGCGGGTACCGAATTCACGACTCACTGAAAAGGATGTCGTGGACTTCGTGAGGACACGAGTGTCAACGATTAAGCACCTCACAGGAGGCGCGGCCTTTGTGGATGCTATCCCAAAAAATCCGGTGAGTAATCACAATATTCAGTTCCCTATGTGGATCCTATGTATGACGCTTACTGACCCCTCGACTAGTCGGGAAAGATATTGCGGCGGCAGCTGAGGGAGCTCGCTGCAAAGGAGACGGGTTCGAAGTTGTAGCCATGTTCATGGGGGAAATAGTAAAGCCGCAAGACGCGGGCAATAGACGGCGGATCTCCTGTACAATACACAATTTCAACGGTGAATGTAATCCCCGATTACAGGTGCGGCCCGTTCAGCCTTGGGAGGCCTAGAAATCTCGCAACCTGCCCAAGATGATCGAAGCCCCAAAAGAACTCTTCCTGTCCTTCTCCATTTACCGCTTTGATCCAAGGGAGACCGGGAGACCCATTAGCAATTGCGCTGTCGGTGTTTTGTTTCAGGAGTGACTTGACCTCATCGGAGGTGCTCTGTCGACGAAGTCTTGTCAACGTCTCTTATCAGGTTGCAACGCTGGAGCTTATTATTACTTACCCTGTCCAGGATCCTCGCAGCGAGTTCCTTGCCGACTATCTGGGCAATAATGGGTCCGTGGATTTCAGGAAGCTGAACCCCCCTTTTCTCGTACCAAAATGCATGGTATAGCCCGTCTACCACGTCCGGATACCGGTCAGGGCATTCAAGCAAACAGGCCACCAGGGCCCTCTGGACCTGTTTGAAGACTGAGCATGCCAAGCTTAGTACGATTTAGTTTGAGGAGAATTCACCTTCAACGTGGTCACTTTGAATGGGTAGTTCGCTGGTAAACCTGGGCTCCAAGGGATGTTGAAGTGCTGACACCATCTAGCGACGTCTGTATGCATCCATTTCACCTTGTCTGATAGAACATGTCAGAATCGACTTCACCCGCTTTTGGGGGGGGAGGAAAGGATCGGGGGTTTCGTCAGCCACATACTAGGACTGCTCCATGGTGGCTTTAACCCAACGGCGTTTATATATGCCACCAACAGAACTGGGGTATACGTTATGTCGCATGATTTGAAGACGGGCGAATTCTGTCATGTTATGTTAGCTTCAGGCTGGTTCTCGGTAGCTCTCACAAGGCTTGGAGGGGGTCGACTTCAGTTGACTACCGACCTTGATAACGTAAAATGCCAAGTACGAGTATGGGCTGTGTAGGTCGAAGTACAGGGTCAGTTTTGGCTTGGCCATAGTTCGACTCACCTCCAACGACTAGCGAATTTCGTTGGGGCGCCTTGCGCCCTCTTTGGCATTTATGGTCCGCCAAAGGCTCTCCAGGCCTGCTGTTAGGCCCCCATTGTTCATCGAGTCGGAGTAAGGGGATTTTCCGGATGGCCGATACCGAGGTCGAACAAGCCTTCATCGACGGCTCCGCGTCGCCTCCGCGTTGTCGAGGCTTACTGCTCTTGCCGCCTACGTGCGCCGAGCGATAAACACAATCTATCGAATGCAAGGAAGGCCTAATCACTAGGACTAAATACAAGTTCCTTTTGCTTCAGCATCTGCGGCACAGAAGAAAGCCTCGCGGACGACGAAGTGCACATACGCTGCATTTTCCGGTTGCCGATGGACCCCGACATCGAGAGTTTGTACTTAAAGTACGTCAGCCTCCTTCCAGGAGCCCAAAGTGAGAGTGATGGGTCGGAGCGCGAGGCCCTTACGGCCATTGACCCGGCCGGATTCCTGATACGGCACCCTCCAAAGCCACATGAGCTGGATGCCGAACTTACGGATGATTCTCAACTTTTCCAAACCATCCACATGGGTGCTGCGGTTGTAGATGAGAAGAAGTGGAAATTGGTGATAGATGGACTGGTTGAACGACCGTTCTCCGTATCTTTCGCGCAGCTGAAAAGCATGCCCTGTTCGACCATAACTGCGTTCCATGAGTGCTATGGAAGCCCCATAGCGCCCCCAGTCCACGCGTTGTGGAGGATTGGGAACATCAAATGGACCGGGGTCCGGCTTGCGGACATGCTCAAACTGGCCAAACCAAAGCTAGAGGCAAGATACGTCTGGTCGCAAGGACTGGAGTCGGGTTCATTCGCGGGTGTTTCGGCTGACCGATATGAAAAAGACCTCCCTTTGAAGAAGGCGCTGAGCTCCGAGGTTTTGATTGCCTATGAAATGAATGGTGAACCACTGAGCAAAAATCGAGGTGGTCCGGTAAGAATGGTTGTGCCTGGATACTTTGGTACCAATAGCACAAAGTGGCTTTGTCGGCTCTCGCTGCAAGATCACCGCGCCATTGGGCCGTTCACCACGACATTTTACAATGAGATCGATCCAGCTGACTCCGGTGGACAGAGAATGAGGCCTGTGTGGATGGTCGAGCCTAATTCTATGATCGTCAGGCCAGAGCCGGAAGCATTGTTGCAAGGACCAGATGTTGAGATCCGAGGGCGCGCTTGGGGTTGCGAGGAAATCAGCCAGGTCGATGTCAGCATTGACGGCGGTGAATATTGGCTGCCTCGATCGGATGTTTCATTGAGAGCACGGAGTGAATTCGAATGGCAGTCGTTCCGAGCTAAGGTATCGATACCTAAACCTGGAAAGTACAAGTTGATTGCGAAAGCGACAGACAAGACTGGGATCTCTCAGCCTATGGTGGGAAGAAGAAACCACGTGCACACAGTCGAGATTGAAGTTACTTGATCGGTCAATCATATAAACCGGCCGGTGTTGGCCAAGCAATGCTCAGAAGTACGTTTAGTCATTGGAGACCCGACGTCCATAAGCTGGAGGTGGGAGAGTGGGAAGGGGCCCTCAGCCTTATGGCTTCCAGAGATGGAGTCGGCTGACCTTCCTTGGGTACATATCTCAATGCCAGCCTCGTCAACCCGCATCTTCCCCGCAACGGATGTCAACACACTTTCACTTGCTGATCTCCTCACCTTTGCGTGCGGCGCCCAAGAAAGTCAAAATGAGCCCCTGCAGTTTCGCGAAGCGTCTCCGATGATGCCGGCCCATCAGCAAGGCCCAGGAGTTTCAGCCGCAAAGGAAGACAGCTTTCGCCAACTACACGAGAGTGTCGAGACACAAACTCGCACCAATGGACTGAAGCCCAAAGCTTGCAACAACTGTAGACAGCAAAAGGTGAGCCACAGTATTTGCGCTTTGCTAGTCGTTTGGGAGCTAACTTCTGCAGTTGAGGTGTGAGTTGACGAGGCTTGATGCTCCATCATCAAATGTCTGTTCGCGCTGCCGAAGACTGGACTTGGACTGCAGAGTAGATGATACGTTCAAGAGGACGCGCAAGCGGAAGTAAGACCGGCAAGAGTTGGGCCTCACAATGACTGGTGACTGACCTTGGCCCACTTTGCAGGAAATCCACGGAATTGGAGGAAGAAATAAACAAGCTCAAGCGCCAATTATCGGTCTATGAAGACAATGCTCTCACAAACTTGGCAGCTCCTTCTGTTCCAGATCGTGTAGTACCCTCCCTTGTTGAAGATGGCGGTCCTCAGGATGACGACGACAGATGTATGAACGAGGACTCCAGAGACTTGTCAGACCCATTGAAGAACCGGATTTTTTCGACTACGGTGCCTGTTGGGATGTCACCAGACTCTCCCAATGGTATGTGCCTGCCAGGCGCAACAACAATTCCGAAAGGCGGTCTCCTTGACAGCCGTTCTACCAGCAAGGGTAGAGTGATTCCGTCGCGGAATTTACGCGACGTTGAACTGTCAAAGGAGGTGATCAATGAGCTATTCCGCATGTATGTCCTTCGTGCCCCTTAGTATCATTGGCTGACGGCTTCCCAAGATATTTCTCGCATTACCATGCATATCTACCGTTTCTGGACCCGGGAATTTCTCCTACCCAATACTACGACAGTTCAACTCTTCTTTTCTGGTCCATCATTTCCGTTGCATCTCGTCGATATCAGTCAGACCCTACCCTTTTGACAAGGCTCGCAAGAGCAGTTACAGATCTTTTGTGGAAATCCCTGCAAACAGAACCACATTCCTTAGGTGTTATTCAGAGCTTGGTTCTTCTTTGCACATGGCCCTTCCCAACGAGCAGCAGTACAACTGACCCAACTTACACTCTTTCTGGAATGATAATACAACTTAGCATTCAGATGGGCCTTCATCGTCCTAGAAGTCCGCTTGATTTTACCAAATTTCGCGTTAACCTCAGTCCCCATGATGTCGAAGACCGGCGGAGGACATGGATTGCTAGCAACATCGTGACGCAGAGGTAATATATTTTCAGACACCCTGATGAACAGCGGCTAACGCGATATAGCATAAGCTTTGGTGTTGGACTTCCAACTCCAGCGCAACTATGTGACTGGTCCATTGTTGTGTCGTCGCTTGAGGGTCCTCGGAAAGATGAAGATTTGCATGCTCATCTGAGATGTGCTTCGACGTGCAACAGAATATCCCAAGCTCTCGCTTCAAACGCTTCGGACCCTATGGGGCTTTTGCCAACTCGGGAGAGGCTCCCTCTCTACACGATTTTGAACCAGGAGATTATCGATTTGGAGACTAGCAGGGTCTGGACCCCAGGTGAGCGGCTAATTCGCTGTGGTACACTAGTCAATCAGATAGCCCTGCTGACTGGTGAAATGCAGCCACTACCGCGTTCTATCTCTACGTTGTGAAGCTTCATCTCCATGCATTCTATCTTTTCGACGAACCGACAGCTTTGGGCTATCTGGAGCGCATCATAGCGCTCTATTCGACCGCTACATCGGTCGTCGAACACGTCCGCAATCTGGACAACCAGTCTCTAGATTTTTTGCGCTTCTGCCCACTGTTCTGTTACGAAGCCTTCCTGTGCGCGGTCTTCATTCTGCTCAAAGTCGTGAAGAACGATTATTTTGCCGCAATTATTGACGCAGATTCGGGCAAAGGGCTTGTCAACTTCTCTGTCTCGGCGCTGAGGAAAATCTCAGTGGTCAATAATGATTTACCAGGGAGACTCAGTGATGTGATCGCCTACCTCTGGACACATCCTAATCCATCTATCATTGGTGGCATTGGGATGGACGGACTTCAACTGAAAGTCAGGAGTCGAATGAGTATGAGCATTGTGTATGACTCACTGTGGAGATGGCGGGAGCAGTTTCGTACCGAAGCTGAAAGCACCCACCCGCAAGACCTCAACAATGGTAATACGCCTCCCGTTGACGCAGGAAATAGAACGCTCACTTCGAACAGATGCACCTGCATCCGGTGGCGTTAATGAGGTCTTTGACAACGCCTTTGATTTGATGGAGTTGAATGGCATATACTCAGATGATCTTCAACTCGACTGGTTCACTTAAGGGCCGAATTGCTCACCGGGATCGGTTCCAGTCAAGTCGGCTGTACAGCGCCCGTCATATATATCCAACAGCCACGCCAAGCTTTCCATTGTCTCCCAAAACAACGCAATCATCAAACCGCAGGCTGATTATGAGAAGGCGTCTTTTCCTGTGGAATCGTCGTCCTTCCCCGCTTTAGTCCATACTCTAGGTTGACTTTCCAATATAACCAGTGGTTAACCTCGTCACTCCAGCTGCGGTGTATATTCAATTCGGACATAATCCACACAGACTTTACTACCTACAGCATAGCTAACTTAGGGCTTTACTGTATAGCTGGCCACCTGCTGCAGCATCGACTACGATAACTTATTTCAGACTGACGGCAGAAAAATAGATTTCTTTGGCATGAAATCGGCAGGGGGCCCAGTCAAGCCTGTCTTCATGTGTATGTAGGGGAAGTTAAGTCTCACTTCCAGAGCGATTCTAGCGCTGAAGCTGTTGAGGGCGTCTCCGAGGTGTTACGCATAGAGCCGATAAATGGCTACTACTAGTATTGATATAGGTGTCAACATTATGATCGTTCGTGGCCACCATTGCTATGATCTCAATGTTAGGGATTCCCTGGCAAGTAGGCAGAATCTAACGATAAGCGTATATATAAGATATCCTTATAGTATATGGTCGATACTGTACACGACTCAAAGCATGAGAGAAGAAAGGGTGCGCCTCTCATACGGGGAGTGTGCTAGTAATAGAGGTGCACTCCTTGAGTCGCATCTCTTAGCTGGTGGCCTAATTAGTATTGTCCGCGATGTATCAGACGTCCGTCCTTCCGGTGTTTAACCAAATCCGTAACACTCAATCGTTTACATGGTACTCGGCCTTAAGAGTTTTATGTGCTTTTTACTTAGTAGGTCTTAATATAGTTTCATACTAGATCTAGAATACTAGTACTATAGTATCAGATGGTGGCATCACCATAAATCGCTTTAAGTATTAGAAAGTTATGAAACTAATAAACATAGTGTAACAAGGCCTCGTGGCTATGTTAGCATGGGGGGCGGCACCAAAACAATTTAGCCAGTCACATGTCAGGACAAAGAGCACTAGCATTACTTCTGGCTGTGGACGAGAGGCTTTGAGACAGGAAGGAGCTATTAAGCATTTAAGTAACATCAAGAAGGCACAACAACAGTCGACAGCAGTCACGGAATGGCTGTGCATACTATATGCAATCGCTGTTAACAGTTTACAGTGTTGGCCGTCTGCTAATCTTTTGCAGTTTGAACAGTTGTATTTTTTTTTTTTTTTTTTGATCCCGCCTACCTATTCCTGAGCATTGCTTTTGTCCTTTTGCATTCCTCAACGCCGCCATCGTGCTAGATGCCCGCTACTCTGGCGCCGGTAATGAACTAGCCGATCAAACAGGATAAGAAATCCGAGCCGATATCGACGGGCGTTCGCTTCGAGAGGAGGCGAATTAAAATGGAAGCTAGACTTAATTCGGAATATTTCGTGACTCGCTTTCGGTGTACATTATATAACTACTCTGAGGCCGCCCTTCCAATAGATAACTTCAGATTCTCGGCCGAACCGAGTCCGTAACCTTCTTCGATTTAGCGTTGCTCACCAGCAAGAGGCTTACTAGATACTACTATGTCACCTTCCCCATAATTGTTAGATTACTTCGAACTAGTTCGAATCAAGTCAGCCTAATTAGCGATTTAAGCACCAGACTCGGTTATAGCCTGGCCTAAGACCGATTCTAGATCGATTCGAACCGGGTCGACTTAGTTTACTAGTGAAATCATAAAAAGAGAGTTAATTGATCTCAGTCGGCAGTACTTCTCGAAATTTCAATTTTTATCTCTTTAATTTTTATCTTATTTTTGATATTAGAATTATATTTCTACAGTAGAAATCTTTGAATTTTATAATATTTTTTTTAAAAATGTATATTAATAATTATATAATAGTTATATTAAATATATTTAAATATATAAATCGATTTAAATCGATTTAGCTTAGTTCGAGCCGACTTAAATCAATCTTTAATCCATTCGACTTGGTTCGAGTCGATCTCGAATCGGGTTAAATCAGTCTAGCTCACCCATAAACCCCTAAAATCGAGTCCAGCCCAGGCTAGAGCCGGGCCGGAACTATGGAATCGATTGAACAATAGGTGGGCGGGCAGTATAGTAGAGATGAGGGCTATCTTAAGGCTAAAGAATCAAAGTGGAAGGTTCAATTTTCAAGTTGTTACATAAGAAGTTGGGATGCTTAATGGGCTCATTAGCTACATTAGGGAACCCTCTCTTGTGGCACTACTAAAAACGACGATGATGTAGTCCACTCAGTATGTGTAGCGAAATTGAGGATTCTAGTGTACATTGTCAGCTGATGCAGAGCGTCTTGTTAAAAGGTAGTGTTACCGTCTTGTCAGTTAGATCATCCTCGTAGGCATGGTCAAATCCTTCTAGAATTCCACTTTTGTCTCGCTTCTTATTTTCGAGGATGCACAGGTAGCGATATATAATTGTTAACACCTGAGTTAGAATTGCCGTGATTAGGACAATAATGAATCCAGTGGCATATCGTGGTGCATCCTTCTCCCTAAAGATTCTGATTTCATAGATTCCGTCAGCCGAAGCGTTTAAGAGATTGGGCAGTGCACTTACAGAGGACCAGCAATGTTGCCGAGACAGTAGCCAACAAACAGCCCAGCTGAGAAGGTTGTCTTCTTGGTATACCCAGCGCAGTTGGCGATAGTCAGCCCAAGTAGAACCGCGTACGTTCCTCCAAACGAAGCAATAATGAATACTGCCAGTAGTGATCCGCCTAGCTCATGACGTGGAAGAAGCCATAAAAGCAGGGATGCGGCAACAGTTGGGAGCTGGCATAGGAACATAATGATGGTTCTCGAGTTTTTGAACTTGAAAGCCATATAACAAGCTCCGAGCTCGACGGACCCCACGAAAACCCCAGCGGGAACGGTGAGTAGCAGAGAGTTCAAGGCACTAAATCCGAAACCTATCACTCGAGCGTCAAGTTAATCATTATGGTACCGTGTGCAAACACAAAGAGGGTCGATTAGTACTAACCATGGACGATGATGGGTGTAAACTACACCAAAATGCTCAATCAGCCTGGCTCATATCCCAGTAACAAAATGGACGAAGTGAGCTTACAGTGGAATAGGGGCCATTGCCGAACATCATGAAAAATGCCATGAAGAAAGAAAGCCAGAACTTCGCGTCCGTTAAACTTTCGATCAATTGGGGACTTTTCCAGTGGAGGTTGCGGACGCCACTGTTGTTTTTGCGCAATCGGGCGACAGCAATGTAGCGCTCCCTGCTGGAAAAACCCCGGGCTCGAATAGGGTCCGCAGGCAGAAAAGTTAGAATTACCAGAGCCCACAAGATGGTGATGCCTCCCGCAACGAGATACATATACTGCCAGGAACTCAAGGTGCCTCCGGAGATCTGTCCAAGGCCGTAATTGACGAGGGGAGAGACTGCTCCGAAGTATCCAGTGCAGCAAAACCAAGCCTGTTTCATCATTTGATCGTAAGTACAATCAGCACCCTTGATTTGATCTTGATGAGACTTACGCCCATACGGAGAGCTTGCTCGCCTTTGCGTTCAGGAACGTTAGTTTACGACCAGATACTGGTAAGCCAACGAAAGGGTTTAGTAGTATCTCACCTTTCTCGTACCAGCCTCCGACCACGAGCATGAAGATGGGAGAAATGCCTGCCTCCAAGCATCCAAGAAAGAATCGTTGAGCATATAATCCTCGAAAACTGGTGCAACCTGCCGTCGACATGAGGCAGACACCCCAAGTGAAGACGAGTCCTCCGGCAACACGTTCAATAGGATACTTCTGTGCTAGCACTGTGGCAGGATAGGACCCAGTCAAAAAGCCCATGTACAAAATGGCCGAGCTGAATGTATCTTCGAATTTCGGCTCGTGTCAATCAATTGCTCATCTAGGAAGAGGAACCTAGGACATACAGCGGTTCCCCACGCTAAGATCCAAGTCATCGCGAAGGCCGAAGATAGCCTATGAAAGTCAGTTTTCATGAAATTTGTGGGGAATTGATGCTCTTACGGCCTGGGACAGCATGGCTTTATCATAATACTGCAGCCCATAGCTATTTTCAACCGTTAGCTAGGCAATAGGAGTGCTATATCATTACCAACTCACGTCAGACACAGCAGCGGAAGCAACTTCCAATCAATCTTCCGAACAAGGCGCTTCTCCTCAGCCGCATCCCATTCGTTCTGGCCGTGCTCTTCGACGATAACCTTGAGTGCTTCATCATTATGGAACGTATCGATGGTCTCTGCAAGGTCCTCTCTGAGTTCGATAGTCGCCTTCTCGACCATGTTATCGTTTGACGTTGTCATGTAGTGTCCGGTAGAACTTGGATCGATGAGTTCACGTACGAGGTAGAACGAAGTACTACTAATGTTGTCAAAGACCCCAGGGCTACAGTTAATGGTTTTATGGGGTGCTAGTACAGTAGTTCGCGGGGTCCCCGGATCTTCCGCCGCAACTTTAAAACGGGGGAGGGTTTCTCAGCAGACTATACAAAGTAACTAGTGTTCCGCGCGAAAAGGGCCGCGGGAAGCATACCCGTGGAGCTCGCTCCGAAGGTCACTTGCAAGGCAGACCAGAAGAAACACCAAATCAAAAAAAAAAAAAATAATGATTTTCCTTTTTGCCCAGGGCAAGAATTTTGCGGCCATAAGAGATTTAGAGCAGTTTCGACGGCCAGGCATCAAGTTTAGGATACACCAGCACGTGCCACCAAGTTGGTCCAGAAAGAAGCCTGTTTAAGCGTTATAGTTCAGGTTCGCGGCGAGCATTGATTACTTCAATCTGTCCTGTTTGTACTCAAGAAGCTTCGAGTTGATTATAGTTGACCATGGAATCTTCGTGGGATGAACTTTGGGGAGTAGTATGTTGGTTACAATTTTGCATCAAGCCATAGGTATCTCGTGCCTTGCCTGATCATTTGACTAGCCTCAGTAACCATTTCCTCCACTATTTGCCCAGCAGGTTTTATGCTGTCAATGACCGCAGCGACTTGACCCATTAGAAACGGCCGATCCGCTTCTTCGTTGCCATCTTCTACATCTTTTGCGTAGGGTACTATTCCCGCCTCGGTCAGCTCTTTGATCTTCTCTGGACGTCTTTCCCAGGCCCTTATGTAGTCGTTCGCTTTCACTCTCATTGGCCTCCCACTGACGACTAAGGTCGTGACAGTGTCTTCGAAGTCCGCTGTAACCACCTCTTCTTTATGCATTTGGCTGGCACCGCTTTCAACCGAGGCCAGAAAGCGAGTTCCCACCCAAACACCAGCCGCACCCTGCATAAGAGCGCTGGCTAGGGATCGACCATCTCTGATTCCTCCTGCCGCGACAACCAGAGGAGAATTTCCAGTCATACATGAGCGGTATTTAGACACGACATCGCACACTGCGGGTATCAAGATTGAACTGGCAATGACCCCTGTGTGGCCTCCCCCTTCCCCGCCTTGGGCACAAATGAGATCAACACCAGCGTCCAGAGCATACTTGGCATGTTTTGGAGCGCCGACCATGTTCATTACCAGTATATTTGCTGCGTGGAGTCGTTCAATCACGTGTGGAGGCGGAACGCCCACAGCAGAGACAAACATCTTTGCCCCGTTCCTGATGACGACGTCGATCAACTCATCCAATTGACCCTTGGTATAGTCTCGGTTCGTCTTTCGAGCCCCTCCTCCAATTTTAGGAAGTGCCAGGTCCACCCCGAAAGGTAGCGACTTATCTGTCAAGTGCCATTTGAATTCGTCGATGATGTCTTGTAATTGCTGAGGGGAATAGTTCAGCCCTCCTATGACGCCAAAGCCACCTGCATTAGACACTGCGGCTGCCAAAGAACCAGAAGAAGCGCGTGCCATGCCTGACACTAGTCAGCTGCCATAGTAACTACTCCATCGTCCACTTGAAGAGCTTACCTGCAAGAATGATGGGATGCTTGACCCCTAACAGATCTGTAAGGGGCGTCTTAATTATCTGAGGGCCAGCCATTGAATTAACTTAAATTTTTTGTATTAAATCGTCTCTCGTTGAGGATACCGATGCGCTCTGTTGAATTTTCTAGCACGAGTAGTAGTTTGTCGCAGCGCGCTCGGAAAGGTCCATATATACTGGTAGATGGAGGTTATATCAAGGGTCAAATTGTGCGGGCTTCGTTCAATGCTTGTCCCTTGTCGGTTTTGTACACTAGCTCAAGTCTGTGGCCAGTCGGGTATGTGAGAATCTGGATCGTAATATCTGTTCTAGATGCCGCGGCTATGAAGCCGGACTCTTAAAGTCAAAAGACCCGAGAGCCTCAAGCCATGTGCTGGGCTTTCTAGAGACTCAATCGCCACAGGGACAGACACACTTGGTCGGTAGTATTTCTAGGCAAGACGACGAGGCAGAGTTTGATGGGAAAGTAAAAGGGGGAGAAGCCAAAAGTTCGGTGTAAAATGCTCCTGCGCTGTTTCAAGATTCTCACGCTTGAAATTTGCCAAACCGGGAATTTAAATAAAGCAGAATGCGCTGGTTTAGCATGTAAAAGAAATGGCCTTTTTCATTCCCGATCCATTCAAAATACAAAAACTCGATCAGTGGCTTTGGAAATTGCGCCAGGTATTTCAAGGCCAAGTTCTCGAGCATACTGCTTCATTACAGTAATCATTCCAGGAGGCCCGCACATCATAATCCTAGAATCTGGAGCAGTAATTGGCATTTTTTCCCTCAGGAGCTCTTTTGTCACGAATCCTGTGTAATGCTTCCATTCCCGAGGCGGATGCAACAGGACGTATGATATGTTGAACTTTGTCGGGCTCTTCGCTGCCCAGTGGTCAAGCTGCGGCCTGAGCAGAATATCTTCTTCGGTGTTGTTTGCATATAGGAGCCCAATTGTTGTGTTGTCCGAGGTGTCTTCGCAAATGGCCCGAATAAGCTGATACATGGGTGTGATACCAGTACCTCCTGCAATCATGCCGATGTGTTTACAAAGCCCAGAACGGTACTTCATAGGCCCGATGGGGCCGCGGAATTCTATCTCGTCGCCAACCTGCAATGAATCCAAATGTCTTGTCATCATGCCTTGTTCGTAAATCTTAACAATCAATTCAATCACGCCATTGTCTTTGTTGTTTGAAATTGGGGTGTATGACCGGGTAATTGATTGACCACCTATGTCGGCACGCACTGAGACGTGTTGTCCTATTGGCAAGTCCAGAATATCCGAAGGGTTTGGTAGAGCAAAGGTGAAGTGAAAGACGTTAGGAGAAATTCCTTCTTTCCTGGATAATGGGAACTTGCGGTAGGCTCGAGCGTCAAGGATCGCACTATTTCCAGTAGTACTTAAGTCATCTCCAAGGAGTACTCTCTGCGACGCCTTTTTCCGGGCGGGATATTTTTTCATGCTGTGGCTAGCATTAAACATTGAGGCCAGATAGTATCCGATGCCGGTTGAGACAATGGAAAGCGCCGTTGCTGAACTCAGGAATCCATACCAAAATGCGTTCGAGAAGCGCATTTGACGAGCTTGGTCAAGAAGACGATGGCTACCTTTGTAGAGAAGGACGCCGGTTAGGCTCAGCCACATGCCCTTGATTGATAAACTCATGAGCCATTTCATGACTGGCTTCTTGGTCAAGACGGAGACTGCTCCCACGTGTTCATAGGTAGGCTGATAAACCGCCACCAGTTCCCTTTGTTCCTGATATTGGGCGTATGCGTCAGTCGAGATCTTCATGCGAATGTCTCAGACGCCGGAATATTAAACTTGAACATTTCTTGACGCACCTTTGCTAATAGTTCGCCAACTATGAGCGACTCCATAGCGGCCCACGCTCTCTCCGAGTGCCCAACATCCTCAAATGCTTCAGTTGCATCTGTGCCCGCGCATTCTTTCAATATTTCGACACCACCTGGATGTTCCTCTAGGTAACCTGTGACATCGTAAACTGCTATTTGTAAGCAAGCATTCACAAGTCTCGGGAAATACCATGAGCCACAAAAGCGGACACTTTTGCTGTCTCACATGCTCTCAGAGAGTAATAGAAGGCGCACCTTTATTGCGAATGACAATCCAGAGGTCATTATCAGACGTATGCGCGCAAACGTCTTTCGAAGAATACTTCGGCAACATCTTTGACAATTCGAAACTAGGAAGCTAGACCATTCAAGGCCATTCCAGATCTACATATACAGTACGATTATAATCGGGGCCGCTGGAAAAGCGGCGAAATATCCTCTGGAAAAGCAGTCTCCACTTTATCCCTAAAACGGCTTGACTTCCGCCACTGGAGCACTAACAAGTACAAATCGGACACAATGGTACCTAGCCTTCTCCGGAAATCCACCCGAGGACTTGATGCCGAGGAAGCATATCCGAAACTGTCACCAAGAGTGTAACTCACGTGCAATAGGAGCTGTCCAGTCCAAATCATTTCAACTAGTACATAGTCGAGAGAACGAGGTCCATCAGTGCAATTTTCCGAAGACAGTGACACCGTGATTTAGTCGACTACCAAACGATGACTCAACGGGCGAAGATCCAGTTCTACCTCGTAGGGCCAACGCCTCGAAAAATCAGAGAAGTTGATGTCCATCTAAACAAAGATCTGAAGGCATTAAGGAATATACTTGGCCAGGAGTTTCATATTGTGGAACCTGGTGGTAAGAGGTATACTATTCTCGAGGCGGATCCTAGCTGATAGAAGCAATTGCTCAGGAATTAACTTCCAAACAGAAGAGGAACCGATTCATTCTGTAGAAATGATGCTTCAGGCATCCACACCCATTGGAATTACCATCGACGGCAAACCTGTCAGAAATGCCCCTGGACCAGTCGGCCTTCCCATCGTCGGGAACTTCTACGAGATCTTCCCCGACCACCTGGGAAATCACGCTCGTCTTTTCAGCAAATATGGACCTGTTATCAAGACCAACACGATGGGTAAAACCACCTATCACACCAATGATCCCATTATTACCGGGCATCTTCTGAGCGAATCCGCCTACTTCACCAAGAAAATCACGTCCGATCATCCACTATGGGGAATCAAAGATAACTCGGCCATTTTCGTCGGGGATACAGAAACGCACAGCTGGTTATTAGCCCACAAATTCCTCCCTCCATGTCTCAGCCCAAAAGCTATCCGACACTATACTCCACTGATGCAGAGGGCCGTTCGCTCGTCTCTGCCTGTGTTTGACGCGATGGATGAAGCAAACGAAAGCTGGAATGTTTACCAATATATGCTTAAGCTCGCTTCACAGACGATAGGCAAATTCTGCTTGGGTCTTGACTTCCATCATTTCGACAGCCCAGACTCTCCACTGGACCCCATTGTCGACGATATTTCAGCCATGCTAGTTCTGAACAAGAGAGTGACAAGCAGGGGTGAATGGTATGGGGCTCTTCCATTTGGAGACGCCAAACGGCTGAAGGAAGTGAGACACCGGATTTACTCACGGCTGCAGACCGCAATGGATAGCGTGGAACAGCGCGACACCTCTGATCTCCCTCTCAGCGAGGCTGCATTGAAAGCAACATGCGTAGTGGACTACATCAAACGAGCAACAGACGAAGCTGGGAGCAAACTGCCAGAAGATCTATTCCTGGGAAACATTGTCATCATGACTGCTGCTGGCTTCACAACTACATCTTCGCTGTTATCTTGGATGATCTACTCTGCTGTCACCTATGAAGGACAACAAGAGCGTTTGCTGCAAGAGCTGGTCGATCACGACGTCAGCAACGTTATTGACTGGTCACCAGACCTGGCCGGCTCCCTCAAATACTTGGACAAGTTTGTGAAAGAAACACAGCGCCTTCACAACCCTTCCTTCCAGCCCGCACGAACCACCAAGACAGATGTCATTGTTCCTGGTGGGTATCACCTTCCAGCCAACAGCGTCGTTGTCCCAGCACTGTATGCGATTCACTCAAATCCCAAATTCTGGGACAACCCGGCGCGATTTGACCCTGACAGGTGGGACACGCCACAAGTTAAACAACGGCACCGGTGCGCATTTTTGCCTTTTGCCACGGGGCCGCGAGGCTGTATTGGATTCAACTTCGCGCTGCAGGAGGTCAAGATTCTCTTCGCCGAGCTGATTTATCGATACGAGCTTACGTCCGAGTCTCAAGGTGCGATTGAGTACGACCCAGATTTCCAACTCATTCGTCCTATGAACATCTACGTCCGTGCTCGAAGGCGCACGTCTTGGCCAGCGAACACAAAATGAATCTGTCTTTTGCTAGTGTAGAATTCCGTGGCCTGCAGCATGTATATTCGACTCTGAAGAGTTCTATAATCTCCGAGGCAAAAGTTTTCGATGTATGCGGTGAAGTTGTCTTGGAAGACTTGAGTGATACGTGTGCTTTGATTTCTGCGAGCGGGAGACACATTTTATGTATTAAGCAATCTGACTACATAGTAGTTCATCAAATGACTTCGCTGAAGCCTTGGGCCACTTAGTACTCCATAATTAACGGAGATTTGGATTATCCACAATTTGCGTTCAAGGACACTGTTACATGTGCTTCAAGCCAGTCCATATCATCTTGGGGGTTTGGGGAGCATGTTTATCTGAACAACTGGGGCCAACAGGAATACCATGACAGCAATGATAAGGCTCGCACAGTCTAACCATACATATATACCGGAGATGGGCAATATCTCTTTAGAATTCGACTGGAAAATCGCCATTCCCATTCACTCCCCCTGCATACATATCAAAGATGCTGTCGTGGTCAAGCAGTTCGTGGAACATTGCCCAGTCCATGTCTTCGGACCCAATGCTACCATGGCCTGGTGAAGGTCGCTTTTCGGGGCCTAGGCACCCCTCTTCATCTGGCACGGTACCCGCAGCTCCTGCATCATCCCCCTTGGGAAATGTGTGACCCATCGCCAGCATATGACTGGGAGAGTTTGTTCCTAAAGCTGAACTCGGTTCTGGTCGCGGCTGGATCTCTGGGCATGGGGATGGCACATCAGCTGTCATTAAAGCAGTGCTTGCCGTCAAATCCGGTGCAGCTAGAGATTCATAAGTCCTTGTATCTGACCCGTGTGGAATCAGGATATCAGTCCCGTCTCCTGGAGCATACTGGTCAGAGTTCTCCTCTGTGAGGCTGAGGTCAAAATTCAAGGTGTTGGCGAAGACTTGAAGCAGCTCCAACGACTTGGCAGCGGTTAGATGGGTTTGTGCAGCCGCTCGTAGTGACTGCCACAGAATATTGATGTATTTGTTTTGTGCAGCACCAGGCCCCTGCGCTTTTCCCATAGCAGACGATGTCTTGAGACGGTGTTCTAGTAAAAGGACGATAGAGGCTCGGAATATGTGATTGTACACAATGTCGTTGCAGCGATGGGCGATCCCATCCTCCCAATCTACTCCTTTGGCGACCCTAAGCACGATTTTGGCCGTCAGTCTGGAGGTCTCAACGCTTTTCTTCAGGCATGTACTCCGGAAAGAATTGTTGAGAGCACTATTGGTGAAGTGTCTGAATAAAGCTAAACGCGCTTGCTGTGTGATGAATAAGATTTTCAAGGTAGAAGGCTCAATACTTCCATCCGCATCATCATTGGTCAAATCGCCGGGATACTTGTACCAACAAGAGAGCAGTTGGGCATCGATCTGCATCATTGTTTCGACGTCATTTTCTTCGTTCCGGGGCACGGCATCGAGTTGGATGATTGGGTCAAGGAGAGATACCACTGATATGCTCGTTCGGAAGAAATGCAATGAGTGAGGAGACGTGATTCCTTTCTCGTCCACATTACCAGGGAGGTCAACATCGCAATCTTCGTCCAAGAGCAAGACAGGTCTCCCGAACGTAAGTGCCACGAGCCGATCAACCATGTAGGCCCCCCAGAAGAGTCGATTTCGAGATTCGATTTCGACATTGAATAGCTGATGTGGGGAAGGTCGTTTGTGCAGACCGAGATCTTGCACGATACGTGACGTTGTTCCGGCCATGACCCAGCATGGACTGGGCAGAGACGCCCCGAGGAGGTAGATACTCATAAGCAGAGTGATGATGGCATCGTCCAAATTGTAGGTGGATTTGATTAACCGGTGGCACTTTCTGGCTGCTTCAAAGAAGCCCCACCCGTTCCTCATCTGCTGACCGCTTCTGTGACCGACCTCTGCCAACTCGGACAGTTGGGATCCAACAGCGAAGACCATCATTAGAATGCAAAAGTCGGCTGCTATCTGGCCTTCTTCATAACGTAGCAAAGGAGATCTCGTGTAGATTCGTTGAAATTTGATCAGTATTGAAGGCCAATATAACATTGGTGTATGTGCTTGAACATGTTGAGCATATACCTCGATCAACTTCGCCCCAAGCCGCTGGGAGGGCAATTGCGATCGCAAATCAGCTGCCAGGTTTGATTTGGGCTGATTGTCAGCAAGTCTTGTTTGAGTCGTATCAACATTAGTGCGCCATAGATTCCCGGATGCTGGGACTTCGTAGCCAAGTTGCTGGACATACTCCCTAACCGAGTCAAGAAAGACCAGTTCAGAAGTTGAGCCATAGAAATGGTGTGTTTTGGTTCCGTCCCCAGTCACATATGTCTGTAAATTTGGACTGCCATTGGTACATCGGCGACGCTTCCTCAGACTAGACTTCCCTGCCACCTCAACAGTCGAGCTGCTTTGAGTCTCAGCCGCTGATTGATGGTCTGCTTGTTTTGGGCCTGGAGATGGAGGTTGTGAAGGAAGTCGCAGCTCGATGTCCTCATTATGGCCATCTGATTCGGCTTGTTCAGGCAGCCGCCCCCCAACATGCTCAATATGTTTTGCAAATTTCTCTACAGTCTGTTCAAGCTCGCAAATTCGTCTGTTGTTTCCCAAAGGGTTAGTCGAGCATGACAGAGTAAGGACGCATGTTGGAACCGTGTATCTAACAGCTTACTTTAGCAAAATTGCGTTTTGCTGCTTAGCAGACGGTTCTGTCACTTCGCATATAAGGCCGGCAGCAACACAGGAAGAGCACTGGCCGTTTACGGAGATATCGCACTATGAGAGCGAGCCTTAGAAGACGTTTCTCCAAAAAAAAGAAACCACTTGACAACTGAGGAGTGCGCAAATAATAAAAAGGACTCACCTTGGTTTTCCTTGCCCGACAAGCATTGCAAGCTCTGTTTTCTCTACGTCGCCGAAATGGTCGGAGAGCTCGGTGAGCTGAGCTGTTGCGTCCATGTGGTGATGAGCCTGACGAGAATACGGAAACTTCTTGATGGCTATTATCCATATGACCCGACATATTGGCTTCTATGAGGTCCATCAGAAAACCTGGATGAATACAATGCTTCTTTTGGGACTGTCAAGGGTGCAACTTGAAACTGCGGGGATGACTTTGAAGCCATGTTTTCGGCGGGGGCACACGGGGGAATGGGTGTGGATAGCGGGGAAGGCAATCTTCGACCTAGGAACCCGAGACCCTCCCTGTCGCCCCCCCAAAACAACTCAATAAATAGTAGTCCGGTCCTGGTGGCGGTCCTAGAACGCCATCACTCCACAGGCCATGAGAAAGATAAAGGGGCTGGCGGCAGACGTGATACTTGGAGAGCGTCAATTCCTTCTTGCAGGGCCGTAGCAGCCAATGCCTTCTGAGAGAAATGGTTGGAAAGATCATGGGCGCTCCCAGACAGGCCCGTCAACCCTGTCTAGATAGTCTTTGATGAGACAAAAATGGGGTGCAGTGATCATCACCCGAGGGCCAAGCGGATCAGACAACCCCCCAGGTCTCAACAAGCAAGCGAAATACTGTAAAGAACAGTCCAAAGGTAGCTCGGAACATTTACCGCGGACCGTTTTCCGTGGAGCAATGCCTCCGACTTGGCGTTGATGCGAAATTCCCTGGTGCCTTACACCCATCCCTTGTCAGTTTCCCATTTGCGATACGAGCACAGGAAACACCATGTAGCCTTAATGTTCGCGCCACACTTTGCGATATATACCTCGTACATATAAAGTTATTAGGGGCTGCAGCGACATCTGTTGAGTTGTTGGCCTTGTAGTCATCCCGGGCCACGCAACTACCAAGGACAGAAAGATGGGCTCTTCTCCTCTAGATCGTCGTCGTCAGGTCTTATGGCAGCATCCTCATCCCAGAAACACCCACTTAGAAAGGTTCCGCAAATTTGTCAATCATCGTCGCGGTCTCAACTTGCTTGTTCGTTTGCAATCCCCCATTGACGATCTTGTTTGCATGTCAGGCATTATTCAGACCGAGACTCACACGATATAGGACTATCACGACCTATATTCATATTCTATACACCAACTCCCCGAATTTTGGCAAGATGTTTTCGAATTTTCGGATCTTCTTTATTCAGGGAGCTATACTACGGTACGCAGCATTAATTTTTGCTATGCTGGAGGCCCAGAGACGAAGTCTGACTAGTTTTGATCAAGGTTGTTGACACTTCAACGCCCATGGAAAAGATCCCGAAATGGTTCTCTGGCGTAAGAATAAATATAATTGAGAATCTCCTATTTGGTCCCGGAAAACCCGACTCGAAGATTGCTGTTACCAGCATTCGAGAGGGTAACACCAATGTCACGCATACTTCCTGGGGCGAACTGAGGCTAATCGTGGGAAAGTTGGGTTCAGCCTTGCGTGTTCATGGGATAAAGAAGGGTGATAGAGTCGCGGTTATTGCCTCTAACAGCCTCAATACTCTGTCCATTTTCCTCGCCACTGTATCGATTGGCGCCATTTTTACTTCAACTTCTACAGACATGGGAAGCAAGGCAATTTTAGACCGTTTGAGTCAAATCCGCCCTACACTGGTGTTCATCGAGGATTTCGCCGTCTACGGGGGTAAGGTCACTGACCTACGACCGAAGGCAATCGAACTCGTCGAATTCCTCCAAAAAGTCCAAGAGTTTCGACAGTTGGTTGTCATGCCGAGATTCGATCTGGTGACGGATCTATCAACCATTCCTCGAAGGTATGAGCTCTTACCTCTAGACCCCTTGATATCCCAAGCTCGTCTGATATTCAAGACAGCGCTTCTTTTGAATTTTTCCTTTCCAAGGGTACTGAGACCAAGCCCATATTCGAAAGAGCAGCCTTTGATCAACCATGTCTTATTCTCTATTCGTCGGGGACCACTGGTCAGCCGAAGTGCATTGTTCACGGGGCTGGCGGCATTTTGCTGTCGCAGAAGAAAGAATTGTTTCTACATTTCGAAATTGGTCCTGAATCTGCCCAAATGATCTTTACCACGGTAAGGATCCCAAAAGGTCGTCGAATACGACTAATCGCCATACTGACCGATGTTCCCAACCAAAGACTAGCTGGGCCATGTATAACAAGTCCATAACAAGTCTTCTAAATGGCGGACGCATTGTGACCTACGACGGCAGCCCTTTTTATCCTGATCGAAAAGTTCTCCTCCGAATCTGCGAAGGACAAAAGTAACTATTCAATTGGTTTGGGCTTGCGGAAGATTGAACTGTAAACTGACGGTGCTGCAGGTTGACACATCTGGGCATTTCTCCGCGATACCTCGATGAACTACAGCGTCATCAGATCAACCCTCGAGATATTGCAGACCTATCCAGCCTGAGGATGGTTAATGTCACGGGTGCAACGCTTCTTCCCGAACAGGCCCGCTGGTTCTACGAGAAGGCGTTCCCTTCAAACGTCCATCTAGCAAACTCTGCTGGTAGTACCGATACGGCTTGTCAATTTGCTGCCCAGAACGCCTTTCTGCCCGTATACCCTGGCGAATTGCAATCAGCCGCTCTGGGAATGAAGCTTGAAGTGTTTGAACAGTCCAATAACAGTGATGGAGAAGGTGCAATCCAGGGTAAACCTGCTGGAGCAGATACCGCAGGAGAGCTCGTAATTACAGCACCTTTCCCGACAATGCCCATCATGTTTTGGGGCGAAGGCGGAGCAAAACGCTACCATGCCTCGTACTTTGCAACGTTTGAAGGTATATTACTCATGATATTCGGCACCCCGAGACTTCTTACCGCAATTTGACTCATCTATTTAGGCGTCTGGACACAAGGAGACTTCATCAAGGTGCACGCTGATACTGGAGGTATCGAATTCTTGGGACGTTCTGACGGCGTCCTCAATCCCTCTGGTATGCTATTCCCTCCGAAGTCATGAGCCGGACGCCGAGACTAACAAATTGAGCTTGCAGGTGTCAGGTTTGGCTCGGCCGAAATTTACAGTGTACTGCAAGACTTCCCGCAAATCGCTGATTCGATTTGTGTGGGCCAGCGCCGACGGCAAGATTCGGATGAGAGGGTCTTCCTCTTCATTCTCATGCGACCCGGGGCTAGCTTCGATGCTGAACTGGTATCTGATATCAAACTAGCGATCCGAAAACGTCTATCAGCTCGTCACGTTCCCAAGTACGTCTTCGAATGCAAGGAAATTCCTGTGAGTTCACTACAACCTATGGGCTAGAAACCTTGAGATCCTAAGCTAAGAAAAACCCTGCTTTAGATGACCCTGACTAATAAGAAGATGGAATTACCTGTCAAAAGAATCATCTCGGGCAATTTCGATGTGTCTACTTCGGCAATTGCGAATCCGGGGAGTTTGAAGTTCTTTGAGCAGTTTTCCCGAATCGAGGAACTAGAGGCTCGAAGCAATGGTTCGCGTGGAATCTTAGCCAGACTATAAATACGACTCTCAAAGGTGCATCGGGTCAAAGAAAGGTGCCTGTTCATCAACTGGAGATTTTCAGGACCATCGCGCATCTAGTGGTAGCGCAGAAAAGTTCCACCAACGCCTACAATCTACTCTTATCATGCTTGACTTGTATCATGGCCCTGCCATTAGATAAAGCAACCTTTCCACTGTCTCGGATCTTCGTCAAGAATCGGATCTCCAGTGTATTTTCCGACGAACCTGTACTCCCTGAACCAGCATGGCTCATTTTCCACATTTCCACCGTCAGAGTCTCGCCAGGATAAACAACATTGGTAAATCTCGCCTGGAATTCTCTCAACATCGCCTCTTCAGTCCCAAAGGTGTCCAAGACAGCGTGCGCTGTGATATTCCAGGTGCAGAGTCCGTGAAGAATCGGTTGCGGGAAGCCAGCCTTTTGGGCAACGGCGGGATCGGCGTGGAGTGGATTATAATCTCCGTTTAATCTGGTAGACAAGAGTCTCCCTGTCAGTCCTGCAATTCTCGCGAGCGGAAGCAAACGAAACAGCAAAAAGCGCGACAATTCCTACCGGTAGAGAAGAGTCAATTCCGGCCGTGTGTCGATAGTCACCACTCTGTCTGCCGGTCTATTCTCTGGGGGCATCAGACTCGGCCGACTGGGTCCCCTGGGACCGCCCCACTGGCCTTGACCAACGGCGAAACTCTGGCGTACAATGCGACAATATATGTCGGACCCTTCAACCAGCAGGGCTTCGGTCTCGACCACTGTGCCGCTCGCGCCTTTGTCGTACATACCCAAAACCCTTGTCTTCAGCTTGAAAAGCCTCCCTTCTGAAGATGTGGGCAAAGTTTTGAAAATCTCGATATGTCGTTCGCCATCCAGGACACGAGTAGGGTCAATGAGTCGCTCTATCTTCCCGGGGATTGGAGGTGGCTTCAGAATATTCGAGTAATAGTCAACGACAGAATTTGCAGCACCCTTGAATTGAAGGATCACAGGATATGTTGGAAACGCACAAAAGGTCGGATGTTTTTCCTGTTGTGCCAAGTTAACCAATTTATCGACCAAGGTCGCAGTACTGCATGCGGTCTCCCTACCAGACAGGATCTGCGAGCTTAGCCAAAGAGACGAATGACTTACATAGAGGTATCTCAGCTCTTCCGCCCTGCAACCAATGCTTGCCGCAAATAGTATGAGGTCTCGTTCGTTCCAAGCGCATGGCTGGTCAGGATATCGAAAGTTTTGGATCGACTGGGCCATCATGCAGAAGCATGCAAAATCGCATCGAGTGCCGTTTGATTTTGTTCCTCTACCGGAAGAACCTGTCGTAAAGGATGGGTTATCGTACGTATTTGTTCGCGACTGAGGAAGATTGGAGTGCAACACTACTATCATGGAGGACAAATATGCGGCCAGTTCAAGGAGGACGACGATCTCCCGGGATCCGTATCATCTTTGCAATCGTGTTGAACCCCAATGTGGGCTTTCGGTCCGCGGATCTCTTACCGGACTTGAAGTTGGGGCAAAACAAATTACAGGAACCGATCTCCACATCTAAATATATGTAATATGAATGCTTTTCGAGAGCGGAATATGACATTCCGACATCCCGGCAAGCCTCAGTGTCTCGACTCGCATGGTTTATTTTCCCTTCCAGGCATAGAGAGGTCATATACTATCGCTCTTATGCAGACAGCTTCTAGGAACCAACGGCAAACTTCAAACTCAAGTCATTTTGGATGGAAAACCATCAACCTTTAGGAGTCATAGCGTCTTGGACTGTGCTGTACTGAGTAGAGTGCGACGTCTGATCAACCAGAAACGGACAGGAGAACATCATCAGCTAGTAGCTCTACCTCTGAAGCATTTTAACACTTCAGGGGAGGTTTGTTTTTCCCGGGGGGCAATCAGACTTTCCATATGAGAGATATCTGACATGCATCATTCCACGTTGACTCCGTTCGTGTGGCCGTTGGCGTGGTTGTTTGAGTAGCTGCTCTTCTCCACAACCGATGTCTTGCCTGAAGCTCCCATTCCAGATTGTGTGTCTAAGTAATAAGTAATATCGCTTTTCCCGTCGAATTCAATCGTACTGAATCCGTTGCCCAGCCAACCCCATCGATTCTTGCTCCAATACTCGATCTCATAGTCCTCAAAATTTGGTGTCTCCATCAGGTCGAAAAATGCCAACCTGCTTCCAGGCCACATGATGATAGGCCCATCTGTTGTGCCCTGCTTGAACCAGCTTGTGCAAGGGTCTGACCAGCAAGTCCGCTGCATGTATAACGCGGCGTGTTCCATGAAATCCTCAATTGCCGTTTCCTTGGGATAGAGTCGGCGAATGTGTTGCTTTCTCATCTTCTGAATTATTTGAATGACGTAGTTGGAGCAAAGTGTAAGAAGGGGGAGCACAGAGCCTTGGGCAACAGGACCGAATGGTCCCGTGTACATGAAATAGTTGGGCATTTTGGGTGCCGCGACAGAGATGTAGCTGGCTGGCAGCTTTTCCCATTGTTTCGAGAGGCTTTCACCTTCGAGTCCGATGATCGGAAACCGAGGGCGAAAGGAGGTGTCGAATCCTGTTGCACAGATGATCACATCCACCTCGACCTCTTCGCCATCAGCTGTGACGAAGCCTTTGGGAGTGATAGCGCCAATGCTGTCAGTGTAGCAAGTTGTTTTCTCACCAACAAGTGCTTCAAGATAACCATTTCCAGGAGTTGGTCGGCGGCAGCCAACATTGAAGTCCTTCGGAATCATTCGGTCTACAAGACGAGGATTGTGGCCAAGCTTTGATGCCATCTCTTTGTAAGCAAACTTCACACCAAAAAGTCAGTGGTACCTTCAGGGATGGCAATATAGCGGCGGGTTCTCTTACAATATTGGCCTCGTCTGATTCACGGGTGTTTTTGAGGACGAACTTAAATCTCTGATTCAACTCCTGCTCGATCAGTTTTCTATACTGTCTGTATTTTTCTGGGTCTTGCCGCCATTCCGATTTTTGCTCCTCTGAGTCTGAGCCAATCTTGTTAGCAGAAAGAAAGATCCAGCTGACTGTTGGGCGATGGCGCATAAAAACTCACAATCAAAGTTTGCCCCATTTTCCCCAGCATACTTTTGCGCGAATCCGGCAGTGATCCATGTTGGAGTTCGTACCCAAGTATAAAGCTTGGACACATCCTGATAGATCGTAGCCACTATTTGTACACCCGAACTGCCGGACCCGATAACAGCAACTCGCTTTGCTTTCAGATCAAAGCCTTCTTCGTACTTTGCACTGTGGAAAATTTTCCCTTTAAAGGTTTCGAGGCCGGGAATTGCAGGCCACTTCCAAGCACTGCAAGAAACAGGAATTCAAGATCAGCTAACCAACGTTCTTTGATCGAAGGGTTTGGTGGATACCAACTTCAGAAAGCCGGTGCCGCTAACCAGCACGTCGCATTCTTCCGTCCACTCAGATATCTCATCTTGGTCAGACCGGGAAAGACGGACGATCCACTTAGACTTTTCGTCTTGCCAAACAGCGCCGGTCACCGCGACTCCGAGTTTGATATATCTCATCATCCCTTCTTCATCCACAATAGTCTTCAAATACTGCCATATATGCTTGGCCCCGCTGTAGTAGCTCTTCCACTCTGGGTTTGGTCTCCAGGCAAATTGGTAGCTTGCACTGGGAATGTCTCTCACCCGGTCAGTGCTGCGCTGTTTCTGGAATGTGTTGCTGGTATCTCACCACAAGCACAGCCTGGGTAACGATTCTCGTACCAGGTACCCCCAATCTCCTCGTTCTTCTCGTAGCATACGATGTCAACATTAAGACCTTTGAGAGCAGTGGGAGCGTGGTGGAGGAAGTCGATACCGGCTGCTCCAGCTCCAATAAGAATGACCTTGAGTGATTTGTTTGGAGGTTCATTGATCATATGATCTGAAATAAAATATCCTCTCGCAGACGGCGTGGCCCATTCTTCGTAATGCACAGGGCGATGCTCAGCGGACGGGTGAGGGCCAGCTGTGTTGCCGCCGATCTTAATACTTTGACCAGAATCAAGTCGGTTCATACTTGAGTGCTGTTGCTCGTCTAAACCGGCCATTTTTCGATGTCGACGAACTACTTCGCTTCCCTTGGTATAATATTTTCGAGCTGTTAATTTTAATCACATCGGGGAAGGCGGACATTTTTGATCTTCATCAACTGTTGGACCCAAGGAACAGATGTGGATCCCATTGCTGTTGGGCGGAAAAGGGAAGAGACAAAGCCTCGGGTCCTTCCTATCTTCATCTCCGGAATCAGTCTCCGAGGAATGCGGGCCGTTAAGCGGCCCAGGTGACTAAGCAAGGCTGGAACCCCTTAAGCTGGAAGTAGGGTGGATAATTTGGTATCTGTAGAGAACGTTTGGTTTAGCATTCGCCGGTTCGATAGTGGTGGAAAGGGGGTTGCTCCAGAACTTTAAAGTCTCATTTACATACGCGAAGACCACTGTACTAACCACAGACTTTGAATTCTGTTTTGTCACTTCCCTGCCATAGTTTCAGGATGGCGAAATTCCCTTCATACGTTCTTGGTGTCGGGTTGACTAAATTTATCAAGCCTAGAGGGCTGGTAGATTACCCAGAACTCGGGTTTGAGGCGGGTGTTAAAGCCATGTTAGATGCGGGAATCAACTACGATCAAGTTGACCAAGGGATCGCATGCTATTGCTATGGAGATTCGACATGCGGTCAACGTGTCTTCTATCAATTCGGTATAGGCAATAGAAGGACTCTTTGCGCCGCCTTCGGTTTGCTGATTGTCTTCAAAGGAATGACTCAAATACCCATTTACAACGTCAACAATAATTGCGCTACAGGTTCTACAGGCATTTTCATGGCGTCTCAGCTAATTGCAGGAGGCCTTGCTGATTGCGTGCTTGTTGTGGGATTCGAGAAGATGGCCCCAGGATCACTCAAGTCGGCCTACAGTGATCGAGCACCCCCAAACGAACGCACTGTCGAAATGATTAGAACAACCCGCGGTTATGACACCAAAGTCCCCAGGGCCCCGCAGACGTTTGGAAATGCTGGGCGTGAGTACATGGAGAAGTTTGGAGCAAGATTGGAGGATTTCGCAGAGATCGCGCGGGTGAATCATCAGCACTCGGCGAAAAATCCTTACAGCCAATTCCAGGATGTTTATACACTGGAAGAAATAATAAAGAGCCCAATGATTCATTACCCACTGACGAAGTTGCAATGGTGCGTATGTTTCATAGAGTTCAGACAGGGACCAGCTGGCTGACAATATCCTGGTCTTTGGTAGCTGTCCCACTTCAGACGGTGGAGCGGCTGCCGTCATCGTCTCGCAGAAATTTCTTGATGCCCATCCTGAGCTCAAGTCTCAAGCGATATTGATTGCGGGTTGCGCAATGGCCACTGACTCTCCCAGCTTATACTCCACTTCGGCAATAGATTTGGTGGGCTTTGAGATGACAAAACGAGCTTCAAAGGAAGCCATGATCCAAGCTGGTGTTACTCCCAAGGACGTCAAAGTCTGTGAGCTTCATGATTGCTTCTCGGCAAACGAGATGATCACCATCGATGGGCTTGGTTTATGTGAGCCAGGCACGGCCCATCACTTCGTTCGGCAAGGCAATATTTCATTCGGCGGAACAGTGGTGGTAAACCCCTCGGGTGGCCTCATTTCGAAAGGCCATCCACTCGGAGCGACAGGGTTAGCGCAATGTGCAGAGTTATGCTGGCACCTGCGTGGTTGGGCTACCAATAGACATGTCGAAGGGGTTTCCGTTGCACTACAACACAATCTTGGACTCGGTGGCGCTGCAGTTGTCACAATTTATAAGCGCGCAGATGGACAGTCGAACACGTGCGCTGTGGACGTGTCGAAGGTGTCGCGGATGGGATACAACCCTGCTTTGGAGGCAAGACCCCTAACGGAAACGGATATTGCGAAAGTAAGAAGTCTTCGCAGTCATAGTACCTGGATGGAAGTACGGGATCGGAAAGTTTCTGCGTTACTCTAGATATATTTTAGCATACCAAGAAGAGTTGAAGACCTAGATCTATACACTTCATCGTAGTGAAATTCCTCGGGAAAATACCCTCGGGTTATGCACCGAATGATGGAGAAATATGCCGGCTATATTGATAGACTAGTTATACACTCATCATTGCGAGGCCTGGGTCTATCTTATATCATGGCTCCCATCTTCTGAAGCAGAAAAGTCAACCTCGAAGGCCCAGAATCTCATCTTGAAATGCTGCAATAATGCCAAAAGCAATCGTAATGGGGGAGGCCCTTGGGGGACCCGGGGAGACCTACTGGCCGTGAGCCGTTCCAAATTAGCGACTTTCTCGAGACAAGCCGCTGATTATCTTCCAGGCTCAAAATAACAGAAGTTCCCTTTCCAAAACCGCGTGCAGACGAAGTTGTAGTCAAAGTGTCCTGCGCATCCCTCAACCATCGAGACCTCTTTGCACGTCAGAAGTTGTACCGCGGGGCTACCCCCGGAGTGCCAATAATGGCAGATGCGGTAGGAGTGGTTGTATTTGCGGCATCTGAAGAGAATAAGAAACAATGGTTGGGTAAAAGGGTTCTTCTGGCTCCGGCCAGAGGGTAGGTACTTTGTCTCCAAAAACTACCAAGGTAAAGCTAATCGTGACCTGAGGTGGGAAAGTGATCCGAAGGGTCCTGAGTCTGATATGTCTATACTTGGAGGAACAGTGAAGCTCAAGAACGGCTGTTGCCAGGAATATATTGCCGTCTCCGCCGCCGAGATCGAGCCGTGCCCGGCGCATCTTTCTGACTCTGAAGCTGCGGCCATCCCCCTGGCAGCACTCACAGCATGGAGAGCCACAATTGTCAAAGCTGAAGTTCAGCCAGGACATAATGTCTTGATTACGGGTATTGGCGGAGGCGTCGCACTGTTCTGCCTTCAGTTTGCGCTATTACGCGGAGCATCAGTATATGTCTCGTCTGGATCGGAAGACAAAATATCCAAAGCGAAGGCTCTAGGTGCCACGGCAGGAGTCAACTACAAAAATGTTGGATGGAGCGAGCAGCTGCTGGATCTTCTTCCATCGAAAAGACCCTATTTGGACTCAATAATTGATGGTGCTGGCGGTGACGTCGTATGGAGGTCATTGAGTCTACTGAGAGCCGGCGGCATTATTGCTAGCTATGGTATGACCCTTGGTCCAAAGGTGACTTTTAGCATGCCGGCTGTGATGAAGAACATCGAGGTTTGCTTCAACCCTTCTCCCCCTTCCATTTCTTTTTTCGATTGGACTTTGACTTTGGGTTCTTGGGCTGATACATGATTAAATTGGCAGCTGAGAGGATCAACCATGGGATCGAGAGATGAATTTAGGCAAGTAGTGGCCTGTATCGCGGAAGCCAGAATGAGGCCTGTAGTACATTCAGTACACCGCTTTGAGAATGTTGAGGACGCCTTCACATTAATGAAAGAAGGGAAGAACTTTGGGAAACTGGTTATTGAGATACAGAGTAACAGAGATTCCCCAAACCTCTGACTATAGAATACCAGACCATATCTACCGGAGATAGCAAAATCTGATCACCATACTACCTCAACGATAATACCGTTTCAGTAGACTAACAGATCAAGGTTCGTAAACAGTTTCATGAATTTCTCTGCCTCTTCAAAGCTTCTGCATATGAAATATCCTAGGGGAATAACTGCACTGAGCTTTCATTAATTGACGATGGTCGTCAATGAGAGACAAGACCTCCGTCAATAATAAGATCAGATCCCGTAGTATATGACGATGCATTGGATAAAAGTAAAACAACAGCACCTTTAAGATCTCGACGGTCCCCCAGACGTTTCATTGGCACATTAACACGAAGTTCTTCTAGGATATTGGGCCGCTTGTCGATATCCCGTATTGCCATGTCAGTCAGCATGAACCTGGTATTGTATCGTCAGTGAGAGAACACTGAAGCTTCCAAACCCGAAATTTCAAGACGGCTTAATACAAAGCAAAGACATACCCAGGGCTGATAGTATTAACTCTGATGTTGTAAGGAACAAGGTCATCAGCGATTGAGCGGCACATAGACAGCACAGCGCCTTTGGAAGCACAATAGCCAGACACTGATTTCCCTGGCACCGAGCAATGAGCTCCGATAGAAGCGACGAGGAGGATACTCCCGCCGTCTCCTTGTGCGATCATTTGTTTAGCAGCTAGCTGCGCAGTGAAGTATGTTCCTAGAACCTACGGCCAAGAAAGTTAGGTATATTACCCCCTAGCATCGAGAGTCTCTTACGTTGACATTCAGCACTGAAGTTAGATCATCCGGGGTTTGATCAAGGAAGGGCATTTCCTTTGCAATTCCTGCGGCAGTCACACTGACCGTTGGTGTTAGATCGCAGATCATCAAAAGAGATGTTCACCTAACCAATAGTGGATATGGCCGAAATCCCTCACCACATCTGCAAATGTTTGCGTGAGCAGTTGGAGGTTTGTAACGTCTGTTCTGTTCGAGGAGTGGTCTGGAGTGAGAATTGAAGTAGAATCCCAGTAGATTTGCAGCCTGCGCACCGGTAGAACTTAGCCTCGACCCCCAACTCGTTATGCAAAAGAGCAAAATCCTCATGAGGCTCGTCGAGTAAGTCCAAAGCAGCAATATTAGCCCCAACCTCTGCACAGGCCCAGGCGAAGGTCAGGCCAAGTCCGCGAGCACCACCTGCGACAAACTGAGCGCTCAAGATGTCCACTTCAAGCGGATTGAGATGGCCACTCACCGGTTATTACTACTGTTTTCCCCTTTAAAGAGAATAGATCAGTGAGATTTGTTTTGCGGTATGCGTCCGTGCTCACAGATGACCCAGACATGGCAATACGAGTATGTTTTTAAACGTGGTGGACTCGAGCGGCAACAGGGCCTTGCAAAGCCTACGATCATGAGTTTGACGTCTATTTCAAAGATAAGACCAATGCATACTGGCATTCGGAAAAAGGCATCTTGATTCTTCAGTCAAAACAGTTCACCACGGTCCGAAGTGAGGCTGCTGCTGACTAGTTACACATCAGGATCACGGCCCGTGGTGTCTGGAGAAAAGACATCGTACGGAGGTACAACAGTGTTTCCTCGGTACCTCGTAGATTTGGCTCTCGTCGGAATAGGTTGACACTCCCGGCTTGGCACTGTTGGCGGTCATTCCGCGGACTTCTCTTGTTGCCTGCATGCTACTGCTTCCATCACCAAACTTCACTCTGGAGAAGCTCTGACCCTCCATGCAGATCCGAGACTTCCATGTCCATGTGTCCCCTTCTACACCTCCTCATAATTTCGAGGGCTTGACCAATCCCAATTCCTTCTTCGCGCGGTCTCTGAGCTCCCTTCGAAGATACTTCCCAACCGCGTTCTTTGGCAGCTCCTTCACAAAGACAACGCCTCCGCGAAGCTGCTTGTATGGCGCCAGCCGCTGCTTGACGAATTCCTTGATTTCCTCCTCGGTGATCTGCGACGGATCGGCAACAACATACGCCCGAGGAAGGTCAGTACCGGGATCGTCTGGCATGTTGATCCCGACAACGGCTGCTTCTTGGATTTTGGGATGTGTGAAGAGTAAGTTCTCGATCTCGGCGGGTGCAACTTGGAGACCTTTGTATTTGAGGAGCTCCTGGAGAACTTATAATCAGCAGTGCTCGTGGTGGCCTGTAGAGGCAAACGAACCTTCTTCCTGTCGACGATATAAAACTTGCCATTACGCAGCACTCCAATGTCACCGGTGCAAAACCACTCGTCGTGAAATGCGTCTTTCGTGGCTTGAGGGTTGTTGAAATAGCCTTGTGTGACAAGCGGGCTCCGGACTAGCATTTCACCTTCCTGTCCTGGCTCAACGTCGTTGAAGTTTTCGTCGACCATTCTGCTCCACCCAGTAAGCAACTGAACTTTGAGAGATACTCTGGAAATCTCCTTACCTGATTTCGACATTGGGGAGAATCGGAGATATGCTACCAGTTATGTCGCTCTGGCCCCTCGGCATCATGGTTACCGCTCCTGTTGTCTCACTCAATCCCCATGTTTGACCAATAAACGTCTCTCCCTGGCCTAGTTTGGCATTCGCAGCAGTCTGCAGATCGCCATCCATCGGAGCCGCTCCAGTTGTGGCGGCGTCGAGGGATCGGAAATGGTCCTTCACCTCGGGAGCCTTGGATATCCGGAGATATATAGAGGGAACTGTGTAAAAGGCGGTGATTTCGTACTCTTTCATATATTTCAAGAGTTGAGTCCACTCGTACTTGCGCATCCATACTACCAACCCACCAGAATAGAATGGTGCAACGAGATATCCAAACAGCCCGGCAATATGGCTAATGGGGAGATGGGCAAGGGTCCGGTATGGCTTGAGTTCCTTCCCGGCTTCGACCTGTTTGGCGGCCCACTCTCTGCCGGCTACCGATGTCACAAATGTCTCTTGCACGAGGTTTTCGTGAGAAAGCATGACGCCTTTGGGAAGACCAGTTGTACCAGAGGACCACAGAATCACAATAAGACTCTTCTTCAACGCCGTGGGGTCTGTGATGCGCTCCCATTTCAGAGTCTGGTCGGAGATGACATTGATCCTGCCGTCTAGACTTGTCAGGCTCCACGAAGGACTGGACTGCAGAACCAGGATCCTCTCCAACGGGAGATTGCATTGTTTCGCTGCTTGGGTTGCCAGATCTTTGTGTTCCGACCCACAAATGATCAAGCGACTGGTGCCGACACTGACTTGTCGAGCCAAATCTGCTACCGTGGAGGAAGGACTGGCGGCGGAATACACTCCACCTGCGGCGATGGTGCCATAGAAGGCTGCTGGCACCAAGGGCTGACCATAGCTGATGACCGTGATGACATCCTTGTCGGGACCCTTGGCGCCGACGCCATAATGATGCCGAAGACCATGGGCGATGCGCTGAGTGAGGTCTAGAAGATCCTTCTTGGCGATCTTGTTCGATGGGTTGGATGCTTCCAGGTGCAAAACAGTGTCGTCTTGGGCCACGCAGTGCTCTGTCTCTGGTTGATGTCAGCAAACTTTCCTGTTGGAGATCGAAAGATGTGGGCATACCAAATAGGAATGTCAACAAATCCAGCTTTGGGACGTCAACAACAGGCCTATCGGGATTGCGATATATTCTAGCCATGATCTTGATGACGGTGATGTGAAACTCGTTCAACCAAATGCCCACGAATAGAAAGCGACAGACCTCTGATCCTCCACCCTCGTCACAGTCGATATGATGGAACTTCTAGGGTTGCAGAGCATTCTCCCACTTTCTTGTCTCGGTACTGCTCCCGCCTATTTGATGTGGGAGCTTTACTGCCAGATGTGGGGTTGGATCGGGAATGCAGTACCGAGGTCTAAGTAAGAAGAAGACATCCGGGCCACGGCTATCCAGAAGCAGGGATGGAAATGTCTTTGGACGGCAAACTCACGTCTTGCAAGAGGGTCGAGACTTTGCTGCCACGCTGCTTAGCCTCATCTGGTTGCATTCCAGCCTCTCCGTCGAATCATGGATGAGGCTGCGCATTGGACCAGCCTTGGACCAGCCTCGGCCAATCCCAGACAGCCTTGCACGTGTCCAAAGAGGGCTTAGTGCAGCCTGACATCATCAAGCCTGGCAAGATTCTGGACAGTGACGTCACTACTGTTAGGGCAAATCTTTCCCTGAAATTCGCGTCCAGGAAACTTTCAACGCACCCAGCCTCGCCAGTTCGATAGTAACCTCGTATATCAGTCAGTTCTTCCGGTGGAAAGATTAATTCTCAAGCCATGGGCCGCCATCGAGACAACAAAATCTCGCGGTCAATAGTCTCCGCCATCCAAGAAGACAACAAGACTCAGAGACGACTCAGACTATGGCGCCCTCTCAAGACCTTCTTCGCGCTCTATGGGCTTCTGTTGATCAGACTCCGCCCAGAGTTGTTCAAGAGGCTAAGAGAAAAGATATGTAAGCTTTCTGATGACGAATACAAGGCTAGCTTCAAGGACAAGGACGCACTCGTGGCCAAGGGCGACATGGGCTATTCGGGCTCGGTACGAGAAAGGGCGAACTCAGTCTCCTCTCCCGAAGTGCGCGGTACTGATGGGGGCTGTCTAGACTTTCTTCAACACCAAAGATGACAAATTCCTCATCAAATCTATCCCTCGTCGATTCGAGCACACCTTCTTCCGAGATGACCTGCTGGAACCCTATGTCTCACACATGGAATCCCATCCCAAGTCACTCCTCGTCCGCATCACCGACTTTCTTGGGTGGCGCTATCCGAGCATCGGTGGCCTCTTTGGCATTGCACCAACTTACCACCTCGTGATGGAGAACCTGCTACACGGCCAGAAACAAGGTTCCGACTGACAGACTTTTGACCTGAAGCCCATGTCGTATTTCTTCCCGGAGCGTGATGTGGCTGGTGGCAGACTCGCCTCGGAGGCAACCAAGTCCAAGCTCGCCGACAAATTCGAAGACAGGATTCTCCTCAGTCGCGAGCAGGCAGACGAATTTTTGCAACTGCTCGAAGAAGATACAGAACTCCTGGAGAGAAACAATGCCGTCGACTACAGCCTGATGCTGGTGCGGATTCCGAAGTCCTCCTCTCCCATGGACGAGAGCCAAAACCTGTTCAATGATCCGCCGAACTGGCGAACCGGTGTACCCAGCCAGGACAACAAGTGGCTGTTCCGGGCGGTGATCCTGGATTTCTTCTGGGCTAAGCACAAGGTGCACGCCAAGGCGATGACGATGCTCATCAATGCATGGAGGATATTTGACGACAAAGGGCCGATGAGTATCACGACTGCTGCACCGGAGTACCGGGGCAGGTTCTTGAAGATGTGCAGGGAGATCGTCAAAGTAGTGGAATAGAAGGACGAGACGGACGTCATCCCCCCCTTTTCCCTTCTTAGCAAGCGAGCTGAGTTCCTGATTGAGAGAGTTGAATGGCGTGAGTATTAATGTCTCGGTAGAAAGGAAATTGGTCTTCATTGATGAGATCTCAGACAATTCCAACATCAGAGACGACATACTCTTGTCACTCTGTTCGATGGGATCATTGCTGCTTTCGGCCCCTGTTCAACTTGACGCAACATGACCACCCAGAACATCAGAAAGGGCGACGTAGAACGAACGAAACTGCGATCCATCTACAGTAACAAACGACTTGGGCATGAATGGATGGCGCCATCTCACCGCCTCTTGCTTGAATGTTTGTCTCTGAGAAACTCTTCGACTTGGGCTTTCTCTCTCGCATTCATGTCTCGGACAATGCTCTTCTTCACCTCCGTCTGGGTAGAAGTCTCCGGTTGAGGTGAAGGAGGAGAACCGTTGATCTGGGAACTGGTGCGTGCCGGTGGAATATCTCTCTGCTCCCCGCTTAGCAGACTCCTCTGCGAACGAGCCACCAGGTGAACTCCGTCGACGACAACCTTTTCCCCCCCTTCACCCGCCCTGGCCTGCGTACTATTGTCTGGCATCAGATTCCCGTGATATGGCTTCCCGAACGCTCCCTCCCTCCACTCTCTCCGCCGAAACTTCCAGGCCGCCACCGTATCTTCGGGGTCGAGAGTCAACCCGACCATCCCCGCCAACGCCTCTACGACTTCATCCGCCCTCGATATGGGCTCGAAGAACAGTCGCTTCCAGTTTCTGCCGTCGCTGTCCGTTTTACGCATCTCTCTCTGGCCGTTCTCGATCCTTTCTTTGGCGTCAGCAGCAGCCTGCATGTCCCCGCGTTGCAGGGCTTCACGAACGCCGCGTCACGCTCGACGCGACTCCCACGGGTCCTGCTCCTCGATTGGGTCGGTGATCAGCGGCGTGGTTCTCGCCGTTGTTACGTCGAATTCTCGATGTCGACGTTCTGTCTGCAGTCGCGGATAACGAACTGGCCGTCCCACCGCCCTGAGACGGTGTAAATTGGACTAGCGCCTACTTCGCCGTCCCGATATACGCTGGCCTCGAAAGTGTGCTTCCTGTCAGGGCCGGAGAAGAAACCTCGTCTGCTGTTGAAGTCGATGGTTGAAGTATACCCACTCGTGCTCGGGATGTGGTGGGTGCCGTGTAACTCCGGGTACGGAGAACCTGTAAAATGCCGTTGATTTTTATGTCTGGAAGTGGGATGAGGTATGTCTCGTGGTGTCGAGCAAGATGAAGTTTGGCATGGCCGATTTGCTGTATGTTGACGCTGCCGGTGAAGGTGATCTCCTGGCGAGTATATCCCTCTGCCTGGCGGAGAATGTTATCAGTAACGCCCAATGAAATGGCCTGATTTGCCCAGAAAATCTTACCGTGACGCCGTGTTCCTCGTTCCAGACGCGACACGCGGTTCCAGGTGGGTGATGACTTGCCAAAACTCAGAGATGGTCTAAATGAACGGCCAGCGAGTATAGAAACAATTGCAGAAGGGACAAAAATGGGCGTCCGATTTACCTTACTTGCTCGCTAACCAGCCTCGTAATCCCGACCTCGACCTCGTCCTGCTCCTGATCCCGGTCGTCTTCCCACCTAGCCAAAAAAAGTTCCCCGAGAAAGGCATTGATCGGCTTCTTCAGGCCCTCGGCCTCCGACCTGCCCGCGTACTGCTGGTTCCTCAAGGAGGAGACGAACCATTTCAGCACCAACAGTGCTCGCTCCGCGGGATCGTCCGCGGCCGCAGGGGCCACCAATATCGAGGGCCTCTCGGCCCAGAACGAGGGCAGCAGCGGATTTCGTATCGAGGACGGATGGCGAGGCGGTGATGTTGGAGAGGTCGCCGCGCATGGTGGCTATAGACTTTTGATGGCGGCATTATCCAGTCAGCGAGTGGCTCGGGGTTATGAAGTGCATTTTCTTTGCACGGATCCTGGAAATAAAGATGATTTGTGCGTGTGGCTTAACTCCTAGTACTGATTACGTCTCGAGCCGCCCCAGCTCTGACTGTCTTCTTCTCTCCCGGCTTGATTGATGGCGCCGAGGAAGAGGACCACCAGTGCCGGAATTGAAAGAGGGGAGCAGGGTGAGAAAAGAAAACATAGAATTCACATACAGCAACAAAATCCTTCAACTTGAACCTGTTCTTAGATAGGGTTGGCTCCGCCATGTCTTCGAATACTCTCACAGTTGTAAGGAACATTAATGTATAGGAGGACGTGTAGCCGAGTCTGGGTTGTACACAAATCCGGAACTCAGAGGAGACGGACCTGTGAACCAACAGCATCATTGAAGCGCTTTTTGCTGAAGGAGAGAGGAGTTATGGGCTCGCTCAGAAGTATTCGGCGTTTGGACGACGAGGGAATCCAAGGCCTGGTGGCCCCCCACTGGGACTGGGACCTGGAATCCATGATATCGTGATGTCGTGATGTCGTGACACCAAGCGCCAGTAGCCTACCAAGAACAGCAAGATCGCGTCAATCTTACCCATCGTCGTCATGCCAGTCGCTATTGTACAAAGTCGCGGGCGCTGTTGCTGTCCCGATCCATTCCCTCCAATGTCCCAGGGCAATCGGCATGCCTAGATCCTCTGTCTGATCTCTCCCCGATGGACTCTCGCTAAGCGGCACTGTCTCTGGCTAAATTTTCTTGTGCTCGAGAATATAGTTGCTCTCAGCTTTTGGCAGAAGACTCGGCTACGCCGCTTTGTTCCGATGGCATTAACGGGGAGGTCCCTTTGCTCAAGGCTGAACAGAACACTGTTGGATAGACGGAGAAGCGAAGAAATGGACGCCATTCCACAGGCCGATCATCAGGGTTCATAACAAGCCATCCATCCTCTCCTTTCGCTGCACTGTTTTCACATGCTTCCTTCGACTATCGAACTGCTTGGTTCTCTTGAGGATTAATGGCAGCGACCACGAGGATGCGGTGTTTGCATCCATTCGATCTGAAGGTTTTTGGCGTGCGCCAGGACCTGTCTTCCGTTCTTGACCACAATTGCACCCAGTTGGAAGAGAATGGATCTTCTTTGCTGACTTCAAGTTCTGCAGTTTAAGGCCAATGCTCTGACAGGCTCGGACCGAGTATTTCCTCTTACCAAGCTAGAATAGCACCAGCACCTTTCGACAGGATCCATATGATAGGTCTGCCAATATCTGTAATGGCGGAAACCCTCACACTCTCCACCCCCACCAACTTGAATGGATATTCAAAGCCCTCCAATGTAGAAATTTGTATAGGAACGCAACATATGGCTGGGGATAAGTGAGAAGGCGAAAAAATATCAGCACAGTCCATGATCATGTGATGAGAACTTGTATGGTTGACTTGGATGCGGCCGAGCACCACATTTTCGCCCTTGCATCATGCACAGGAGGCAAAAGGAGTGGATGCCAAGGAGGCAGAAATGAAGGCAGAATACTCCTATCATGTTGGCTATGGTCCGCAGAAGACTTTAATAATGCTGCATCCCGGCATTCTCCTAGCAATGCTCTATTGACGCTGCAATACAACACGAGACAATGTCAATTCACCGACGATTCGACGAGGTTCCCGCAGGTTACGCCAAGCTCTCTGCTTTCATCGGGAAGGAAAGAAACTTTACGACATTTCGAAAGTGCTCTGTTCTGAATACAGGAATCTTCTTTATCTCCAGGCTGAGCTCACTGATCTTGAGTCCAGATTGGATGAATTAGACAGAAGCCTGAACTCCAGGAGCCAAGCGGACGGCAAACCAGGCAGCGAAGATCCACGATATTCGTGGAATGAGTTTGTATGCGATTCAGAGCGCCGGCGACTCGTCGAAGACATCAGAGCGAAACTAGACGCCGACAGTACGCCATTCAGGACCAAGCCACTTCCTGACAACGGGAACATGTATCTGACGACCCCTGGTAGATTCCGCTCTACTCCAATGCCATAGAGAGTCAAACCTCAGTGCTCCGAGCCGTTCTCATATCAGTGGGCTCAAGGCATGGATGAATGATGCAAACCCAATACAAGATTCATCGGCACATATCGCCGAGAACAGAAGCTTCCTCGGCGATCGATACCGTGACGACAACCCGTCCACCATCAGTCATGATGTCGAGAATGGCGAGGTAGCTTCGCTGACTACTCCTGCCGATAGTTGGCTGGCACGCGCCATGCGAGGGTCTTTTCTGAAATACGTCTTCATGGTCAGTGCCAGTACAGTTCTACTCGCGAAAACAAAAGTCCACCAAATTACTAAATGATTATCAGAAGGACTTTATCTATAGCAACGGCAAGGAGGAAATCATATACTTCTTCCCGGGCTCCAAAATTGACGACATTGTGACCGGGGTTGCCACACCCTCCGCAGTTATGCTTATAGTAGTTGCCACTATACCACTACGTGTTGAAATGCGGGAAAAGATCGTGTTTACGCTGCTTCTAGCCATAGTTCTACCGCTGTGTGGTGCGAAGAAATATGAAGTGGTGCTGGGAACTGCAGGGCAAGTTTCTCTCCACAAATTTGACCTACCACGTTGCTGATGTTGGAAAGATACGTTGCAGTATTGGCGGTGTTCGTATCGAGTAATGCGTGATCATGAAAATCGGAAGGAGCGTTTTACCACGAGTCGCTCGTCGGGGCACGCCTTGAGGAACGCTACCGCGCATCACTGTTGGGCAGAACGGTACATCTCGAAACTGTGAGAAGGCCTGATATTTCTTGGCGATACAGAGTGTATCTATATCTATTGACAGTCTGGGTGTTTGAAGAACTCTTGATACTGTAGGTGCTGTGAAAGAATGCTCAGGAGAACGGGGGGATCAGAGGACCCATTCACACCAGAACAGATTCGGGTTCTGACCGATCTGGTGCATGTCTCGAAAACGGATTAGGATCAGGGTCTCTGCCGAAGTATGGTCATTCAACCGAGCACACTCCACAGCAAGTGGCAAGATATTCCACGATCATGCAAGCGATTTGCGGGGGTATGTTGAATCTCGGGGGTATATTGAATCGGACCGGGTCACCAAATTGAAAGATATTTGATAAGGTCGCATGACATTGACGTTAGGGCCGTCACGATGGGAAATGGCATGCAGGTGAAAGCACACGAAAGCCCAAGATCCTGAAAGTGTGCTGAATCAGACCAAGGAGACAAGTGCTGCGCCCGAGGGAAGAGAGACCTTGTGATAAAGGTTTGGATGCTCAAGACCATCACATTGCCGCTTGACGATCGTCGTTACTCATGCATCCCCCTCTCTCCCCCTGTCCGTTGATTGATTGTGGCCGCCAGAACCTACGCCGTCGTCGCCGCCGCCGCCGTCGTGTTCCTCGTCGTGCAAGCCCATGTCCGCCCACTTTTCGAGCAAAAGGCTTAGCTCGGTGTCCGGATCCTCCTTGATCAATATGTGATTGGGGTATTTGGAGCTGAAGGTGAGATGCTCCTGGCCTTCCCAGGCAATGTCCTTCACGATGACCGTCAACCGCTCCAGCAGAGACTTGCTGACACCGCCAGGAGGAGGCGTATCGCCATCCCCGACAGCAGCGACCTTGTCTTCTGCCGTCTTCAGTAACATGTGGGTGACGCCTTTAACCAGTTGCCGCTGGCGTGAACATCTCACCAGAACCCTCATGATGTCCAGTAGTTCTTCCTCCTCGTCCGCGGAATGGAGATTGCCAGACAGCAGGAAACTAGCAGCGAGGATGCCGGATTGCGGCGTCAGGACGGTGAAGAAGCGATGGCCAAAGCTAGCATTGAAGATTCGAATGATCTGTATTGTGACTGAGGTGATCTGTATACACATCTCCTTCGTCTCGCGGGTGATCTGGTCGAGCTCGTCCTGACCTGGGATTGGTGCATCCGGGCTCGGGCCTGTTGCCGATCTTTGTTCGGGCTCGGCGCTCGGCTTTGGGGCACTCGGAGGCGGCGGGATCGTCCAATTCCACATTAACAGGCGGAAATGATGCAAGCTCAATCTAATGCAGATGTCAAGTCAGCCAGCCTTACTCGTACATCATGGGGACAAGGTGTATTACGCCAGGTCTACCGTGGTCGGGACCAAAACAAAATTTGGTTCATTAACCTGGAACTGCTGAGGTATTGATCTGTACCATTCCAACATTTTCCTGTCCATCTCCTGAGTTGCATTGAGCCTTTCCATGGCGCCCATGGTGGAAAAGTCGGCAAACACCAGAGACTGGATATCGCCAGCGAATACATACAGCTCGCACATGTAGTGGTAAAGAGCCTGAAGTGGCAGCTGAACGGGATCCCCCGCCATCGGATAAGGCGACCACAGTGTGAGATGGTCGAGCCATACCTTGGAAGCATATGGTGCCTCAAGAGATGGCTTGGGACTCGTCGGTGCGATCAGGAACCCTGTGCCAAAGCCACTGGTGGTCAAGTCAACCAGACGCTTAGACTCGACCAATCGGGGTTGATGCTCACGTTGAATATATGTGCGCCGCCCACTCAACAATCTTCAGGGATCGTTCAAAATCCTCAGAGATTGGTTGACTCTTCCCTGATTTCGGATGCCGACGAAGAAGCTGAGGCATCATCACCTCGAGCTGTTTCAGGGACGACAAGCTCACCCTGTCTTTGCCGGTGAATGCCGCCCTAATCCTGGGTATCAGCACACGTCTCGCTATAACTCTTATGTTCCCGACTTACGTCATTATCATGATAGTGAAGCCCTGAATATTGGTCAGTGTCGGCTTAGCGGCTTCGAGTGTCCACAGCCGGTGAGCCTCATTGTAGAAATGGAGTCCTCGCGACCCCACATCCCCTGGCGTCGCAAAGGCCAAGGGATGATCTGAAAAAAACTGGCATCGGAATCAACAGATGTGGCCCCGCACGCGTCGGGTTGACAAAATACTCACGCATCCCATTCCAAGAACTGCATTGACCAAGAAAGGTGAACAATAGGAAGAGTCCAGATTCCCCTTGGCCATGGCGGCAAGAAACAACTTCTCGTCGAAATTGTGGTAGTAGAAATGATACCAATTGATGTACGCGGAGACAAGGTGAGAGACGAGGAGGTCGTCTTTCGTAACTGTGGTCCACGGAGCGGCCGGGACCCTGAAAGTCGGATTGTCGGTCAGCTCACTTATTGCAAGCATGCGACGTATCCCGTCACCCTCTGGAGGAGGACTGGTGGACAGAGCCGCGCGAGTCTCATTTGCCACTGGACCAGGATGGGCGTCAAGAAAGAGAATGATCTCTTCGAGAGGAGCATCCTGCTTGATAAGTTCGAGAAGTTGCCGCGCCTCTGGGCTCGAGGAGTGTTTTAGACTGATCAGGATCCTGTCGAGAGCATGACTTCGGAGTTCGAGTTCGTCGAACCTCCTCTTGCGGCTCTCCTTCCTTCGTCCATCCTGTGATGGGTCGTAGATGCATGTCTTGTTGCTCGCTTGACAATTGGAGCAGGGCTGGTGCTGATCACACTAATGACAACATCAGGTCGATTGGGAGCTAGGGAATCTCGAATCCCGGGGATAAGTGGCTAGCAGACATCGTACAACTTACCTTTCGTTTCGAGATTTTGCAGGTCTGGCAAGCAATAGTAGCATTTTTCTTAACTGAGCGCTGTGGGTTAGGAACAGGGAAGTCGCGAATGCCTGTGTTCTCGTCTATGGCAATTGAGGGATCGAGTGGAACAGACCCTGGCAGCGCGGCAGCTCCCCCTAAAGCGGGTCGGAGCGGCCGAGCCTGAGGCTGAGTTCGGTGCTGAGGCATGGAAGTAAAGCAAGGTCATAGTGATAGAGGAGAGAGAAAAAATGTCGGTCGAACCTAGAGGGTTATCATCAAGAGAAGGTCCTGTCTGGCAGACGGCAGATCGTGATGAGGAATGGAAAACAGTCAATCCACCATTCACAGACTGCAGTTCGGGACTCACCGTCAGCATGGCCGAGTTTTGCAACAGTGAAGGTAGGGGATGCCGCTTGCCATCATGGAGGTTTTGAACTGGCATGGTGGAAAAATAACTCCACCGGGGAAACACATTGGATGAACTGTTTAGCCCACCCGAAATGTCTCGTATCAGGAGCCTCCAGTCAGAAGGGTCGGCTCTGTTGGCCTCTATTTGCCCAACCCGGGTTCCTCATGGCGTCTAAGCTGTTCCTAGTATCGTGGGACGAACTCCTTGCCACTTTCCAGGTCTTCACCGAACTAGCCGACTACTCTCCCTGGGCGTCTACAGTTGGAAGAGACATTGCAATGTCTGACGAGTCTGAGTGGATTTAGCACCTTCGAATTGCTATGACCTTCAATGCGGCTGAGGTGGATGTCTTCCTTTCTTTTCGTTCTCTCTCCCGGGAAGATTCTTCGGCTCCTAAAGATACCTTGGATAGTGAAAGACCGGCCAGAGCTTTGTCGTTGTTGAAGACTTCCCCGCCTCCTCAATGGGTACCCACTTGAGGACTGTCGGTTAGGCATGATGCTATTCATCCTTGCCGACTTTATGCGCAATCACCTCGCTTGGACAGAGAAAGCACGACGCGATTCTTACCTCCACCAAGTCAAGCCTCGTGCATGCTGGGTCTATGTATATATCCCTGCACTATCGATAACGCCTCAAAAACTCAATCGAATCAACGCCTCAACCCACTTTCTAGCGTCAACTCCCACGCCTTCGGTGACGCCCTTTGCATTGGCGGCTCCAGCGCTCCCAACAGCCCCAAATATGCCGCGCCCGCTACCGCTGACTTCTCGAGTCCGGGGTTGGTCACGAAGGAGCCATTTCCCCGCTGATGTAGAACTTCCGGCCTCTGACCTGGACCGGGACGTGTCTCGGCTTGTCGATGTGCGTTCATGGGGAGATCGTCTGACGAGAATTGCTTCTTTGGCAAGATCCCTGGTTGTTTGTAATCCACTCTTGCAGAATTCGACAAGGTCACCACCTGTGGCTTGATTCGTCGACTGCTTTACAACAACATCGCTCCCGTCGGCGTGTTGCTTCGAAGGCAAGACTTTCATCCACACAATCCACCAGCCTCTTGCCGTTTTGATTGTTCTTTCTAATTCCTCACCATTTGGTCGAGCATTGGTGATACCAGCATTCCTGTCACGAGTTGAAGCCCATGTATTGAGAATATGAGTGTAGACATTCAGAGCCTCGATGCGGGTCCAGTCACTCTTGATAATCCTCGGCAGACCTGAAGAGCTTGTGCCGCCCTCTGTTGATGATGACCCTATGGGTATCCCAAGGGTGTACCACGAGCCCGAAACGGTGATCGGGCGGAGATTCTGTTGGGTCCGATGCAGCCCTTCAGCAGCGAGGCTTCCTGGAAGCGGTATGTTTGGGATTGAGGTTCGAAGCGTAGATTTCTGGGGATCATAAAGAAGATCATATATTTCAGTGACATCCTTTTTGTCGGGCAGGGATTGTGGATCGTCCCCATTTTCGAGTCCTGAACTTGAATCCACGCCCAATGACGCTCTCATTCGCTCTCTCCAGCGTTGCGGATCCGTGCTTTTCAGGAGGCTCTTTTGCAGTGGCCCGAGGATATGATGTATGGCTCGGTAAAAGCCAGGTATCGC